GCATGTTTATATATAAGATGTCTGGCGTCAAGATAGCCCCCACAAAATCTGGATTGTATCTATACTCAGCACCTGTTCACGTCGGAAACTTAGCCTTGTGTCCTGGCCTGGCGGGCGGCGCATGCCTATAGTCCTAGCACTTAGGAGGTGGGGGGCAGGAGAGTCACACCAAACCTCGGCTGTGTAGTAAATTGGAGGCCAGCCGTGGCTACATGAGACCCCGTCTCCACGGCAATAAATGCACAGTGCCTTTTATTGAATAGCTGGTCTGTGTCTCCCCTACCGCACGCTAGGCATCTCAATGCGTTCCGTCTCTAACCTTGCAGTGTTTACCGAGCCCCAGCTGTGTACATCATGAGATCATGCTTTTTCTATAAATGTTTTCCGGATCTCAACTCTGATTAAGATCTGAATCACAGTAGAACACACAGAGCGGTCCAGCTATCCCAAAGCTGTAGCCGTTTGATTTGTAAACCCTGTGCAAATGGGCTTGGCTCCCGTGACGTCAGTAGTAGAACCTGCGGCTGTGATGGTCTGCGGTTACTGAGGCCATCGTGTTCCTGTTTGGGTTTTGGCTTTGTTTAGAATTAAGAGGCTTATAAAGGAAGCCATAGAAACCCCGAGTTCCCCAATTGCCGTGGTACAGGAAACAGGGCAATTAGTCAGCGTCTATTGTCCAACCAGATTGTTTAAGATACAATTTCAAGACAATTGGGAAACACCTCCTGGCCTGATAACGTGTAGTTTAGCGTCGGGCAGGCTCTTATCAAGGTTTGCTCTAGGGACAATCACAGGAAGAACATTCTGCGGTTTTGGTGAAGTTATCTTTCTGTGGCACTGTCCTGAGGTTCCAAGGCCTTCATGTGACAATCAGGGAGTGAGGGAAGAGTCTGAGTGTATTCTGTGGCCACTCGGGGAAGCATCACCAACCATGGTTCAGTTTCAAGTGCTGGGACCCCTCATGCTGGCACAGAAATAAGCCGTTGCCTAGAGGGAATAGCGATTTGGAGCGTGCCTGTGGTCGGCTCATCAGCTTGCGTTGCTTCCGTTCCCTGTGGGTTTTATGTCCAGGGTCAGTGTGAGGATATCTCTTTTATCTGCTTTGCAGGCCTGGCTGTGTTCTAAGGCCAGCCATGTGGAAAGCTGGGGTCTGGACCTCAGCTCCCAGACTGCCTGCCCTTTGAGGGGCTCCCAAAGGCTCTGTGCGCTGCAATCCCCATGGGAGGTAGGACCAATGGAAGCATTTTTTTTTCCAAAAGTTGCCTCAGGAAGCTCTGAGGGGCACTGCCGGTTAACACCGCTTCATAATGATGCTGTTGCGTGTTCCAAAAAGCACAGTCCACCCGAGATTCTTTTTTTTTTTTTTTGGTTTTACGAGACAGGGTTTCTCTGTATTGTTTTAGATGCTGTCGGTCCAGCCCGGCCTCGAATTCACAGAGATCCGCCTGCCTCTGCCTCCACCTGAGATTCTTAAACGAGAAGCAAGCAACAGAGTTGACGTTTTCAGTTGCACGTGGGATAAAGCATTCGGGAACACATTTGTTGCCTTTTGATAACTTTTTGCATTACTCAGAAAATGCATCCAGTGACATTTTTATTGAAAAGGGCATGGCGGAGGTGGTAGGTGGGTGGAATTTTCTGTGATTGAGTGTGTGAGTGTGAGTGTGTGTGTGTGTGAGTGTGTGTGTGTGTGTTTACTGCCAGTCCCAGGAATTTTTTTGGAATTAATATTTGAGGGGTTTTACCATCCTAGCTAGCTACTTTTTAAAGCTAGAACTTTTTCTTTCTTTCTTTCTTTCTTTCTTTCTTTCTTTCTTTCTTTCTTTCTTTCTTTCTTTCTTTCTTTCTTTCTTTCTTTCTTTCTTTTTTTGGTTTTTAGAGACAGGGTTTCTCTGTATTGTTTTGGAGCCTGTCCTGGAACTCACTCTGTAGACCAGGCTGGCCTTGAACTCACAGAGATCCGCCTGCCTCTGCCTCCCGAGCTCTCCTGGGATTAAAGGCGTGCGCCACCAATGCCCGGCTAAAGCTAGAACTTTTACCTAGATGAGAACTCAAAGCTCTCCTTCAGGCATCTTCCAGTGCACAATCCATGCCGGCCCTCCCCCCCCCCCCCACTGTCCCAGAGACTTGACTTTCAGTCTGTGGTCTGCTCTGCCCTCCTTCCCACACCAGAATGATAGACATGTCTTCTCACGCCCTCCCCGCCCTTTACCTCCTGCCGCCGTGCCTGACGATTGGTTGCCCTCTGATGCGCCCCTCGCCTCTTCCTCCTCCTTTTTAGTGTGGTTGTGTGTGTGTGTGCGCGCGCGCGTGCGTGCGCTTGTGCCTGCTTTGTTTGTTTTGAGAAAATGTCTCTATTCTACTCATTCTGTTATCAGACTGGCTTCAAACTCACAGAGATCTGCCTGCCTCCGCCTCCAGAGTGCTGGGATCAGAGACCTATGCCACCATGTCTAGCCTGATGCTTTTTTTTTCTTTTCTTTTTTCTTTCTTTTTTCTTTTTTTTTTTTTTTTGAGACAGGGTTGTAGAGAGAAGCCTTTTCCTTGCCAGCCGCTTTGGTTTTTCCCCACCAGTCTGCCACGTTGTAGTCCCCAAATAACACACAGGACGCTATATTAATTATGAAGCTGTTGGCCGTTTGTTTGTTTCTTACTGGCTAGCTCTGACTTAAGTATTTACCCCATAATTGTTATTCTAAGTATTTCTCTTACCGGAGAAAAGGTCTGGACTTCTTGCCCCTATGAGGCTACATGGTGACTCCCTGTGTTTTTCCTACCCAGAGTCCTCCTGGACGCCTAGTCCCACCTATCTTGCTTCCCTATTGGCCAACAGTGTTTTATTGACACATACACAGGACTTCCCCATAACAGGGTTTCTCTGTGAATTCTCTCTGTAGACCAGGGTGTTCTCGAACTCACAGAGATCCGCCTGCCTCTGCCTCCTGAATGCTGGGATTAAAGGCATGCGCCACCGACGCCCCGCTGTGATGGTTCCTTCTTAAAAGTGTCTCAGGGAGGGCCTGGGGAGACCCGCAGCTGCTGAACACTTGCCACGCAAGTGTAAGGGCCGAGGCTGAATCCCCTTCACTTACATGGAGAGCCACGCGCAGCAGCTCAGCAGCTCACCCCAGCAATAGGGAGACAGACAGGAGGATGGTGGGCCGCCGGCCAGCTGGCCTGACCAAATCAGTGACCTCCGGCTTCAGTGAAAGACCTGCCTCACATAAATAAATTGAAAGGTAAAGGTACTTACTTTTATTTCTCCCCATTTTTTTTAAAAAGAAAGTCTTTTATTTTTATTTCTTAAATTATAGGTATTTGTCAGGCGGTGGTGGCGTACACCTTTGATGCCTTTAATCCCAGCACTCAGGAGGCAGAGGCAGGTGGGCCTCAGTGAGTTTGTGCCAGGACAGGCTCTAAAGCTACACAGAGAAACCCTGTCTCGAGAAACCAAAACCAAAAAAAAAATTATGGGTATGCATGTGTGTATGTGTGTGTATATGAGTATAGGTGTGTGCAGTTCCTTCAGAGGCCTGAAGAGGGCAGGGCGATGGATCTGCCGGAGCTGGAGTTAAGTGGCGGTTGTGAGCTGCCTGATGCGGGTGCTGGGAATAGAACTCTGGCCTTGTGCTCTTAACTGCTGAGCCGTCTCTCCGGCTCTTTCTCCATCGTCTGTTGCATTTTTTTTTTTTTTTTTTTTTTTTGCTCTTGTGGAGCTGAAGGCATATGTGAGTCTTTGTACATCTGCTACAGATATACTCCCCCATTGTGGGGACTGCTGTTTTGGTCTTCTGAATAAATGTCCTTTCTCAAGGAGTAGAAGTTTTGGGACCGGAGAGATGGATCAGTGGTTTAGAGCGCCTGTTGCTCTTGGCAGAGGACCCAGGTTTGGTTCCTAGCGCCCACATGATGATTCACAATCATCATAACTCCTGATCCAAAGGACCCAGTGTCCTCTTCTGACCTCTGAGGACACCAAGCAAGCATCTATGTGACGCTCATACATACGGGCATGCCAAAAATTCATCAACATAAATATTTTTAAACTATACTGAGTTTTTGATATTTTTTTTATGTATATGAGTGTTTTGGTTCCTTGTCTGTAAGTACACCATGTGCAGGGTTAATGCCTATGGAGGTCAGAAGAGAGCTTTGGATCCCCTGGACTGTAGTTATAGACAGTTTTGAGCCGCAATGCGAGTGCTGGGAATCTAACATAGGCCCTTTGGAAGAACAGCCAGTGCTCTTAACCGCTGAGCCATCTCACCCGCCAGCCAAGATGGAATAAATCTTTAAAAACATTTCTTTTACAAGGTACAAGTTCTTAATTTTAGTATAATTTATTAGCCAGCCTTTTTCATGTTTTACGTCATACTTACCTCATACTTAGTTTCATAAAACATACAGATACAATTGCACTCTGGGAAATTAGAAAAAACAGACCTTGGAGATAATCGGACAGGCGGCTAAGTAAGCCGTGTAGTAGTTCCTTGACCCAACCAAAGTCGTCAAGGGCAGGTCTTGCTTAGCAGCGGTTCTCAGCCTTCCTAATGCCTGCGACCCTTCAGTATGGTTCCTCGTGTTGTAGGGACCCACCCCAACCCCAGCCGTAACGTTATTTTCATGGCTATTTCATGACTGCAACTTTGCTGCTGTTAGGAATCCAGAACGGACACATCTGTGTTGTCTGATAGTCTTAGGCAGCCCCTGTGAATCGACCCCCTAACCCTAACCCTAACCCTAAACCCTAAACCCTAAACCCTAACCCTAACCCTAAACCCTAAACCCTAACCCTAACCCTAACCCTAACCCCCAGGTTGAGAGCCACTGGCTTAGGAGACAAACCGTGAAATGCAAAGATGGTTTGTCACCCCGTTCTCCTACCTGCAGGCTCTTCTGCAGCTGATACCGTGAGGATCCGAGCTGACCCAAGCGAGGAGCCGTGTGGGGCCTGATCTTTTTTGCCTTCGAAAGCACTGACCGGGTGTCTTACGTTACAGGTTACTCAGCGGTCGTTATGACCTCCCGGTTACGTGCGTTGGGTGGAAGGATCAATAACATACGAACCTCAGAGTTACCCAAAGAGAAAACCCGATCCGAGGTCATCTGCAGCATACGGTTTTTAGATGGCTTGGTACAGACCTTTAAAGTTAACGTAAGTTCTCCACTTTATGTATTTATTTATTTGTTTGTTTATTTGTTGTCCATGTGAATCCCCCCCTCCCCTGCTAGGCAGAGCTTGGATGACCACGCTCTCTGTATGTGACGTTTCAAGCCCACGTGACTCTACGATTTTTAAAAAAATAGTAAAAGTGACTAGGTTGCAAGTCTCCTACTAAACTGTGAACCTCTTGAGGACAGGACGGGAGTCCTGGCACAGGACTGGGCAGGCAGCTGTGCTCCTCGAGATGGTCAGCCTCACGGATGGCAGGACTCCTAAAGGCCCTGGCTCCTGCTCAGAGCCCTTGACCTCAGGTTTTCAAGTACGAGCAGCCGTGAGAGCCTCAGCTGGCTCCACCCCCGGCTCTGCACAGCACCCCTAGCCCAGGACTTCCTGTGCCTCTCAGCCCTAACAGCATCGAATCCGGCCCCCAGTAGTTTTTACCGTGTGTGCAGAGAAAGGTGGTCGAGGGACACACCGGGCATGGTGGTAAATACCTGTGACTCAGCCCTTGGGAAGTGGACTCAGGAGGAACAAGAGTCTGAGGCCAGCCCGGGCCACATGACGCTCTGTCTTAAAACACACGCGCACACACACACACACACACACACACACACACACACACAGTGGGGGGGGGGGGAGGGCGTTGACCGGAAAAGGCCATAGCACTTAACCCTTGATGAAATCTGACAGAGCCCTGCTGTAGCTGCTGCTGTTCCACACTCACCCTCTTCTCCTTTGACAGGGGCTCACTGTGCAGCCCTGGCTGGCCTAGACTCACTAGGTAGACCAGGCTGACCTAGAAAAATCAGAGGTCTGCCTGCCTCTGCCTAGGATCAAAGGCTGGCGCCACCATCTTTGTGTTTTTTTTTTTTAACCCAGTCACAAGCAAGATCTCTCTCTCTCTCTCTCTCTCTCTCTCTCTCCGTGTGTGTGTGTGTGTGTGTGTGTGTGTGTGTGTGTGTTTGTGTGTGTGTCCCATTAGTATCTTGGTGCAGGCAGAAGGTGATTTTCAGTTCCTCTGAACCAGGGCCAGGGCAGCTGCCCCGCCGTAGGTGTGTATGTGAGAATGTCCTCAGCTGCGTACAGGACTCAGGTGCCAGCCGGCAGTCAGTAAAGGCAGTGGCTAGTGGAGACGCGTTTCCCTGCCTTCCTCCCCACCGCCCCACTCAGTTCTTCGGCTGGTACTCTGAGGCCACGCTTTTGCTCTCCTGAGGATGGGACGTGTCACTTGTCACCCGTTGTATCAAGAAAGAGAAGGACGAGGTAGCTCAGTGAGTAAAGGCGCTTGCCGCCAAGCCGGGACCCACGTGGTGGAAAGGCCCGGCACATCTGGAATGGCAGGCGCCCCAAGGGAGGAGAGCCAGAGCAAAGTGAGATCAGAGGTACCGAGCAGGGTTGGAGGCGGGCAGCCAGCTGGAACCCGGGTGCGCTGGCTTCTACGCCGGTCGATGTAGAGAGCGCTGGATAGAGAGACCTGACCCAGTGGCCTGACTTAAGGGTCACTGGGTCCACAGCAGCCAGGGAGGGAGAGAGGCTGGGAGACTATAGCGTCAGCCCCCAAGCCAGGTTCTGATGGTGGGCAGAGAGCAGTGTTAGGGGCTTGCCTGGAAGATGGCGCCTGGAAGATGGAGCCAATAGGACCTGCTGGCGGGGCTCCCCGATTGGTTTGCCCGCTGTTCCCCTTCCCTCATCCCCCCCCCCATGTGGTCTCACCACGTATCTGTCCCCTGAGGGTCCGGTCAATATGTAGGACAGCTGGACTCAAACTCACAGAGGTCCACTTGCCTCTACCTCTCAGGTGCTGGGATTAAAGGTGTGTGCCTTTGATTCTATTTTAAATCTTTTGGGAAGGAGGAGAATTGAGCAGAACTAAACCTGCATGTATGGATTCTGCAGTTCAGAGGCGAGAGACTCAATCCACAAAAACATAGGGCTTTGGTGTTGAACTGATGCAAGTCGGACGGTCAGGTAGCTACTGGGTGTCAGGGTGGGAATGCCGGGCGTGGCGCCGCCCGGTGCCTGGTTCTCAGAGGCTGGTGTGATTATTACGGGTGTGGCGCCTCTCAGCATTAGGTTCTTGGTGCCTAGTGTGGGAATGCCGGGCGTGGAGCCTCCCTGTGCCTGGTTCTCAGTGGCAAGGCAGGTGTTGAGGGCTACTCTGCAGAGTTGCCGCAAAGTGAGTGTGGTATCATATCCTCGCAGGTGTGCAACAAATTATACAGTCGCTAACGACATAGTAAATCAGAGTTACACAAGTGATACCCCCAAATGTATAGGGAATAATTACAGTAAGGTGAGAAGCTAGCTGTGATGCTTTTCCGGGGCGTGTCTCTGGCCTGGGAGATGGCTCAGTGGGTGAAGTGCTTGCAAGCTTGAGATCCCCAGCAAACCCATAAAAACTGACCGATGCTACATGTGGCTGCAACCCTGCCCTAGGGCTGGGTGTGGGAGATGGGGATAGGAGCACCCCTAGGGCTCACTGACCAGCCAGCCCGACTGAAACTGAAAGCTTAACATTCAGTGAGGTGAGAGTGATTGAAACTATCCCACCATCAACGTTTGGCCTACACACGACACACACACACACACACACACACACACACAGAGACACACACAGAGACACACACACAGACACACACACAGACACACACACAGATACACACACAGATACACACACCCTGTATCTGGCAGCTCGGGGGAATTGGTAACTTGGAGGAAAGGGTGGGCTGTATTGCTTTCACCCATGGAGACTTTCTTGTGACGGATGGTGGCAGGTTCTGGAGCCCCCAGGATACAGGTGGTGCATCCTGGAAACAGGCAAGTCTCATGCTCTCACACAACAGACCAGATTCCGTGAAGTCCTCCACCCCGTAGACTTCATGCGGCAGGAATGTCCTCAAGTTACCCAACTGCCGACCCTGGTCACCGCGACCCACTTTCCACACGGTTACCTGCTCTCAGAAGCTCCCGGGGAGAAAAGCGTCTTCTGTACCTGTCTATTTCTGTCTTGCGTTGTCCCGAGTTAAATGGATGGGTTCAAAGCATTCCTGGGAGGTCGCCCTCTTTAAATAGAACCTGAAATCTCCCAAATGCTCTGTGCTGTTTTGTGTGTGTGTGTGTGTGTGTGTGTGTGTGTGTGTGTGTGTGTGAGCGTGAGCGGCTCACCCTCCCCCTCTCCCCCAAAAAAGCCATCTTTTGTTTGTGCCACCAGCTCCAAACTGGGTGGGTCCACCAGACAGATGGGAGGGGTGACATTCCACCCTGTCACTCCCCCCCAACACAGAGGGGTCCCTTATCCCTGCCCCCAGGAGGACCCCCACTGTTCATGCCTGTCCTCTAAGGAATATGCCTGCTGTGTCTCGGCTGGTTCAAAGCACTTGACAGAGTTTGACACCCCATGTCAGTCACCGCTTCTACAGCCGAGAAGGGGAGAGGTGCTTACTACGGCTCTGTCCCGGCACCCACGTCAGGCTGCCCCATAAACACAGGAGCAGGTCGCTGAGTCCCACTCTGGAGCGAAGCGTGGCTGAATGTCCCCACCGGCTTCTCACTTCAGATGCCCGAGGAGGCAGCAGGGCAGATAATCCCACAGGGGGACCTAGGCCAAGTCACTTTGAGGGCATTTTGGATGGTGTTTGAGTATTTTTAGCTGTCAGTGGGGAGTTTTCCTCCCCGCACACTCTCTGGGTTCCTCCAAGGGAAGGAGCTGCAGCTGGGGCCCAAGCAGCCAGCGGGAGCCGACCTGGGATTAGCGTTTGCCATGGGTAATCCGCAGCAGGTCATGGTGTGTTTGCTGGGTAATGTGCGAGTTTTCCAACTTAGAAGTCACCGGAGAACCTCAGTTAGCTAAGGGATGGAAGCAACTTAGGAAGCTCAGTTAAGCTCACAGAATCTGTGTGTGTGTGTGTGTGTGTGTGTGTGTGTGTGTGTGTGTGTGGTGTGTGCTCACACACATTTGGGGGCCAGAAGACAACCTGCGATGTTATTTCTCAAAAGCCATCGCAGAGTCATTCATTGACCTGGAGCTTAATAAATCGGCCAGGTTGACTGACAGGTGGAGCCAGGTTGACTGACAGGTGGAGCCAGGTTGACTGACAGGTGGAGCCAGGTTGACTGACAGGTGGAGCCAGGTTGACTGACAGGTGGAGCCAGGTTGACTGACAGGTGGAGCCAGGTTGACTGACAGGTGGAGCCAGGGACCAATATGGGTGGTTTTCATTGCTCTCCACCTTATTTTTATTTTCTTAAATATTTTATCTATCTCATCTATCTTTCTCTCTATATATTTATTTGAGGCAGGGTCTCACTATGTCCACAAGACCAGCTTCAAATTCACAGAGATCTCTGCCTGCCCCTGTCTCCCAAGCGCAGGCACTGATAATGTGCACCCACTAAGATTTATTTTTATTTATGCGTCTCTGTATCAATAGTGCACATGCAATCAGAGGCCAGAAGAGGGCGCTAGGTCTCCCCCCCACCCAGTAGCTGGTGTTATGGGTGTCGAGAGTTGCCCGGCTTCCTGCTAGGAACAGAACTTCAGTCTTCTGCGAGTACAGGAAGTACTCAGCCCCTCCAGCCCCTGCCTTAGTTTTTTGAGACATGTGTCTCACTGAACCTGGAACGTTCGTATTTGGCTAAATTGCTTGGCCTCATGTCTTCACACACACACACACACACACACACACACACACACACACACACACACGGATTGTGGGGAGGTGAACTCCGGTCCTCGCTCTTGCAAGGCAAGCTCTCGACTGACTTACTTTCCTCCCCAGTCTCCTGTGCCTCAGTGCCTCAAATCATATCCATATACTTGGTCTCAACCTTACTTCTTAACCCTCTTGCAGCCTTGGGACTTGAGATTTATTTATGCTTCTGTTACTCTGGGAAGTATATATTCATAAACCCTGAAGACTTTAGTTTCCCTCTGCCTGCAGCAAAAAAAATAAAATAAAAAAATAAAAAAGAAAACAAAAGAAATGTTGCTTGTAGTTCTTGGTTCATTTTAACACTTTCTCCACGCGATGTTTCCTGACCTAGAAACAAGATTTGGGCCAGTCACTCCTGGACCTGGCATATGGCCACCTGGGCGTGACGGAGAAGGAGTACTTCGGCCTGCAACACGGCGAGGACCCAGTAGACTCCCCTGTAAGTGCTCACACATCAGAAGTGCTGCTTGCCTGCTGGGGTTGGTCTCACAGCTTGTGTTTTCTCACTCAACAGAGATGGCTTGAGGCAAGCAAACCCCTCAGGAAGCAGCTCAAAGGTAGGTGTGACCTCACTTGGTCATTGGATGTGTGGCCATCTGTCTTCTCCCCCAGGGGAGCTGAGGGGGCGTGGGCAGGGGGGGGAGATGCTTCATCTCTGCTTTAAGGGGGCGGGGTCAGGTGCAAGAGATGCCGCAAGGGAGCCTTTGCTTATTTTTACAAGGGAGGATGTGGATGGAGGATGGGCCCCCATAAGAAAGAACTTAAAAGGGCTGGGGCGATGTGTCTTAGTTGGTAAACATGCTGCCTGTACAAGCTTAAGCACCTGAAGTCGGATCCCTAGCACCAAGGTCAAAAGCCAGTACTATGGTGCTTGCCCAGTGCTGGGAGGCTGAAGCAGGGGCGTTCCTGGACTTTGCCGGCCAGACCCTCTAGCTGAATCAACAACGACGAGCTCCAGGTTCAGTAAGAGACCCTGTCTCAAAAAAAAAGCTAGATGGAGAGCAGTGGAGGAAGATGCCTGACGTCAGCCTGTGGCTCCCACGTGAACATGCAAGACACCTGCACACACACACACGTGTGCATGCATGCTCACATGTGTGCACACACACGTATACACACACATACTCACACTCAGACACACACACACACACACACACACACACACACACACACACGGAGACAGATGTAAACCCTCATACTTTCCAACAGCACAGATGCTGGCCCATCCGTCCTGAGCAGGGGCCCCTGTGCTGCTCTCAGCTCCGGAGTGAGACAGCCACTCCAGTCACGCCAAGCCTACCTCCCCGCCACCCCTTCTCAGCCTAGCTTCCCTCGTGGCTGGCCCCGATAGGTACCTGCTGTCCCAGCCGGACTGGACCAGTCTGCAGGACATCCTCAGAACTGCCCCCCACCGCCCCCCCCCCAGTCTCCTCCCTCCGTAAAGAGTGCTTTTTCCCCTTGACCCAGAGTTCCATCTCCTGCCGTCCCTCAGGGTTCCACAGATATCTCCCGCTACCTGAAGGGAAGCGCTAACTCCCCCCCCCCTTCCCTCTCATTTCTTTGACCACTCTTCCTGTTATCTCGCAGTGAGTATTTCAGCTGCCTTCCAGGGTTTCCTTCTTCCTGCATTCTTCTCTGTCCCCTTCGTGATTCCTGACACACGTGAGGCCTAGGTAGCTGTTATCTGTCATTCTGTCTCTGACTCGTTCCAGCAGCTTGCACATCCCTAGTGCTCAGACCAAGGCAAGGCACTGTGCTCAGCCTGGGAGTCCAAACCAGATTTGATTGACCCCTGCTCTCATGGTCAAGGGTAGAAGTCGAACAGAGGAGTTCTGTGATAGGACCATCATACTCACGCGTGTATGCGCGCACACACGCACATACACACACACGTGCACATGCATGCATACGTGTGCTCTGAGTCCACAGAACAGAGGCTGTGCATGCTCACATGTACATGTGCACGTGCGTACTCCAGAGTAAGCTCGTGTACACACAGGCACACATGCACACACACACATACACGCACGTACACACACGAATGCGTGGGTGTGCTCTGAGTCCACAGAAGAACCAAGAAAGACAATGAGACCACGCCCGAAACACCAGAGTAACAAATGGTGGAAGGGAGAAGACTGGAGATGTGACAGAATGGGGAACTTTGCTACGGAGCTGGCGCCACCCACTGGTAGCTAGGTGTGTTTACAAAGGCAACCTCCCGCCGCCCACCATTAAAGACTCTTCCAGTACCAGCCCAGAGATGACAGACAGTGGAGCCAGGATGAACCAAGGCAGCAGACATGAGCAGAAGGACTAGCCAGCTGGGCAGACGTGGGTTTCGGAGAGCACGGAAGTGCTACTTGAGCCCATAGACAGGGTGAACTCAACCAGGTGGGGTCTCCCTGTGTCTTGGCAACAGTGGGATCTTCAACCAGACATCTTTTATCCCACAAGCAAACTGACCCCTGGTGTCGATGTCTAAGTCACGTCTGAGTGGTATAGCTCTCTGGATCACAGTTGACGGTTGTGATGGCCATTGAAACTGCAAAAATGTTTTCCGGTTTAAACAAAAAAATAAATAAAAAACATGAGTCGGTGTTACAGAATGCTCTGGTCTTGTAAGACAGATCCACTGATCCCGCAGGTAGCCACGGTCGTGTTTAAGTTCTAGAGGCTGTAGGAAATGTTGCAAAAGCATAAGTCTCTATGTAAGTGTAAGCTGCTCAGTTCTTTGTGAATTTTATGTTTCGATGCTGGGTTTTTTATTTTGTTTTTCGAGACAGGGTTTCTCTGTGTAGCTTTGTAGACCAGGCTGGCCTGGAACTCACAGAGATCCACCTGTCTCTGCCTCCCGAGTGCTGGGATTAAAAGGCATGCGCCACCAGCGCCCGGCTGGTCGATGCTGGTTTTAATTCTTAATACAGATATCACTGTTTGAACAGGGCCCTAAGGCAGATGTGCAACCAGAAGTAGGTGATATCACGGTGGGCAGATGCTATATAAGTACTTTTGGTGTGCGTTGAGACACACCAAAAATTGGGACTTTTATAATGGAAAATATTGTGGTTGACTGAGAAATAACTCCCTTTATTGGAGAGTAGCAACTGTGTACATTGACTTTTAAGGGGAAAACCTAACTTGTTTTTGAAAAATGTTATAGGAGGTTTCCCCTGTACCCTGCATTTTCGAGTAAGATATTTTATACCTGATCCCAACACACTGCAGCAGGAACAAACCAGGTAATAACCTTTTCCTCTTAAAGTTCTCTATCTAGTATATGCAAACCGGTAGCCACCGAAAATGTGCTCTTTGTTTTCTAGCTGTGGACAGATAACCTTGATTTGGGTATGACCTCCCCAACAATCATGATCCAAGAAAAAAAAATGGAAGTTACATAGACCGAAATTCTAATCGGCAGTTTTGTTTTCAGTTTGCGGGGCCTACGTCTCGAAGCCCCAACCTGGTGTAATTTCCTCCACGTGGGCACCCTCTCTCTTCCCTCCCCTGTCTGGTAAACATGAATATTGAGGATGCTAAAACCAGTTCTTTTCAGGCAGGCCTGGAGGAGAGCGGTCACCCACGGGGGTACATAATCTGGAATCTGAGGGGCTGGAGTGAAGTCCCTTGAGGATGACAAGGCTTACTGTAACCAGAACATTCCATCAGGTCCCCTTTTGCAGGGGTGAGGAAGGAGAGCCGGTTCTGGCTGGACCCAGCTTGTCTTCTGGGTGAATCAGCAGGTGTAGGAAGTTTGGGAGGCAGATTGGGGTGGCGGGGGCAACGATAGGAGCTGTTTACCCTGAGGAGCCTGCAGGCTGTGCTGGCTCTAGTTGGCCCTGGCAAGTGGGTTTTCTGGGTGGGGGACAGACACTCGGGCGCACAGGATGGGAAGGGCGCGGTAAGAACGCCGTTGTTACCTCGGGGTGGAAGACCGTGCCAGCTGTTTCCCCTGCCTGACTTCGTAGCGAGTCCCTTTGGTGTTCTTAAGGAGGGAAGCTGTCTCCCTGGGAAGAGGAGGCTATTCCGGGTTACTGCATCTCATTTTATGGCGGGAAAAAAAATCCCACCAAAGAGACGGCACTAGCTCAGACGTGGACGACTCTCTCATTTCTCCTTCTGTCTAACGGCAATCGCACGATCACATTTTAGCTTTTAAGATTCTTGAGCGTCAGTTGTGCGTTCATGCCTCTGTTTTTCCTTCTCGTGCGTGCGTGCACGCTCCTTTGCTCCGGAGGCAGTCCCGGGGCCCCGACTGTGCTTGTCGTTATGGTGAACGTGGAGCCTGTGGGAGGGAGGCCCCGGTAGCTCCTTGGGGGACCACGGTGAAGCGCACGCTGCTCTGAGTCGTTTTGGTGTACGGCCCCACCCCCCCACACCTCACCGCCACCCCTACCCCCCACCCCATCACAACACCACAACGACAACGGCAGCACCACTGCCTCAACTACTCCACCACCATACCCCCACCCCATCGCACCCGCCACAGCTACCACAGTGCCGCACCACCATCACACACACCCACTCCCCCACCCCCTTACCCCGCCCACCACACCTCTACCACAATATAACTCTTTGCTCTGGTGAACTAGGGGCACTGGCAAGACGCCCAGCCCAGCACGCCGGCCGCATCATGAGCTAACTCGCGCTTAGCCGGTGGCGTCATCTGTCGGGATGTGTTTTAAACGGCCTTACCAGGGTTTCCTGAGAACAGCACGGGCGTCGCAGATTCTGGTTGTGGATGCTTTGCAGTCGCAGGAGGAGCCAGGCGCCTGTAACTGGGGAGGCAGGTGAAAGAGGAACCTTTGAGCACAGGAGATTGAGGCCAGCCTGGGCAACATAGCAGTTCCGTATCTCAAAAAACAGACAGACAAGCAAACAAGCAAAAAAAAAAAAAAAAACCCTTGAAGAATTGTGTGTGTACACATGCTGGTGCTTTTTTTTCTCCTTTCTTTTTCCTTTTTTTTCTAAGTGACCATTGCGGCTCACCAAATTGGCCAAAAAGTTCCAGCTCACATTCATGTACGGTGACTGTCAACTTCCACCTTGTCTCATTCCTGGAATGCTGGAACCTCAGAGGTGTGGCACCCTGTCAGCATGTCTAGAGTAGAAAGACCCGAGGGAGACGCTTCCATGGTCCCCTCCAGTGCCCTTCGTGGCCATCAGCCTCTAAACCCCACGGGAAAGAAGCTGAGACCTTGTGGAGTGAGTCTTCCTCCTCCCCCCCATACACACACACCAGGGACAGCTAGGGAAATGCAGGGCAGAGAGAAGTCTCGTGGAGAAGTGAGGCCACCTTCAGACCTCCAGAGGAGCTGGAGTTTTGTTTTGTTTTGTTTCCCGAAGTCGAGGTCTGTTCCATTTAAAATTATTTTATTGTGACGAAATACCCTAACCAAAAGCAACATGGGGGAGGAAGTTGGAGGCCAAAGCCCATCGCTGCAAGCAAGTGAAGGGAGCAGGGAGGTAAGCCAGCTGCGTTACATCCACAGTCAGGAGCGTGCACGCCCGACTGCTTGCTCGATTATGCCCAGCTCAATGTCTTCACTCCCGCACAGTCTAGGAGCTCCTTCCTAGGGAACAGTGCTGCCCACAATGGCCTCCGTCTTCCCGTATTAGTTAGCTCACTGAGGCCATCGCCGCAGACACATGCCTACAGACAGAGATGATGTAGAGACAGTGCCTCATGGAGACTCTTCCCAGGTGGTTGTAGTTCGTGTCAGATTGACAGTTGGCCATCACAGGATCTGGATGGAGTATATTCTCACAGGGGGTCAAATAGAGGTATGCCAAGTCACTCCCATTGGTAGCTTCCCTGTATTCTCATGGGCACACACTTCCCATGTCTGTTTATTGCGAGCCTCCACAACTGCTGTTACCGATAATTTTAGATCACTCTAAGCAGTGTTCCACTTCCTGACACTCTTCCAATTACAGTTTGAACTCCTTGGGGAAGATGATAAAACCTCACAAGTTTGGGGTGCATCCTACGATTCCCATTTCTGATTCTGTGGGGTTGACTCTGCGGATTTGCTCTGCAAAGGGCCACGTGGCATTTGGTGAAGGATCTCTCAGTGTTCAAGGTCTCGTTTCTGCCCACCAGTAAAAGCCTAGGTTTTATCAGGGGATCAGCTGTAGCCCTGCCTCTTTCTTCTTTCTCCCAGTATCCTTCCAGGAGGAGAGGACACTTAATTCTGGTTGAATATATTAGCTTGGATAAACATAGGAACCAGCTAGAAAGAACTGGATATGTTCTCCGAGGTGGAAAAGATGATTCCCCACTACCGAGTGGGCATGAATTAGCACAAGCATTTTATTACTCTCCGTATTGCTGTGACCAAATCTTTAAGAAGCAGCAGCTACTTAAGGCAAGAGGGTTTGTTTTGGCTTACAGTTCTAGAGGTCCCGGTCCATCCTGGTTACAAGGTCTGGCGGTGGGCGGTGGGAGGCAGCCGGTCACATTGTGCCCTCAGTCAGGAAGGGCAGGAGAAGGCTAGAGTTCGGCTCACCCTTCCTCCTCCCGTGCGTGAGTTATTCATCAGATTATTCACCAGATTATTCATCGCCAGATTCAGGGCAGGTCTTCCGTCTTCAACCGGTTGGAAACGCCGTCAGATACACCCAGAGGTGTGTTTCCATGGTGATTGTAAACCCAGTCAAGTTGACGGAAAGGTTAACCACTCATGCGCCCGTGTGACCTAACACCATCTATTGGTGCCCTAGGTTCACCAGGACACGGAGCGTCGATAATAGACCCCAAGCTTGGCAGTGACGCTTATATGAAGCGCACAGACACTGTTTTCCTAGCATGCATGTCCAGGCTAAAAGGGGAGCAAAGCTAATACATAAAAAAAAAACGTGCCCGAGTACCCGTTTTTCCCAGACACTGGCGCTTCTGACTGTGGAGAGTGAGTTCATGGAGATGTATATAGCCCTTAGGTCTGCTTAATTTTGTAGTGTGTGTTTTTTTTTTAATATGCAAGTTTTAGTAAGTTAAAATGGAGGTGGCGCTACCGCCTCGCAGAGTCACTGGGAGGCAGAAAAGAGGGAGAAAGCCTCCTCGGAACCCCAGGCTGCAGATGGGCGGGTTGCAGTACCCTCCGAAGCATCCAGAGCTCCAAACAGCCAGCTCCCTGACCTTTCCCAACCCCGAGGAATATGAGACTGGTTTGTCTAAATTGCCTGAGTGACCTCTCTCCTGCCCTTCTGCGCTATTAGCTTTCAAGAGGTTTTCCCTTTTGTCATCTTTGGCCAGACCCTGGAATGTCAATCCCGCCTGAATCTGGGTTTTAAAAAAAGAGTGGGTGCCCGAGGAGCCAAGCGTCACATGTGTGCCGCGTCCCTAAATATAAATGCCTCCGAGGTGCTCCCTGGCCTTGCCAGGCCTGTGGGTGTTGGCCTCTTTTTCCCCTATCTGCCCCAGGGCAGAGACGCAGCCTGCAGGGCTGCTTTGGGGGGGCGGCTGGAACAGCTTTCCCCTAGGACGGCTCTGGGCTTTCAAAGCAGACTCCACTGATTTCAGGTCCTGGCGTCTAGGCTACCAATACCATTGCTCCAGCACAAAGCCCAGCTGGAGGTTGCACCCCAGCTAACGTGTGGTCCTCACAGGTCCACCTCCCTCTTAGTTTCCCACGGGGGTGGGGGGTTGGGGGGAGCGGCGTATACATGGCCATCCGTGTTCAGAGCAGTGGCCTGGGACTGTGAGTGGGCAGCTCGTACAGAATGCCGTGGGTCCCCGTGCCTAATTAGGAAGGCCCATGCAGCAGGTGGGGCACCCTCGACTCCTACCCCACCCATCCCCTCAACCCTCCCTAGCACAGGGCACCTAGGCAGTCCACAGACAGGTAAAATGGTGTTTGCAGACAGATGTTCCGGTTTTCAAATGCACGTTGTTGTTGTTGTTGTTGCTGGACCATTGCATTCTGAGTGTTTCATTAACTAATACCACGTTGTCTCCTAGGCATCTGTATTTCTTACAACTGAAGATGGATGTCTGCGAAGGAAGGTAATGGGAATTTCCTATTCTTCTTTTCCTGTCAGACCAGCCAGATTCCTGGTTTTAATCTAATGAACATTCGTTCGTTCCTGGCAACAGTATTCAATTTAAACAAAGCCATTTGGGCTTTCTTCAGCTCCATCTTGGTTTACAGAGGTCGAGAAATTTTGTTCCACACTGTGATCTTATTACAAAAGATACATCGATGTTTCTGGTAAAGACTTGGGGAATTTTAAGAGGACAGGAAAGACCCTGGACATAAAATGGGCCTCAGGTCAGGTAGCAAATACGTGTGAGTTAGAGGCACTCCTGAGCCCCTGGTGCTTATGGGTGACTTATCTTCTCTCTGGAAGGAACTGTGTTCAGCTGTGAGCATCTGCTTGTGAGTCAGTGCTCTGGGTATATCCAGACCTTCTCAGCGCTTGGAAGGTAGCTGAGAGTGAGTAGAAAGGGAATTAAAATTCCACAGAGCCCCATCTGCTTCTTCTTTTTTTGTGTGTTTTGGTTTTTTGTTTGTTTGTTTTTGTTTTTTTGGAGACAGGGTTTCCCTGTATTGTTTCGGAGGCTGTCCCGGAACTCACTCTATAGACCAGGCTGGCCTGGAACTCACAGAGATCTGCCTGTGTGTGTGTGTGTGTTCTTATGTGCGTGCACATGCCTGTGTGCACACACGATGCGCCCTACCCACTGAGCCCTCTCGCCTGCCGGCCCCTTAGCATTTTCTTGCCTTACAAGAAAGTCCCAGAGAGCCCCATTGGCTTCCATTCTCCTCACCCCCACTTTTTCCTGTGATGTCAGTGCTACTGCAGAGAGGGTCATCAGAGGCCGCCGGCCCCCTGCACCACCAGGAGGCTGGCAGTCAGTTGTGACGGGCGACATGAGGCAGAGAAGCCAATGGGACAAGCGAGACCGTTATGGACAGTGGGGAATCACAGTCGGCCTGGGATTTCGGGGGGGGGGGCTCTGCTGCTACTGCGGCCTAGATAAGTCTCCGTGGGTTGCTGGGGGTAAGCCAAAGTTAGGGTTGGTGGAGAATATAAAAATGGGGTTTCCCCGGACGGCCAGCAGGCCCTCCCATCCCCCATTCCAGCTGGAAGCCACATGCGGTTGACTCGGAGGAAAACAGAGAGACGGCTTCGAATACCCTGTGTGTGTGTGTATGTGTGTGTGTGTGTGTGTAGGGAGCCGTGTGTCTCGCATACCCAGTGTGTGTGTGTGTGTGTGTGTGTATGTGTGTGTGTGTGTGTGTGTGTGTGTAGGGAGCCGTGTGTCTCCAGTCCACCAGACAGAAGGGAGCAGCTGCAGAGGGCAGGCTGTGGTAGGAGACAAATCCGCAGGCATGCTTGAGGAGAGACTGAGGGAGACTCGGGCTCCCCTCTGCTACAGTCCTGCAGGCCAGAGACAGGAGCCTCCCTTGAGGGAACTAGCAGAACTGTTGACTGTTCAGTGATGACCGACTCCCAGAGCTTCGTGAATTCTAGGTATCCTTTCCCCAGAGTATATCCCTTCTCCAGCACAACCCGTAGACAAGCGCCGGGCACTCCATCGCCGGGGACTCCTCTTTAGCATTGCGGGGCAGCCTCTTCACACTTGGGGCGAACCCATGTTCAAATGCCTGACCCCCCACCTTGGGCTGTTCTTAGCAGTCACAGAAACCTGTCCAGTGGCTCCCTTACGCGCAGGCTCTCTCTTTCTCCGTAAACACCGTCCCGGAACTATGAGGCAGGTTCCACCCCGTCCTGGCCACCGAGGCCACGGCCTCCCCTTCAGCCTTCCTGTACTCCAAACTCCAGGACTACATTATCCTCCTTGTCGCTTTCCCGAATAAGACGCCCCTTGGAACTTCCAGATGAGTTAGTAGGGATCTCCACCCTGGATCAGCTCCCCATAGTGCCTCGTCAGGTCTCCAGGCGGCCCCCAACGCCTGCTCCCAGGCTCGCGATCTGTGGCCAAGGACGTTGCGATGCTGTTAGCATTTTCCTTGAGACACCAAACCTTCTGACGTGTTTGGATAGTCCCCGGTACTGTAGGACCATCTCTTCTCTGCAGAGACAGGTCACCCAGGACAGTCCCTTCCCGTGACACGCGGAGGCCCGAACCACAGAGGGAAAAGGGACCTGCATAGGAGCGTATGGAGGAATGCTGAGAGGAACGCACAGGCTGCCATTGCTCTATACTGTGTATTTGAACACCAACCATTCTTGGGAAAATATTTTTCCCCCTCCAGTCTCCATAGGATCCTTCCATCTAGTCTGAGCCTCCACAGCTTGTTTCTTGGCTGTCCCTCAGCTCTGTCCAGGTGTCCATCTCCCAGCAGAGGCACTAGCCAGATGTTAAGTGAAGCTCATCATTATTAGTGGGAGAGTGGCAGCTTGCACTCATCACATACCCACTCGCTCTCCTCGAAGATGCTCGAGGTGTGTAGAGAATGAGCAGCCCGAGGATACATCCATAGACTCAGAGAGATGCAAGCTTCTGCGGGGACACATGGCGTTACTCGTGGGGCCGGGGGGCCTTCAGATAGGGATCCTGACCTTCATGCGCACCTCCGGAACCAAGCAGGGGCACAATGGACAGAAAGGGAACCTGCTGGGGGCCCAACTCGATTAGACAGACGAGTGATGACTCACACGCAGGGACTTCATAGGCTGCCATGGAAACTACGTGTTCTCTCAACTTGCCGCAGGGCTGGGGGATGCTCTTTGCCTCCCGTTCCTAGTCGCTGCCCCCTCGCTTTGCCCAGCCCATTCTTCCACTCAGTGAGCAGTGACCCTTACTCCAGGTCTGGTGGCAGAGCTCTTGAGCAGACCCCAGAGTCAGATTTGAATGGAGGGAAAAGGGGAAAAGAAAAAGAATAAAGACAGGTAACGTCACCGAGAACAGGCATTTGGGAGGACAGTGAGGTCAGCTGGAAATAGGAACAAATCCAGGCAGAGCCCGGGTTCCTCGTGGGTGGCAGAAGACGGAGAAACAGGCAGATGGTTGAATCCTGTAAGCCTCAGCAAGGTCAGTAGTTTAAGGATAGTCAGTAATCAGTGAAGTAACTTAAGTACAGAATGGCAAATGTTAAACTATAGAACACTTTTTTTCCCTTTTATTTTTCCATTTAGAAGGTGTCACCATTCCAGGAAGGAGGTGGCCAGGGCCCAACAAACCTCAGGTCCTTATTAGAAAGATTGGAAGGCGGCTCACATCTCAGATTCCGTTTTCTCGCTTTCCCTCTTGCAATGTGAGCCTGCCATTCCAACCTAAGATCACCAGCTCCCTGGCCTCTGCGGTAGTTATTTTAAACCAAAAGACTTTTGTGGTTTGTTTTTTATCTTCAGATAACTCTTTAATGTGTCCCCTGTGACATTTGAGGTCGATTTGTTTTGTAGTTGCCTTTAAGAGTCACGTTGCTCGTTAACAAGTTAATGGGGAAAAGAAAGCTGTGGGCTGCCTGTGATTTATGAACGCCCATGGTTCCTCTGACCAAACCCATCCTCGTTTCTCCTGACAGGCTAACGTGCCCTCTCAACTCAGCGGTGGTCCTGGCCTCCTACGCCGTACAATGTAAGTCCTGAGGTTGGCTAGGTGGTGGCCGGCTTGTTCCAGCTAACTATTGAGAAAGCGCCTGGGAGTGTCTTCCCGGGACTCCTGGGACGGAGGACCTGGTGCTGTCCCGATAGTAAAAGCTTTAACCTGAGCCACACTCTCCCCTTACTTGGGGATATCAGATGGACGGTGGTGCAGGGGGAAGGCGCGGTGTGGCATCTTTCTTCCCCCAGGGAGGTATGAGACAGCAAGGACAGCTACACCCAGCTTTTTCCAGAGCCTCTGCCCAGGTCTTTGGATCTGGTCTCCATACAAACCCCGTACGGAACAATATTTATATCCCTTGCCTTCTCTGAACATGGAAATTGAGACCCAGCTAGGTTAAAGAATTTGCTGGAAGGCACCCCTGCTGCTTGCCTGATGCCCGTTTAAAATGCTACTGAGATCCCATGAGTTTATCTTCAGTGTAGCTAATGGATCGTGTGCTGGTCTATGACCATTCAGAAACAGGGCGATCACAAGTTCAAAGTCACCCTTGGCTCCACGGTGAGTTCAAGACCAGCCTGGATGACACGAGCCCTCCTTAAAAAAGCAAAACAAAACGAAACAAAATACATGTGAAGGAAATAATTTTAATGCTTTATTTAGCCCAGTTAAATATTATTTTAATATACAGTCGGCATAAAAAAATAGATGAGCTATTTTTGTGGGTTCTTTTTTCTTTTTTTCTTCTTTTTTTTTAATTAAATTTTTGAAATCCCATCTTGGTTTCGCAGTTTCCATGCTTTCCCAATTGAGCAAGCCACACATAATTACGGGTGCCGCTGTGGACAGAAAAGTCCAGATAGAGTTTTCCGCCAGGGCCGGTTTAAACCACAGAGGAAATCTCTTCGTCCTGTCAGCAAAACTCAATTAACCGTATTCGGTGTCAGATCCCGTTAAGAGGCGAAATACCCCTTTGCCGTTCACTGAGTTCGTGGTGCCAGCCAGCACAGACACTGCCTTAACTTATATTGAATTGCGCAGTAGCGTAAGACCGAAGTGCCTGTCCCCTCTGCCTTTCCAGAAGTCTCGGCTGACGTGGCAGGTGGTTAAGAAAGCAAGATGATGATGTCTCAGAGCTGGTGCAGACCAAATTACCCATCTTACTGTGGCCTCAGAAACATAGTGGCAACAAAGAAAAAAAAAAAAGAGGGACTGCTGAGGAGACCCCAGGTGCCTTTCCTCCCTTAGCAATAAGGACAGACATGGGGCAGGTGAAGAAACAAGGCTGGAGAAGCCGCAGCTAAACTGCCTGCTGCGAGGGACCAGAGAGTGGGGGAAAGAGGGTATTGGGGTGACCCCATGGTGCTGAGCATGAGGCCAAGGCCCCTAACTGGAAGGGTGCCCAGCGTCCGCTCCATCTCACCGCCTCCTCTTCTCGGGGTGGGAAATTCAAACCAGGTCGCCTTCTTCCTACGTTGCCAGCTTGTGGCATCCACGTGGGGGAACGGCACAGCGTGTGACTTTCTCCCGGGAAGACGCGAACCTGCAGATAGGGCGCCAGCTCAGACCCGAAGGAGCTGTCCCGTCCAAGTCCCCCTTCGTGAGCCACAGGGCATAGGGAGAGATCTTACACGTACCTGTAGCACTGACCACGCCCAAATGTGGTCACAGGTACATGGGAGAAGGCAGGGCATAAAGGGCTGGAGAGGTGGCTCAGAGGTTAAGAGCACTGGTTGCTCCTCCGGAGATCATGAGTTCAATTCCCAGCAACCACGTGGTGGCTCACAGCCATCTGTAGTGAGAAGATCTGGTGCCGCCTTCTGCCTGCAACTGGGTTTATACTTTAAAGGAACGAGGCTGACTTTGAAAAGAGCTGCTTCACAGAAGTTGCACCCAGCGTGGACGATGGCCTCCCATTTCTTCGGGCTGATCAGTGCCAGAGGCAGGGACTTTCTCACGTTGATGACAAGGCGGACGCTCACCGCTAAGCATCAGGGCTGAGAGGCAAGAACCTGCGGAGGACAGCAATGGTGTTCTGTCTAACCTGGCCCTATTGACATGTCGCTGTGTGGTATCGCCTCGCTGAGCCTCCAGCTTCCCACCTGGGGACGGAGGCGACCCTGGCACTCGTGCCGACTTGGCAATATGGCTGCCTCACTAAGGTGGCCCGTAGTCGAAAAAACTCCTCATAGATGAACCAACCTGACCTTCCAGCCCTCGTGTGTTGTCTATAGGGGCAGGCAAGATGACCCCTTGCGTAAAAGAGCTTGCAACCTTGAAAGTTGTCATCTGACCTCCACACATCCCATAGGAAATAAAAATAAAAATCACCCATGATAGACAAAAAGCTACGTTACAGAAAGATTAAAGGGCTACATTTAAGTCATCCTGTTCACATGTATGCCATCAGTCTTCCTACTCTGGAAGATTGAGAGATTGGTGGCTAAGGAGAGGCTGGAGAAACGGCTCAGAGGTTAAGAGCATTGGCTGCTCTTCCAGAGGACCTGAGTTCAATTCCCAGCAACCACATGGTAGCTCCCAACCATCTGTAATGAGATGGTTGTCTTCTTCTGGCCTGCAGGCAGAATACTGTATACATAGTAAATAAATAAACCTTAAAAAGAAAGAAAGAAAGAAAGAAAGCCATCAGAGGCCTGACAGTGTTGTTGCAAGCCTTTACTTAACTCAGGCAGATCTGGTCTAAAGAATGAATTCCAGGACAGCCAGAGCTACACAGAGAAACCCTGTCTTGAAAAACCAAAAAAAAATTAAAAAGAAAAAAAAGGAAAAAAACCCACAAAGCAAAACATCAGCAACAAAAAGATACTTTGCATTAAATAGGTTTTTTTTAAGCCATTAGAGCCTAAAAGGTATAAGCTGGCTGACATAGAAAACTTCTCATTACTGTCATACTAAAAGATCCTGAGTTGTCAGACAGACAGTTTGAAACTTAAGCTCTTTGTATTCCTATAGCCTTGATAAATAGACATGTATTTGTATACTCTACACACATTTATTTCTTTTTCTTTTGTTTTTTGAGACAGAGTTTCTATTTGTATTTCTGGCTGTCCAGGAACTCACTCTGTAGACGAGGCTGGCCTCGAACTCACTGAGATCTGCCTGTCTCTGCCTCCCGAGTGCTGGATTGAGGGAATGTGTGCCACCACCTCATGGCATGCATACATTTCTTCTAGGACTAATTCTCAGATTTAAAATTAGTGATTTAGAAGGTTACACTAACTACATTTTGTCTGATACATTTTGGCGGGTTGTTTCAAGACGAGTGTCTAATATTTAAGTCCTGCCTGTGATCTGCTAACCAAAGCACGGTTTCTAATTAGACTAAAAAGTACAGCATAGTGGCTGAAGGTTGCTGCTGGCTAATCAAGGACTTATGTGAAGCGCATGAAAAGATTTGGGAAGCATGCAGTTTCCCCATAATGCTTTCTGCCACAAGCAGGCACTGGACCATCCCCGGGATGAAGGAAGCTCGATGCTCTCTTGCTGGGGGATGCTGGCTCTGAGGAAGAACAGAGCATGATCCCTTCCCCAGCTTGGGGAAGGGAAGGGAGTCTAGAAAAGTTATCAGAGAAATGAGTCCCAAGAGGAGGCTCGAAGATCAGGTCAGAGTTGGAAGACTAGCTGATGGGCTAGATTGGTCACTTGAAACATGGGTACCCGGGATCTCCAGTCATGTGTTCAGCAAATCAGCAAATAGATGAGACAGGCCCGTACAGTGGGGAGTCAGGGGTGTAGATCTTGTCTCTTGTTCTGTCTTCTTTTGGAGGCTATCGGACCAGCCCAGCCTTGAACTCACAAAGATCCACCTGCCTCTGCCTCCCGAGTGCTGGGATTAAAGGCGCTCTCCACCAACGCCCAGCTTGTTCTGTCTTCTTATCTGTTTCATGGGAATAAAGGCTTTGTCTGCGGTTTGGGAGGGAGTGTGTGGGGCGTTTGCTCAAACTCTCCTGTGAGATGATGTCACTGACACCCTTTGCAGACCCCCCCACCCCCGCCTCCCCAGGCTTTTTTGCAAATGTGTATGATGTGGCTGTTAACGTTTCCCCCTAGTGGTTATCCCAGAGCTCTGCCCTGGTTATGTTAAGATTAAAAAAAAAAGTTTGTCAGTGACTTTTGCTAAAGCAAGAAGCTTGTGGCTCATTCCCGTCAAATGGAAGTTGGGTTGGGACAGCCAGTCAACTGCTTCAGAAGGCTCTCCGTGATCTAATGAATCCAACAGGGAAATTGAAGGTTTCTGCCCTTGGGCCTGGGATAAGCAGTCACAGCATTTGTTGGCCTTTGAGGACATCAAGAGAAGACCTAGCGAGCAGTTCACTGCATGGACAGGTGGGGGAAGGTGGGGGGGGGGGGATTAGGGTGCTAATGTAGCTAATGTAGACCACTATCACCTAGGTCTTCACTCTGCTGAAAACAGCCTGTGTCTGGAGAGGGTCTCTTCCCCCTGGGTCTCAGTTCCTCTCTCTTTAATGTGAACTCCACTGAAGACACGCTCACGCCTCCTCACTGGGCGCCCTGTGAGAGCATCCCAGGGGTATCTTTCTAAGCTCACCAACTTCCACCCTTCTCCTGCCACCCTTGCCCTTACGTGGAGCTTAGCCCTGAGCAGAGGTGCAGGCTATACACATGGAACCGGAAACCTAACAGCGGGCAGCACTGGTTCCCGTGGCTCAGAGCTTATCACAGCCGCCCCCACGGAAGGCATTTCTCGAGATGCTGTCGACCCTTGTTGACGCGGACCGTACCGAAGAGGCAAGGCTAATAATTGCGATTTTTTTCCTTCTCTCCCCCCCACCCATTGTATTTTAATAGCTCATTTTGGAGACTTTAATTCGTCCATACACCATCCGGGCTACCTCGCCGACAGCCAGTTCATACCAGAACAGAACGATGACTTTTTAAGCAAGGTGGAGTCGCTCCACGAGCAGCACAGGTGCGGGGGCAGGGTGGGAGGGGAGCGTGTCAGGACCCAGGCTGGGTGTTTACAGGTACTGTTATCACTCTGTCTGATGCTCCCTTGGCTTCCTTTGTTGTTGTTGCTTGTTTGTTTTTATACCTTTAGGCTGGGATGGTGGTAAATATATATTTAGCATCTACTTGCATTCTTGGGAAACATAAAGATGCAGTAGTAATTGAGGGTAGTGGTGATAGTTGGTACATTCCTCCTTCAACATGTCATAGACACTGGGCCAATTCCTTCAGGAAATGCCCATTTTCAAGCCGACTGACCGGCCTGCAAGCCGACTGAACCGCCCACACCTTTCAGCCATCTACCTCATTTGAATAAAGCTGGGCTGTTCCCCCGGGTGTTGTTGAGTGGACAGACCGGAGGCCTGGAGAGCTGACAGGGTGGGGGGTCCTGGGTTCAGACTGCTTTTCCTCCACATAGGGAGATGCCCCTAGGGACAAGCTTTGCCTTTAACAAGTACTTCCCATTTCCAGTCTCCTCTTCCCACGCCTCACGTGACTTGAAGCTCCCGTGGCAGCTGCCCGGTTCCCGTTAAATGAGGACCACGCTGACCCAGGCCAGCCCTCTAGAGACGTCTCATTTCTTGGGAAGGCCATAAAAACAGAGGGCAAGCTACCAGCGTACCTTCTTAGAGGGTGCTGCCAACCCTCTCTCCCGGAATTGCTCCTGGGACAGGAGTCAGTGTCCTAAAATAGCACAGGGCCACTGTCGTTTGAAGCGTGAGGCCACTGTTGAGAGGACAGACGGGCAAAAAAGATGAAAGATTACCTATTAACTGAACGGCGTGGCAGAGTGAAGGCAGGGACTCTGCAAGGCGACAGATAGTTTCCACTGTCTGAAGACCTCCCTGAGAGCCCACTTAAGCGGCGGGTGTTTCTTAGTTAAAAAAAAAAAATGAGGTGTCCAGAGGAGGTCAGGTTCATGGTCAAGAAGAAAGCCCTGCTTCAGTAGAATTAAGTTAGGGTGCTTAGGGGGACTAGCCCAAGGCGTTTAGTAACCTTTCAACAACTAATTACAGAGGACTACTACAACTTTTTCCAGATATTTTTTTAATTTTCAAACCCTGAAGTGAACGCTCTCCACCTACTGAGTGAGTTTTGCGGTTTCCCCTTTCTTCTGCAGTGGGCTAAAGCAGTCAGAAGCGGAGTCTTGCTACATCAACATAGCCCGGACCCTAGACTTCTACGGAGTGGAGCTTCACGGAGGCAGAGTACGTGAAAGTATTGTTTGCTTACTTTTTGTAAATTATGCAAGTTCACAAACTTCCCTGGGGGATTGTTTTCTCTCCCACTGGGATAAATAGGACCTTTTAAAAGGTGGTTGGGGGGCTGGAGAGATGGCTCTGTGTTTGAAAGCACTTGTTTTTGCAAAGGACCTGGGCTTGATTCCCCAGGACCCGCACAGAGGCTCACAAACTCCTTGGGAAACAGGCACACACATGGTCCTCGGACATACATGCAGGCAAAACACTCATGCACGCAAAATAATAAAGCAAATCTGAGACACACACACACACACACACACACACACACACACACACACACACACACACACACACACACACGGAAAGCTGATCGAGTACTTACTGGTTTATCTGAGTTTTACCAGTCATCCAGTCGATTGCTTTTTTTTTTTTCACACTTCTGAAGGAGCAGAGGAAACTTACAAAAGCTTTGTGGCTAAATGGGCACAATCCACTTTTCTGTCTCCTAAACGTTTTAGTAGGCACACAGAAATGATGGGCTTAGGGGCCGAGGGTGTCCTTTGGCTGGGAGAGCCCTCCTCCAGCGTTCATGAGGCCCTGGGTTCAATCCCCGTACCATGTCAGCTGGGTGTGCTTGTGCACGTCTGTGATCCCAGTGCTCAGGAGGGAGAGGCAAGAGGACCAAAAGTTCAAGGCCATCCTCAGCGACCTAGCGAGACTGAGGCCAGCCTGGGCCCCCATCTCTAAAAGCGGGGAGGGTGTCAATAAGATTCCGATGCATGCATGCTGCTGCATTTTGCTCATATCCAACCCATCAACGCCCTCCCTTGTCTCTCTCCCCCCCAAAACCCTTCCTCCTCACAAATGGCCCCCCTCTCCGACATTCGTGTGATTTTTATCAATCCGTTTTTACGTGGCAGTTTAATGAGCCAAGGTTTCTACTACATCCTAGGTGTTAAACTCAGATTAGAGCTGGCCACTCAAATACAGTAATGTGTGTGTGTGTGTGTGTGAGTGTATGTGTGTATGCATGCTTATGTGCGTGCATGTGTGTACGTATGTAGATATAGCTGCATGCAAGGTGCACCCATGCCTGTGGAGGCCCCACAGGTTGATGTCCAGGGTCGTCGTCATTGCTCCTCCTCCTCCTCCTCCTCCTCCTCCTCCTCCTCCTCTTCTTCTTCTTTCTTTCTTTCTTTCTTTCTTTCTTTTTGGTTTCTCTGTATCGTTTTGGAGGCTGTCCTGGAAACTCGATCTGTAGACCAGGCTGGCCTCGAACTCACAGAGACCGGCCTGCCTCTGCCTCCCGAGTGCTGGGACTAAAGGCGTGCGCCTCCACTGCCCGGCCACCTTCATCTCTTAAAACAGTGTCTATCATGAACCTGACATTCACTGCCTGGCTGGCTGCCCAGTGAGCTCCAGGGATCCACACCTGCCTCTCCTTCCCAGCGCTAGGATCACAGTCATGTACAACCACGCCTAGGTGCCAGGGATTGGAACTCAGGCCCTCATGCTTGCACGTCGGGCCCTTTGCAGACTGAGCCATCTCCCCAGTCCTAGTCACACTCCATAGCGTTATAGAAGGGATTCAGGGTCTCGAAACCAGTAAATCTTTTACACTGGGATTAGGTTAATAGAACTGACTAATGTTTGTCATCTACTGGGCAAGTTTCTGTGTCCAGACAGACAGTTTCCTCCAATAATTACATCACCCTGGGGATTGTCATGTCTCCCACTTTATAAATAAGAGACTGGTTCTCTGGTAATAGAGGTCACTCAGTCAGGACATGGCCTCAGCACTGGATGTCTTAGTCACTTTTTTTATTGCTGGGAAGGGACACCATGACTAAGGCAACTTATAAAAGAAAACATTTACTGGAGCTCATGGTGCCCGAGGGTTTGAGTCCGGTAAGGGGCATGGCAACCGGCAGGCAAGGTTCTGGAGCAGAGGCTGAGAGCTACATCCTCATCAGCAAGCACGAGGCAGAGAGTGTGTGGGCGCTCTCTGGGAGTGCCACGGGTCTTTTGAGACATTAAACCCTGCCTCCAGTGACACCCCTCCTCCAACAAGGCCCCACCTCCTAATCCTTCCAAAACAGTTCTACCAGCCAGGCCCCAGGCATTTAAATATATAAATCTGAGTTGGGCACAGTGGCAAAACGCCTTTAATCCCAGCCCTAAGGACACAGAGGCAGGAGGATCTCTGTGAGTTCGAGGCCAACCTATTCTAAATAGCAAGTTCCAGGACAACCAGGGCTACATAGAGAGAGACCTTGACTCAAAAAAGGAAAAAAAAATCTCCGACAAAAACATGTGAGGCCCATTCTCATTCAAACCACCACACTTCCTGATCATGCAGCATTTTAGCATTGACACACTAACATATCTGTCTGCCCATCATTAGCCCATATCATACCCACAATGGAATAACTATTGGCCTGGGGAGATAGCGCACTCCGTCAAGTTCTTGTTGCAGAAGCACGAGGACCTGCGCTTGAGCCCAGAGCACATTTAAAAAGCCAGGCTTGGTGACATGTGCTTTGGAATCCCAGTGCTGGAGAGGCAGGGACGGGAGGTGGAGACAGGAGGACCCCTGGGCCACCATGGCAAGCTAGACTAGCTTCCTGGTGAGCTCCAGGCCTGTCTCTGTGACTAAGATCCTTAGCTCCCAAGGAATGACAGACATTCAGGGTTGTCCTCTGGCCTTTGTACTCTCAAATGCACATGTGTGTATGTGTATCTGCACACGTACACATGTGCATATACACACATGTGCACACATACACATGTGCACACATACACATGTGCTCCTGTACACATACATGGACACACACACAGTATTATTAATTAAGCACCAGCTGTGGGCTAGTATTTGTCTCGGGTGCTTTCATAGGAGACCTTTGGGTCTCCTTTCTACAGAAACCCTGCCAAATTGGTATTCTTAGCATCTTCATTTACAGATGAAAGAGAGAGCTAAAGTCTGTAGAAGTTGAATAAATGATCTAAGCTTCTTTTGCCTGTTTAAAAAATCTACACATTGTGTTGAAGCTTTCAGAAACACTTAAACTTCTTTTTTTTTTTTGTTTGTTTTGTTTTGTTTTGTTTTGTTTTGAGACAGTGTTTCTTGTGGCTTTGGAGGCTATCCTGGAACTATTAGCTCTTGTAGACCAGGCTGGTCTCAAACTCACAGAGATTCGCCTGCCTCTGCCTCCCAAGTGCTGGGATTAAAGGCGTGCGCCACCAACGCCCAGCTTAACACTTAAACTTCTTTGTCTCATTTCTGTCCCTTGAGTTCTCTGTTAGGCAGAGTCTAACATGGTTCATACATGGAGGGAGTGTATTGGCTCTTACACAGTAACAGCTTTGGGATGTAACTGGTAAATTTTATTCCCTTTTGCAAGTATTTTTTTTTTCCTAGATAGACTGTTTTGGAGAACCTTATTCAGTGGCAGAATAGGAATGTCTTCTGCTTCCAGATTTAATCTTCACCTTCTCTACCCTCTCCTGTCAGTGAAGTGAACCCTTCAGGCTGGCAGGGTGTGTACGTACCAATACTTGTGAGGTTGCGGTAAGAGTAGTGTAACTTTGAGGCCAACCTGAACTCTATAGTGAGTTCTAGGCCAGCCTGGCGTATGTACATATGGAGACCCAACCTCAAAAGGAAAATAATTGCTTGGAGATTAAAAGTACTTGTTGCTCTTTAGAGGACTAGGGCTTGATTCCCAGCACCCACATGGTGGCTCACAGCCATCCATAACTCAGTTCTAGGGGATCCAATGGCCTTTTCTGACCTCTGAGGACACCAAGCACAAACAGAATGCACTTACATGCATACGGACAAAACACTTGCACATGAAATAAAACAAATAAGTCTAGGAAGGAAGGGAGGGAGGGAGGAAGGAAGGAAAGAAGGAAGGAAGGAAAACACGAGACCCTTCTGGGTTTGGAGGCGAATGATCAGCTGAGATCCCAACCTCAGTCCCCCAGGTGCTGGAGGAGCTGCCTTAACACCTGAGTGGGCACTGCCATGTCTGAGTAGCTTGGTACTACACAGGGTAGTTGTCAGTAGCGTTCTGTTGCCATTGGGCCCAAACTTCTCTTCAGGTGGCTCCTACCACCCAGTAGCCCTCCAGTCGAGGCTCCTCCTCCAGCTCCCCTGTCTTCCCATGTGGCTTCCTTGTCGTCAGAAGCCAGAGGACGGTGCACACAGCTTTCCAGTGCTTCTGTTCCACTTATGCTCAGAGCACGGTGGCCAGGACTGGTCACGTGATCTACCCTTCTGCACAGGAAGCTGGGGCTCAGGGCTGGCGTGGGAACTGAGTCAGTAGCTAACTGGAGTTAACTGTAGTTAGCTGGGGGAAAGGCGCACACTGAAGGACAGCGGAATGCCTCACGACATTCGGTCCTTGGCCCGCCAAGCCGTCCATCCATTCAGTATCCTTTGCGGGTCTGCCCTTCTTCCCGTACCATCGTGGTGAGTGCCACGCTTGCCACAGCCTTGTTCTTCACCGTGCTGCTCTCTGGCTCTGCTCGCACATGTGATTTTAGCCTGGTGCCGGAGTGTGAATGCTCAAGACTCCCTCTGTGTCAACGCCATCTCCCTGTCTCTCTCTGTACCCATTTTTGTTCCTCTGTTACTCATAAGTGGTGGCCCCATCCCAACAGAAACCGAGCATTTGTTGCGCCAGCCACATGCCGATTCTCCACCTAGAGAGCCCTGTTTCCCATTCTCATTTTCTCTACTTTCAGCCTGGTAGAAGACTTTGAGGCGGACCCCTTAATTTTTATAATGCAAAAAGGGAAATGGAGTCTCTCCTGAACCTCAGACAGCATAGACATGCAAGTGTCGGGCCAAAGGCTCACACTCACCTGTAACCGGCTCTGCCCCGTGTTTACGGTTACGGTATCTGACTGGAAACAGAAATATGTGTGACTCAAGGAAGGATCTCTTGCCCCTCTGAATGTCACTTGCTTATACTCAAAGTGGATTTGGAACGGCTTTAAGTGCCTGTGCTTCCCTTCTGTTTCTGTATGGTGTACATGGCTGTGCCAAACACACAAGCTCTTAGTGTAGTCGCATTAGAGTCAGAAGCAGCTTTTATTTCCTAACTGGATTTGGGTCGTGTCTACACGGTGTAATTTTTCTTTATTATTTCATAAATAGCCAGAGCCTGTTCAGTAACTGAAGTTGAGGTCCGTACGGAGTTACACAGACAAGAGGCCCAGTTAAGTCCTGTGTGGTTCCCAAATGCGGATGGATGAAAATTCAAGAGAGTGTTTTTATATTTGATTCTGTGGAGTGAATATTTTTACCTGGTAGCTTCCTAAATTAGGTATCATGACATCATGCACTGTGTGTGTGTGTGTGTGTGTGTGTGTGTGTGCGCGCGTGCACACGAGTACGTGCGTGCATGTTCACTTTAGAAAAACTGGGTGCCAAGTACTTGGCTCTTACGTGGCTGCTAAATGGGTCTTTTTCTTGTGGTCTGTGCTATTTCCCCCCCTTGAGCGGATACATAGCTTCTATTTATAAAAGCGTGGGCACTTTAAAATTAGCAGAGGATGAGCATGGCTGTAACACACCGTGAACCTGGACTCTTCCTCCCTCCCCCCTCCCCACCGCCAGGATCTGCACAATTTAGATCTAATGATCGGAATCGCTTCTGCGGGCATCGCAGTGTACCGAAAATACATTTGCACAAGTTTCTACCCTTGGTAAGTACAAACACTTCGAATTGTCTGAATCATGCTTTGAAAATACGCCGAGCAAAGGTAATGATGGTTCTGATTTTAAGCTTTTATTTCTGAAATAAAAGCTAGAGGATTCCCCCCCCCCACTCATTCTTAAGCTCGGAACTCTGAATTTGATCCAGATTTGGCACCCGGGAAAGCAAACGTTGGTTTTCATTGACTCCCCCCAGTCTGCTGACGTTGGGGGTAGTTGGTGGATAACTGGTGCAGGCAAGTCTTAGAGTTGAGCGGTCGATCCTTGCTTCCCCTTGTAAGTGTGTGGAGTCAGTCCTAGACTCCGATAACCAGGAGCCTGCAAGTAATACAAGCCATATATATATGGGGGAGGGGGGTTTCCTCGCCACATACGTATCTGTGGGAAAATTTAATCTATGAATTAAGTCCACTAAGAGATTTGAAACAGCACATAATAAAATCAAACAGTTATCACAGTACACTGTAATGAAAACTATGTGGATATGACCTCTCTTTCTCTCTCTGGAAAGAGTCAAGGCTGTGTTTTCAAATTGTGGTGGATTCCAGGCAATTGAAACCAGAGAAGACCAGAGCAAAGGTGGGGAAAGGGAGAGTGGAATTGATTTTTTTCAAGACGAGTTTGAGCTTATTGTACCAGGCAAGGGAGCTTTCTTCAGGAAAATGTTAGACTTCCCAGATAATACTTGTTTTGGGGGGGGTTGGGGGAGGGTTTCTCTGTATTGTTTTGGAAGCTGTCCTGGAACTCGCTCTGTAGATCAGGCTGGCCTCGAACTCACAGAGATTCGCCTGTCTCTGCCTCCCGAGTGCTGGGACTAAAGGTGTGCGCCACCAACGCCTAGCTGAATAGGCCATTCTTATCCCTGGTTTCTCATCAGAGAGTGTGTAGCACAAGGAAGTTTGTAAGAACTGTCAGATGCATGCTGCTCACAGTGGTGCAGTTGAAATGCTCATCCGGTTCCTCACTCCAGGACCTGCATTTTTTTTTTCTACCACTAAAAGTTGTGTTTGCGCAGAAATGCTTAAGTAGGATGCACACTTAGAGGCATTGGTTTTCTACTCATTTTAGGGACGTTTAATTTTCAACAAAACACGCCACAGTCTTACTTAGCTTTGTCATGGAGTCGGTGTGATAGGTGATAAAATCTTGAGCCCCTCGCTGGCAGCAGGAGACCCTAGTCATGGCTTGGATGGCTTAGCTAGCTGGGCTGTAGCCTGCAGAGTTCTCTGGCCTGCTCAGAACAAAAGGGGCAGTCAGCAGGCATGAACCTGATTCTCTCTCTCTCTCTCTCTCTCTCTCTCTCTCTCTCTCTCTCTCTCTCTCTCTCTCTCTCTTTATTATGTATGCAGTATTCTGCCTGCATGTATCTCTGCACACCAGAAGGGGGCACCAGGTCTCATTACAGATGGCTGTGAGCCACCATGTGGTTGCTGGGAATTGAACTCAGGACCTCTGGAAGAGCAGCCAACACTCTTAGCCTCTGAGCCATCTCTCCCTCCCCCCTGATTTCTTCCTTTAAGTGCGGCCAGTCCCCCAGTACCATAGGCCAGAAGCCACCGGAGTCCGGCTTCCTCTGTGGCTGGATCTATAACGGTTCCACAATCCGGGTGTGGCATCACATGCAAAGGTAGAGGTGGATCCCATACGGATTCTTTAGTTAGGAAGCCGAAAGAAGCCTTTGGGACCGGGCGGACGGGGTCTCTTGACACCCCTCCAGTCCCTCAGGCGCTCCTTCAGGTAATCTAGGTTTCTCTTCAGGTTCCGCTCCTGTCAAAGCCTGTCTGGGATGCCAATGCTGTGTTAGTTACTTTTTGTAACACTGTGACAAAGTAACTGATAGAAACAAGTTGAGGGGTGCAGAGTCGGCTCACAGTTCAGAGGGTCCAGTGGTATGCGGTGCAGGTAGGGCGGGGGCACTTGAATGGCTGGACAGCGATTGGCAGTGAGAGTTTGCAACACGGCCTGGCCTTTTCACTTTAGGAGATCAGGAAGCAGAGCCCAGGTTGGAACCTTCAGGGTGCACTCCCACTGAGCCACTCCCAAAAGCTAGGCCACATTTCCCAAAGGCTCCACACCTTCCCAGACAGCACCACCAACCAGCTGGGGAACCCAGTGTCCAAATATATAAACACTTCACGCATTCACACTGTAATCAGTGAAAACCTCAAGAGACCAATAGCAAGGTCAGCACTGGAGAGTAAACTCAAGGTAGATAGGTCAGGTCACGGTGCAGCGTGGAGAAGGACCCAGAGCCTGAAGGAGTGAGTCTAAAGAGGGTAGGCACTGGCCTCAGCGGGGATGATACATTCTAGAAAGAAGGTGCAGAGCGAGTGTATCTCCAGGAACAAGGGAGAGCACAGTGGTCAGCACCGGGTGGATGGTGGATTAGGCTAGAGCATGGTGTGCCGTGGTCAAGTTGCCAGAGTGACCGGGACGCCGAGAGACTCACGGGATGCGGGAGTGTTGACGTGACCCTTGATGATCTAATGAGAACTAGATTCCCTCGCATGCAGCGGTCACAGGGATCTGGCTGTCTGCGTCATTCGGTACCTGTTTTCCTTTGTCAGATGATGAGTGTCCAGACGGCAGTGCCCACTGCCTTGTTCTCTCTGTCCCTGGGGCCTGGTACAGTACTCAGTCCATCTACACACTCAGTGCATTATTACTCTTTCCTCGTGCCCGAAACGGCAGTAGAGAAGCCCTCTGTAGGGCCTTCAGCCTGGAAATCGCATCTGTATCCTTCAGATTTGTGTTCCAGTGGAGAACACAGCCAACGAGAGAGTTGTAAGCATTGACGCATGGACACTCTGAACCAGGGGGCCTGGCAGGGGACCCCCCACCCCGGGGACCCCCCACCCCCATATGAAGCCATTGGCACACAAGCAGTTGTGCTGAGCAAGACAAGGCTAAGGACTCCGTGAGGAACAAGTTTGTTCTCCAGACCCCTGTGAAATAGGAATTCCTGTGTGTGCCCTCCAACACAAACCGTATGGAGGAGGGAGACCTACCCATGCTCTGTGATGGGTGCCTCAGAAGAACTGGCCCTAAGAGCCTTCTGGTCCTTATATGATCGGCCTGCAGTCACTCCATAAAATTCACTTGTCAAATAAGAGTATCTGCCAGACTTAAACTAGGTCTTTGCTTTTCATATATACTGCAAGAGTGCTCTGTGTGTGTGTGTGTGTGTGTGTGTGTGTGTGTGTGTGTGTGTGTGTTATGCTGGGGAAATGTCAACATGACTAAACTTTCACTTTACTTATTCAACCTCTCTGTTCTAAAATGTTCTTATCAAGGCCTTGATATGATCCTGGAGAGAAATGGAGTTCCTTTCTTCCCCCAAATATTGTGTTGGACTACAGTAGCTTGTCATAGTGAATACAGTCTATTTAAGAGGTGAACTTATACCGAGCATGTTGGTGCCCATTTGTAATCCCAACACTAGGGCGTCAGAAAGGGTAATCTCTGAGGTCGCCGGCCAGCCAACCTATCCTTTCGTAGTCTGTGAGCTCCAGCTCAAATGAGAGACCCTGTCCCCAAGAATACGGTGGGCAGCACCTGAGGAAGGACACCCAGGGAAGACTCTGGCCTCCACATATGTACACACACGCGCGCACGTGCACATGCACACACAGGCACCCACACGCACGTCCTGATCTCACTCACCAGTTTTAATGAAAAGTGCCAACACTGAGCACCTATGGTGCATTAAGAACCAGTGATAACTTGGCATGCTTACTACATCTTCATTGTCGTAGGACCATGGTGACAAAGGCTGTGACGGGCCACCACTCAGCAGATGGCATAGGGTCCGAGATCATAGGCTCTGGAGGTTGAGCCCCAAGCTCAGAGCATGGCTCCCGGCAGTGACATACATCTCCGCACCCCAACTTCTTATTGTGGATAAACACTATTTGGGTCTGTTGCAAGATGCAATGGAGGCAATGTTTATAAAGCCTGTGGCAGTGGCCTGGTTTATGACAATCCTCGGTGTACTTACCCGGCAGGGGGGATACCGTGATCACAAAGGCGGTTTTCCCAGGGCAGGGTTTATCCATTACATTCGGGATGTGCTGACCCCTGAGGTTTCCCCAAACGCGGGAAACTCGACCGCATAATTTGTGGTAGTGGGGGATTTCGTGCGTGCTCACTCCAGAAGAGAGAGGAAAAAAAAAAAAAACACTTGGTGACTGGTAGCTTTCATTCCGTTTTATGCACATGGTGAAGAGGTTCTTTCACACGTGACTGTTGAGTAACAGAGCTGGGGTACAACCCAGGCCTGTCCTCCCCCCTGCTCCACACTGCCCTCAGCTGTCTTATCCCCCACGTAGGCACAAAGAGACTTAGAGCAGAGAGTGCGCATGGCCCGCACTCCCAGTTATTTAAAAGCTACCTCACAGTGCAGAGGCCCATGGAGATCCAGCTCGGTCAGTCAGCTCCTTGAATTCAGCCGAGGCACGTTCCCAGCAGCCAGCAGTCATCAGATCAAGAAATAGAGGACCCATGCAGAAGAGGGTCAGCTGTAGCCCGGCTGAGCCCTGATGTCTTTGTTTGGTTCGCATTTTGCTTTCTTTTTTGTGTTATGCGTGGTTTTGCTTTGCTTTGCTTTTTACAGGGTGAACATACTCAAAATTTCTTTCAAGAGGAAAAAGTTCTTCATACACCAGCGGCAAAAACAGGTGAGCTCTGCCCACGCTTGCTGCATGGGTTCTGTCCGCGCTTGCTGTGTCCGCTGTGTTAATGGGGCTCCCTCCAGACCTTCAGGGATGGCTCTCTCTGTGTTTTAGGAAGGGAAGGCCGGCCATCAGGTCTTCAGACCCTGTGGTCCTGTCGATGAGTCAGTTGTCCTCTGGTTGGAAAATGAACTTGTTTTAGGTGCGGAGACTCTAAACAGTTCCTGGCTCTCTTCCCCTGGCACCGCCTCTAGCCCGTATTACCTCGTTTCTAGAAGTTCAAGTGGTGCCCACTTCTCCAGGAGCTGTTGGGATTAGCACAAGGGGTCCCAGCCTGAGTTGAGCGCCTAGCAGAGCCCACGGCTGCATAGCAGGAAGCGTCCACGCCGCCAATTCCTTCCTTTAGCATGTCCCGCGGGTGACAGCTTGTGACTGGGTCTTACAAAGCGGAGTCGGCAGGATCCTAGACAACTCTGTCTGTCTGCTTAGCCGCAGCAGAAGAAGTACGCTCAGTCAGAAAGCCAAAGCTCCCACAGCCTCAGAGTGCAGGAGCTGGAATTTGAACGGAGACGCCTGCCCTTTCCACACCACGCCCTGTCTTGTTATGCTGCATAGCTGCCACTGGCTGTCACTGCGTCCATTTCCCAACTTTTCAAAGATGACATGCCCTTAGACTGACCCCGCACAGTGAATGGGCACTTAGAAACGGGATTACCAGAGCTCAGAGTACCAACGGCCGGCCGGAATCTGGGTTACCCGACTGCCCATCAACTCCCACCTCTAGGGCAAGGAGCGTCAGTCAGGATGGCACCCAATTTTACACGGTGTCATAGAGCCTAAATGCAGGTAGACTGAAGGCAAAGCCTGGAGGAAACTGCTTATCGTATATAAGCACTGAAATTCACTCTAGGGCAAGAAATGGAGGACCCCAGGGCTCTAAGGTCTCTACCGCCTGCTTGGTGGGAGAGCATTTCTTCAGGAAAGGGGTATTTTCCAAGTTTGTCAGATAGATGGCTCTTAGGGTATTGTGGGCTCACCCCTACAGACGGTAGCTCCCAAGTAAGCTCCCTCTTAAACTATACGCAGGTTTGAAACAACAGTGTTTGTGAAGGAAACCACTGCCCCCCCCCCATGGTGAGGGGGAAGTGGATTCTGGTCTTTTTTATTACCACACCCATAGAGGCAGTCCTGTTCCAAAATATTCCTGGGACACTGGGGTGTCTGAAGTATCTGGAAGCCTGCTCCCTCCCTTGCCTCCCCTGGGCAGCAGGCTGGACACAGCTTAGCCGTCCTGTACGTCCGTCACAGTGAACCCTCTACTCTTCTCCCGCCCAGGCCGAATCCAGGGAGCATATCGTGGCCTTCAACATGCTAAATTACCGATCTTGCAAAAACCTGTGGAAGTCCTGCGTCGAGCACCATTCATTCTTTCAGGCAAAGAAGTTACTACCTCAGGAAAAGAATGTCCTGTCTCAGTACTGGACACTAGGCTCCAGGAACCCCAAAAAGTGAGTATGCTTTAGGGGGCCATCCACGCCAACCTGAGATATTAACGTGTGTGTGCTGGTTGCCCCGTGTGGGTCACGGACAATCCTTGGGCAGAGAGGCAGCTCTGAGGCCGGACCCCAGATTTTAGGTCCCTGGATGGCAAGCAGAGTGTCTCCAAGGGAAGCCGTGATTTTTAATACGTCTCGTATCCTCAGGGCTGGTTTTAGCCCCCTCAATCCTGCTGCCGTCTGAGTTCCCAGACAGCTGGAACTGCGATTGCCACCACACCCAGCCCAGTAAAGGACACGGAGTGTCATTGCCAGCACGAGCCTGAGGCCACTAAGCCAGCCCCTCCCACAGAACACTAGTTCATAGGCATCCCATAAAAGTGAACCAAGGTTTCCAGAGTCTGGTGGCTTCGGAATGTAACAGCTACAAAATAATAATTATAATTGACAATTACCTAGTATTTATAAAAGGAGCATACTTAATTATCTTTAATTCTTGCAGCGAACTTGAGATAGATGCTACCTACGGGAATAATATTCAAAATATTTAATGATAAGAACAGTAAAACAAACCTACATGTGTGTGTCATATGCATTATAATTTTTTAAAAATAATATATATTGGGTCTTTGAGTGAAGTAATTGTGGGGCCTATGCTTTTGTTTTGTTTGTTCCAAGACAGCTTTGTATAAGAGGCAGCAGAAATGGTTAGAATTTCTAAGTCATTTGCTGGTTTTTCAGAATTGCGATTGTTGGTTGTTGTGAATGTGGCTTTTTCTAATCGAGGCTCAGGTATGAGCTGTTATTTGGAGTGAGACTTGATAAGAGCGTTGTAGTGGCTTTCCTATTGCATGTTTTAGTCTTTAGGTAATGTAATGATTTAGTGACTGGCAAACTGCCTCCCTCTGGTAGGGGCAGTGTTGTTTCTTACGAACCAAGAGCAAACATTTTTTTTTTTAAAGAAGTGTTTAGCTCTTACAGTTCTGTCTAGTATTTGCATGCATTCATTCGGTGCTCCATCTACTACTGAGTAGGCCATAAGGATGATGGAGCTGCCTCGTACCCGGGATGCTACATGGAAACCAAATCCTCTTCCTGCACGGGGGCCCCTCTAGCCAGCCAGAGGCACTGGATGCGAGATGATGCCCGGTGAGCTCAGCCACCAGCAATAGCCCCGCTGTCTACAAAGAGCTCACCTGCCACTGTTTCCCAGTGCCAGCATTGACAGCCCAGTTAGCTGCAGCGGGTGGGGCCGTCGTGCCTCTTTGTTAGGCACTCACCGGGTCACGCCATCCTGGGGACTTCCCTGGCGGAAGTAATGCTGAACACTCCAAGCCTGGCGTCTCTCACCAGGAGCCTCAGGATCCTAGCCCCTGCAGGCAGCAGGAGCAGCAAATAGCAGATTAGCGGCCCCATGACGTCTGGGAGTGTGCTCAGGGTGGTGGAGTCAGACTCGGGTGCCACAGCAGGTCAGAATGGCAGATCTGAACAGTCAAGAGGTTCAGGTTGAAGAAACAAACAAACAAAAAGTCGTTTCTTTTGTGACGTCTCCAGCATAAGCATATATTTGAGCTAAAGCATAAGGCATAAATCCACCGGTGAACTCTGCTATGTACTCGTCACTGCGGAGTGGCGGTGTAAATAGTGATGTCACTACAGCCTTGCTACAGAAGCACAATGAGATGGCGTGGAGTTTGCAGGGGGCCTCCCTCCTTGTCAATGTGTTACTTGTGCGATCCCACCCAGATGTTACAATATTGCTATTTATGTGGTCATTAGAGGGAAGCAGTTTTCTTCCAAGTAAGAGTTGGCTAGGCCTCGATGGGCAGAGCTGGCGCACACCTTTAATTCCAGCACTCGGGAGGCAGAGGCAGGTAGGTCTCTGTGTTTGAGGCCAGCCTGATCTACAGAGCAAGCTCCAGGACAGCCAGGGCTACACAGGGAAACCCTGTCTTGAAAGCCCAAACAAACAAACGAGAAACCGAATTGGCTAGAACTTATCCTCCAGGCAGGTGGCATACGAGGGACTGAGTGACGGAGCTCAAATCCTCCATCTCTCACTTGAGTTTTAGTTTTCTGCCTCAGTTTCCTTATCCGAAAACTTCTCCATCTGCAGCCAGTACAGGGTCCTGGTTTCTGGTCATTTTCTGTGGCATGAGGACCCCTATTTTGGTGCTTACAGCAACAATAGTCTGTTATATCTCAAAATTTGTGGGTTAGGAGTTCAGGAAGGGCTCACCAGTGACTCCTCTGCTCCATTAGACCTACCCCGATGGGCAGGGGCTTTTGTGACAATCGGCTGCTAGCAGCCATTTTTAACCCTCTACAGAGGATCCCTTGAGGTCCGGAAGGCAGTTTGGAATACGAGTCATCGTTTTCATTGGTACCATCTTTCAGCACACTGTTCATTTTGACTCTTAAATTTTTGTTTGTTTGTTTTACTTATTTATGTGTAGGCATGGGGTGGGGGGAGATGCGTGCATGCCACGGTACACGCGTGGAGATCCAAGGACAACTTTGAGTCGGTTCTCTTCTATCCTGTGGGCCTCAGGGACGGAATTCAAGTCATCAGACGCGGTGGCAAGCGCCAATACCCCCCTGAGCCGTCTGACCAGCTCTTACCACCTCCATCGTTTCACAGATGAGGGAGCCGAGGTCCAGCCCAGCTCCAGGGTACATCCATAGGTCTGTGCTTCGGGCCCTCTGATAGGTTCCGTGAAAGGGGAATTTGATCATTATTTTCCAGAGATAATGGGACAGTTTCAAGTCTCTATTAATAACTCGTGACACATGCTTTAGGGATCTGCCACGTTAAACCTTGGAGTCACGCTGCCTGCTTCCCCCGATTTTAATTTTACAGCCTTCCCCACTGGTCTCGTGGCTTCTTACATGGCTGACCTCGGGGGTGGGTGGGGGGGAAGGGTCACCTGGTGATAGAGCAGCGAGCACTTTGATGAGAGTGACGGTGGCATTCCTTATTAAGAACTGGTACCCGGACTTTATTGTACTTCTTTGTCCTGCTGTTTTGTGTCAGTCAGTTGGTTTTAGGCCACAAGGAAATAGATGGGATATTTAAGACATCAGAGCACAGTGTAAAACTGGAAATGCCCCAACCGTTACCTCCAACCAGACTTCCAGTGAGTTGCTAAGGTAATCTATTCCTCAGGATTTCAATTTTCTAACTATAAATAAACTTCAGAAATATCCTTCAGGCAGCGCATTCAAAGTCTGTGACCTGAAGCTGTTCTAAGTACATCCTCAGCCTCTGTGTCAAAGACTTCCCAGGGATCTATGGTTGCCGCCTCTGCTGGCCGGTGGACATGGAGCGTCTGGAAGGATGACCGCGCTTTTGTTCGTGCCAGTGGGAGGCACATTGAGGCAGATCCCTTGAAGTTACTGGAGGTGCGCTGGTCTGTGCTATTCCGGTGCTACCTCTAACCTGGTAGCTTTGGTTATAGCCTAGAAGCAGCCCCACTGTTTTAAAGTGGTGCAGACACAAAAAGCATCTTCAACAAAAAGACCAGACATCACCCGAAGAAAAACAGAACAAGAAAGGAGGTCTGGGGCCAGTGGGGGTGGTTCATCGGGTAAAGGGCATTGCTTCCAAGCCTGTCGACCTGAGTTGGATCCCCAGAACCCACATGGAGGAGAGACAGAACCGACTCCTGCAGGTTGTTTACCGACCTCCACAAGGACGCCATGGCCCGCCCACACACATGCGTACACACACCCACACAAAATAAATACATCTAATCTTAAAATTTTCTAAGAGGGAGTGGCCTGGCTATGGCGGTGCACACCTTTAATCCCAGTACCCAGAAGACAGAGGCAGGTGGATCTCTGTGAGTTCGAGGGCCAGCCTGGTCTACAGAGTGAGTGCCAGGGCAGGCTCCAAAGCCACACAGAGAAACCCTGTCTTGAAAAACAAAAAACTATATATATATATATATATGTTTTTTTTTTTAACGGGTATTCTGGAAACTGTCTGCCTCCACTCCGCACTAGCTGGAGTGGCCAGGGCTGGTGTCACTGGGGTGCTAGGTAAGTACGTTCAGAGAAGGTTCCGGGAACACTGTATTTTATGGACCTGCCAGTGTGGAAGGTGAACCTGCATCTGGTTTTTCAGGTCTATAAATAACCAATACTGCAAAAAGGTGATTGGAGGAATGGTGTGGAACCCAGCCATGAGGAGGTCCTTATCGGTGGAACGGCTAGAAACCAAGAGCCTGCCCTCTCGGTCCCCACCCATCACCCCCAACTGGTATGTCCTCTTTTATGCTGTGCACTGGTGGCAGATACCTCTCTCTCTCTCTTAAAGACACAAAAGTCGGCTTTAAACTCTTCAACAGCGGCAGCCTGCAGTCAGACTTGTGTGTGTGTCCCACGTGTTGCAAAAAAGGAGCCAGTCTCCCGAGGTCAAGGCGTGGGGACCCTTTCCATACTGGGTTCTTTCACTGTGACATTCCAGTACACGTGTAGTGTTCAAGTCAAGTCAACCTGTCATGCCCGCCAGACAGATAGCATTTCTTTGTGTCGAGGACTTAGAAATCCCTTGTGGTAGCTGGACATGGTGGTAAATACTTGTAAGCTTAGCATTCAAGAGCCCCAGGCAAGAGAACCAAGAGTTCGAGGCCAGCTTGAGCTGCATGGACCCAGTCTCACACAAACAAACAAGACGAATAAATGCATCCCTTCTGCTGGCAGTCCTGAAATACTCAGCTGATCATTGTACACCACAGCTAGAAGAGCAGACGTTTCCCCTCCTGTCTCACTGTACTCCTGAAGTGCCTCTGTAAAAACCGCACGGTGGTGGCACACACCTTTAATCCCAGCACTCCAGAGGCAGAGGCAGAGAGGCCAGGGGTATCTCTGAGTTTGGGGCCAGCTTGATCTACAGAGTGAGTTCCAGGACAGCCATGACTACACAAGGAAACCCTGTCTTGAGAAACCAAAATAATAATAATAATAATAATGATAATAATAATTGGGGCAGGGCGCAAGGACTTAGCTTAGTGATAAAGTACTTATACAGCATGGGCAGATACTTGTTTCATTCTCCAGCCCTGCAAAGCAAATAAAAAAAATAACACTTGGTGCCCAAGGCCTGCTGTAACGCCCTCCTTAGAGTCATAGCATCTTGAACATGGTATGCTCTTAAGAAGTCTGTGATAGCCAGGCGTTGGTGGCGCACGCCTTTAATCCCAGCACTCGGGAGGCAGAGGCAGGTGGATCTCTGTGAGTTCAAGACCATCCTGGTCTACAAAGCGAGTTCCAGGACAGCCTCCAAAACAATACATAGAAACCCTGTCTCGAAAAACCAAAAAAAAAAAAAAAAAAAAAAAAAAAAAAAAGAAGTCTGTGATAAAGAAGTTAAAAGGATAAAGGATGAAAAGAGAAAAGAAACCCTCAGGGTTTTAAGTTTCCACAAACGGAACAGACGTTTGGACGCTTCTTCTTGAAACTTAGTTCAGAAGAGGGTGGCGTGGGATCTTCTGCTGGCAGTTTAATATGAGTGTCCCCTAAAGGGCCAAGCGTTATCGGCAGGAGAAACAAATCAGGGAAAAATTGGACCTTGGCTCCATGGGATTAGCAGCGTGGCTTGCACGACAGGTGGACCTGCACGTTTCCTAGTTAGGATCTATGGGCTTAAGGGATATGGGGAGAGAGGCCTGGGAAAGGACCCTCTAGAGGGCCCTGGGCAATGGTGATGATGACGGTGATGATGATTATGATGACGATGATGGATGACGGTGACGTTTGTGCTGTAAGGCACCAGCTTAATTTATGTGGAAATTTGTCAAGGAACCAGAGAGAGAGAGAGAGAGAGAGACAGGCAGACAGACAGACAGACAGACAGATAGACCCCGGTGAGATCCAGGAGAATAACAAGGTTAGATGTTACTGTATCCCTGGCTTGACTCTCTTGTTGCCAATTAAAGATCCTCTCCCAGGAGTCTCAAAAGCCACATTAGACACACACTGATTGTGCAGGAGCAGGAGGCGGCGGGGTTGCAAGTCCCTGAGAGTCCCAGAGAGAAATAGCCAACAAAGGAAGCTGGGAACCTTTCAGGAGAAGAGAGCAATAAGGTCACACGATACAGGGGCCGGCACCCGGGGGCAGTCGCAAATGTTCCCTCGACTCTGTCTCATTTGGCTCATTCTCGGGGGCTGTAAGCACAGCTGAGGCCAAGAGGCCATGGGACTTATCTAAGGTCACCGGCTTAACAACTGCGGATAATGGGAAGCTGGGCGGTGTTCTGATGCCCATCACATTACAGGTGTTGAATAAGGAGAACATTAAAAAAACAAACAACAACAAAAAAAAACCAAGTGTCTTTGGTCTGCAGAGATGGCTGTGTGTAAAGTGCTTGCTGGGCAGAGTTCAGATGCCAGCACTCACCTTGAAAAGTAAGGCATTGCCGGGCAGTGGTGACGCATGCCTTTAATCCCAGCACTCAGGAGGCAGAGGCAGGCGGATCTCTGTGAGTTCGAGGCCAGGCTGGACCAACAGTCTCCAAAACAATACAGAAAAAAACCCTGTCTCGTAAAAAAAAAAAAAAAAAAGAAAGAAAGAAAGAAAGAAAGAAAGAAAGAAAGAAAAAGAAAAAAAGAAAAGTAAGGCATTGACATAGACGCCTATAATCCCAGGGCTGGGAGGCAGAGATGGGAGGATCCCAGGGTCTGGCCAGCCAGCCTAGTTGGGTTGATGAGCTCCATGTTCAGTGAGAACTGTTTCAAATAAATAGAGAGAAGACACTAGACATCATCCTATACATGCACACGCATGGACACACACACACCCACATACATCACACATGCACACAAGTTCTAAAGTTAGTTTTCCTTCTCGGATCGAGGGGAAATTCGGCGAGAAGTAACACACTTTGCCTTTTAAACCTTTCAGCGGGACCAACAGCCTCCAAAACAATACAGAGAAACCCTATCTCATAAAACAAAACAAAACAAAAACCTGTTAGCGGGCATTGTTGGATTGGTGAGAAAAGTTTAAGGTGGCTTGAGCCTTCTAGAAGAGCAGCTCACCCTTAATCAATACTCACTGACCAGAAGGTCTAAACCAGTTTAGTTCTGCATATTTCTAAGCTGAGACTGCGGTTCTGGGGGCTACACCACTTACTCGGACATGTCAGGGACCTGTGTTGCCCTGGCTGGAGTCTACCAGAGTAGGAATGACCTCACTGGCTCTGACATATTTGTTTTGGTTATTTTTGAGACAAGTTCTCATTAATTCCCCTGATATCCCCCTGTAACACTTGATCCTCCTTAGTGCTGGAGTTATGGGTGTGTACCACCACCACACCCAGCTCTGCAGCTGACTTTCTAAGCACCAGTCAGGGCATCCATGGAGGCGCCAGGTCACGAGGTCACACATTCGGTCAAACCCCTGTGTGGGAACGGTTCTCAGCACTTGGCACTGTGTCTCTCCCCTTTGCAGGAGAAGTCCTCGGCTCCGGCACGAAATCCGAAAGCCCCGCCACTCCTCCGCGGACAACCTCGCCAGTGAGATGACCTACATCACGGAAACGGAAGATGTGTTCTATACCTACAAGGGATCCCTGTCCCCCAAAGACAGCGATTCCGAAGTTTCCCAGAGCCACAGCCCACACCGAGAGTAAGAACCACGCAGTTTCTGTCTTTGTATCCCCTTTGGGCAGGTGAAGAGTTTGCTCAGGCCCAGGTGCCGGCTGAGAAGAGGCAGGAGCTGGTGCCTGCAGCAAGTTCCCAAAGGCACTCTCCTGGGGTGGGAACGTAAATCCGAATGCCTGTCTGAATAGAAGACTATTGGGTAAATCCTTCCCGCCAGCCTGGTTCCATAGCCGCATCAGTCCCAAATGAACACACAGGAGGCTATATTAATTATGAAGCTGTTGGCCTTGCTTGTTTCTTACTGGCTAGCTCTGACTTAAGTATTTAACCTATCTTAAGAATTTCTCTTACTGGAGAGAGGTCCGGACCTCTTACTTCTATGGCGGCTACAAGATGTCTCCCTGTGTTTCTCTTTCCCAGAATCCTCCTCGACTCCTAGTCCCACCTATCTTGCTTCCCTATTGGCCAACAGTGCTTTATTCAACAACCAATAAGAGACAGATTTACAGAATGGCATCTCCCAACAGGAGACAACCTGTATGCCTAGAGCTCAGAGAGGGACAGATGCTACTCTCTCTGGGTACCTGCAGGTCTTGTACCGCCCAGGGCACAGGCAGTGCCTCATGTAAGATGTCTCTGTATCTCGCAAGTACAGACTCAAGGGCTGTGCTTGCCATGATTTCCCTGCATGATGTAAGCATGACCTGTGACCTTAGTCATCAGGACCATTCTGACGTCCAGGAGCCTTCTTAGAACAGTATGCCCTCAGGGTTTGTTTCCTTTTTGTTTTTTTAAACTAATAGTGTAAAGACAAAAAAAAAAAAAACGGAACAAGACAGGGCTACCACAAATGGCCAAGTCTGTCGACCTCAGTCTGATACCCACGTGGCGGGAGGAAGCCCCACCGCTTGCCCTAGGATCTCCACGTGCGCTTGCACAGGCACACCTACTAAAACATTCTTAAAAGTAGGCTATTCATTGTGAAGCGTTTGCCAAGGACGTTTTCTTCTCAAGTCTTCCGTGGCCTCTTTCGCTGTTGTTTGAGACGGGTGCGACAACCTACTTCCTTTGTCCCTTCCGCTGTGGCTTGGCAGTCTGGGACCACTGAGGACCCGGTCTTTCACTGTCCTGTCTGTATTCACTAGCCACAGGCTTCATGGGGTCCAAGCTTGCCTCTAGCTTGCTGTGTAAGCTGAAGACAATCCTGAGCTCTTGATCCCCCCCCTCCCCTCTTCACCTCCCAAATGCCGGGATTGCAGCCCTGGGCCACCGTACCCAGTTTACGCCCACTCTTCCTCTTCCCTAGAGCGACACGCTCCCCCTCATTGATCCAGCCAGGAAAAAGCATCTGTTCTGCATGCCAGGCTTGAGTCTGTCTTAGTTATAACTCGGTCACAGCTGGCGCACCTGCTCCCTTCTTGCCTTGATTATCAGAGGGCTCAGAGCTGCGTCCCTGTTAGACTCATTTGCATCTGCTTCCCCCCAACCCAGGTGTCTGGTAGTCTCTTCCCCACATTCCTCACCTTTAGTATACAATTCTGTCGCATCTGTGTATCGTTTGGGATACGCTGTCGTATTCTGAAGCAGATAAGACGTAGGCCATACGTGAGATCTTTAAGTCAAATCATGACAGGAAAGGGTAAGGCATTCGGAAGCCGACCTTAGGCCATTGGGTATTTGAACCGTTAAGCCCCAAATAATGGCCAAAACCAAGAAAGGTAATGTCTTCCCCCTATTGGAGAAGGATCAGCAAGCAGCAGGCGCTTCAGTCAGTCTGTAAATGTTTACCGAGGGAGCTGCTAAAGCTTCCGGCATTAAGTACATCCGGCGTGTGCATTAGACACTTACGGGTGAATTGCAGATCTTCCCGCTTCTGTGGGGGGGAGTGGGTGGGAGGGGGGTGGGGTGGACCAGGAACTTGTGTCTCTGCCCCTGCCCACTGCAAACATGGCCTCCAGATGGCCTGTGCCTTTAACACCTCTGCTCAGATGATCCCTGTGCTCATTATTTCCTTGTGAATCCTGAACCTGGGGATTCTCTTGTTGAAGTCTGATCGCTGTCTGCCCCTGCAGTTCTCAACCCACTGCCCTGCCGTGGAAACTTCAGCTAGAAGGGCTGTGAGCTTCATTCATGGGCCCCTCACCCCTCCACCCCACGCGGCTCTGTGACGGCAAAGCAGGAGTACAGAAGGCGGCTGTCAGAACCAGTCAGAGTCCTCCCCGACATCCAGACTCTGTTCCCTTGATACAAGGCAAAGAGAGGGCCATAGGGATGCCCACTCCAAGGGCTTGGGGAAGCCGGCATATACTCCCCCCATCGAGCCGCTAGATTTTCACCGGCCGGGTACAGCAGCCGCCCACCGCAGGCGGCTGCTCAGATTGAAGCCAACTAAAATAAGATGTTGTGTTCAGCGACTAGGATATGCACACACATGCTTTTTAAGCATCGCCGAGTCACATGTGCACGACCCCTGCGTATCAGTCGGCAGTTTACTGCCAGTGGGAGGGCTCTGCCATTCGCCGAAAGTAGAGCAAACCCCCACGAGTCGAGTTTAGGGGCGTCACCTGGCCTACCTGTGGAGTGACTGCCACCTCTGACCTAGCTTGTAGAGTACCAGGTGGGGGGATCTCTGAGATCCCTTGTGTCCCCATGCCTCTGGTGACTGAGGTCTTGTCTCTTGTCCCGTGACGCGGGGACATTCTGAAGAGCTCCGTTTCTCCTGACTGCATCATCATACTTGCTGGTTGTGGAGAAAGGACCGCAAAATGCAGTCCAGTAAGGCTTCGTTTTTTAAGTGCTTCCAGGCCTGCTGGGGCAGTGCCGTTGTCATCCGTCTCCACTGTCACCCTGCGGTGCTTGCTCTGTGACTTTGGAGGACTCTCAGGGTTAGGAGAGGCCCTCACAGATGCCCCTACTGTTCTACAGCCGCAGTGGGTGTCAGCATGTCTAGGCTTTCACGGTCAGGCCTGCCAGCCACCACCCATACCAGACCGCTGACTTAAAGACTCTTGAGAGTGGAGCACAGTTTGAGGTCTGCTTCTTTCTAGCTCTGTTGGCTTGGGTGATCCCTCACCCCAGCCATCCCTCCACCTTTCAAGCTGGTTCTCTGAGCTGTTTCCATGAGACCTTCCTTGTAAGATGGCCTCTGGGGGGTGGGGGTGGGGGACACTTTTTCTTTTGCAGCCCAGGATTAGGAGACACAGATGATGGCCTTGCAAAGGTACTCGGACAGTGCAGAGAGTATGCTTTTGTGGCTGGGCTTCACAAGGGGGATGGATGGTTGGAAAGTCCCAACCCCAGTCCTCTCTCGGTGGCATCAAGCACCACTCTGTCCTGTGTGCTTATGAAGCATTAACACCTGAGTGGGGCGGGCGTGGGGTGTATGTGGGGGGGGGGTCTTTATGCCTCTGGCAAGAGATACAGGCTGGTCTGAACTTAATTTGAAAAGAAACTTTGCCGGCAACATTGTATTTACTGAAGTGTTTCAAGAGGCGGTTGACATGTTTTCTACAGCAGGCTTGTAGTCTGAAAGAAGCATTGTGTCAGAGAAATCAGAGGAAGGAGCTCAGACAGCGAGAACGACTCCTTTTAGAGCAGAATTAAGTGTAATGTTCTGTGCTCATTCAAAAAAGAGAAGAAAGAGAGAAAGGCTTGCTTAGAGCCCCATCGCCCGCACCCACCCACCCAGCCCACACCCCCAGTGGCACAGGGAGGGAACATCGTCTCGGCAGATGAGTCACTCGCCGGTTTGTTCCATATTTATTGCAGCGCTGCAGAGTTTATGATTATAGTTCTGAAGCCCTGGCAGTGTGCTTTGCACCCAGGCAGGCTGTACACTTTTGTTGTCCCCAGCACCGCTCTCCATTCCTCCTTGCTTCCGGGGGGAAGTTCAAATTCTGCCAGAGGAGCCGATTTTCCTCATGGTAGAAACAAAAAACCCAAAATTCCCCCATCTCCCCTCACACCCAGGTACAAGGGAGGAGGTGTGCGTGCGCAGAGGGAGCACTCACCCTTGGAGCTGACACTGGAAAGCAAGGGTAACGTGGCTGGGGCTTGTATCCCAAAGATCTTGCTGGCGCTTCTTGGTCAGAGTTGTTTCGGTCGGTCACCAATATGGCGCCCAGAGTGAGTCTCACTTGGCGTCATAGTAGCCGACTGGCTGTTTCTTTCGTTTCCGAAGGTGTGTCCTCCTCCATAAGACACAAGATAACTCTTAACATTCATTTTAAAACTTGTATGATTTTGGATGGGACCTTGTGGCAGTCTCCTTCTTCATCTACAGTCATAGTGGAGGAGACCGTGCGGCCCCATCGTCTGAGCCCTTGGGGTCTCTGAACCCTACCAGTGACAGGGTTCCCTGCAGAGTGACGGTCTGTCATACTGTCTGACACTCAAGTTGTTGGTACAGTTGGCCCTCTCTGCCTACACACTCTGCATCCATAGGCCAAATCACCTGCATGTCCAGTGTCGTGGGGCCTGTCCTGATGGCTGAAGTAAACATGCAAGGGATTTTTTTTTCTTGCCAGGACAGCAAATATTTGTGTGCGACATTTACACTGAATTGGGTATTGTGAGTAACCTGGAGACGATTTTAAAGCACGGGATGTTGCATATAGGTAAAATGAAAATATTAGAGGGCTTTATGTGAGAGACTTAAGTATCCGCAGTGGAGGGTACCCTGGAACTTCTCCCCAGGGGATTCTGAAGGACAATTGTGTCTCAAGTTGTCCTTGTCTTGGGGCTTCTAATGCTGTAAAGAGGCACCATGACCACAGCAACTCTAACAAAGAAAAACATTTCATTGAGGGTGGCTCACTTAGTGTCAGAGGCTTAGTCCTTTATTGTTGTGACAGGAAACAAGGCAGTGTGCAGACAGACAGGGTGCTTGCTGGAACCCAGAGTCCTTACATCTTGATCCAAAGGAAACAGGAAGTGAGCCGACTCCCCGGGCATAGCTTGAGCGTGTAGGAGACCTCAAAGCCCACCTCTGCAGTGACAGGGTTCCTCCAACAAAGCCACACCCATTCCAACAAGGCTACGCCTCCTGATAGCGCCACTCCCTTTAGTGGGCGGGTATTTCCTTCCAAGCAGCCACGGTGATCCACATTTTGATGCTGGCCCAGGGTGCAGGCTCTCGCCTCCAGCTTCTAGAACACAGGCTGCTTTGCTTTCCAGGTCCCCTGGCAGCCCTGCCGTAAGGAACAGTGGTTCTTTAAGTTAAGCAGTCTCATTCTTGCTACTTTCTACCTTTTTCCTTCCCTGCCATTACTCTGGGAGCACTCGATCCCCTTACCCCAGAGGACAGTGCAACACCTGATGTAGGAGAGGATCTGCCGCCATCCAAGGAGCCAGGGTCAGGGTTTCATTAGGTGTGGGTAACGCGGTGGTGATGGCAATTATCTCTGAGCCAGACCAGGTTTATAGGTGGATACCCACAAGTACCTGGAACCTCCCAGCCTTGTCTCTGCTCTGGGAGTGTTGTGACTCCCGTAGTCTGAGAGCCTCCCTGTTCTCTCCTGCTGGGAACCTTAGTCTTCCTTTGTCCTCTCTTCCTTCTGCACCTGGTTGGTTCTAACTGCCACCTCCAGCATCCCCTGCCCCGCCCCACCAACACCTTTGGAGTCAGGGAAAACGTCTTGCGCAAGTATTTCGCAAGAATGGTACTGTTCCTCATCTCTCTCCAACATTGCAGCTCATTCAGAAAACACGATTCTCTCTGTTACAGCTCTAGTCTGCAGTCTGTCTCTCTGCCTCCTTCTGCCCAGGGACTGGGGTGTGTCTGTCTCCCTCTGGCTGCTCCGCTTCCTGGGGGATGGAAACAGATCTCTTGGTGTTGCCTGCCTCCTCTTGAGACGTGGCTTCTTGCCTTCCTTCATCCTACCCCTTTTCTCAACTCCCTTTTCAGCAACTCCCCCCCCCCCAATTCCCCATTCCCTGGGGCTGTGTCTCTTCCACTACAGCTCAGATCCCCGTCAGCTCCACAGAGAACCCTGAGCAGACTGGGGGTAAGAGCCCACGCCATTCTGAGAGCTTCTCGTCATTCAGATTTCCCTTTGGAGTGTCCCTCCATCCACCCTGAACACTAAGCAGAATGCCGTTTTGTGCTCTCCAGGAATAAAGCCTGTGTGCAGTTGACCCATCCGAAAACTAGCCACTTGTTCATTGAGCCTCCCCGCTGGCAGAACGGCCTCTCCAACCCTGCTTAGAAGACAGGTTGGGGTGTGGGATATCTTAGAATAGGTCAGTGGTCACAGTGACGACTGCTCGCTGTTTTAAAACAGGATTAAACATTTTGGGGTCTGTCACAGTCTATGTGCTTGAGTGTTTTGCCTGCGTGTATGTATGTGTAGCCTGTGTGTTCCTTGATGCTCGTGGAGTTCAGAAGAGAGCATTGGACCCCCTGAAACTGAAGGTGTGGGTGCTTGTGAGTCACCCTGTGGGTGCCAGGAACCAAACCCAGGTCCTCCGCTAGAGCAGCAAGTGCTCTTACCTGCTGAGCCATCTGTCTCTCCAGGTTCCCTGTTTTAGATAGATCAGAAAAAAGTGTTGTTTTTGTTTGTTTTGTTTTTCTGAGACAAGGTCTGCCTACTTAGCCCTGGCTGCCCTGGAGCTCACTATGGAGACCAGAGTTCCGTATTAGGAAGAACCCTGTGAACTACCTAAGTAAAAAGGATATTCGTTGGTACCGTTTTACCGAGCGTAGTTTTTTTCACTGCCTGGAGAGATGATAACCAGTAAACTGCAGGCCAGATTCTTCTCTTACACACCTCTGTTTCTACATTGGTCCGCCGCTGAATATTTTGTTCACATAAATTAAGACTGTGAATCATTGTGTGTGAATAGGGTGCAGATTTTTATATTTAGAGTGGGCTAATTTAGGCTGGGGGGTGTAGCTCAGTTCTTGCTTATCATGTGAGAGGCCCTGGGTTCTCTGAGAAGAAAAGAAAAGCAACCTCTCCAGCCCCTGCCCCCCAGTTTTAACTTGCTAGGAAAGCAGAAGTATCACTTAAAGAAACATCTACAGGCAACGTCTTGGAATACAGGGTTAGTGAACGGTAGAAGCCGAGGTAGGAATGGGCGGAGAAGCCGCTCTCAGGGGGCTTTTGCGGGCTCCTGTGCTGGTTACAACACAGTGTACAACCCACCCCTCACCCTACCCCCCACTACCTGTGTGATACTCTTTAGATAATGCTTCTGGTCCCTGGCAAGTTCAAATTAGCGGGTCCGTGTCCAGAGTCCAAGTCGGATGGATTGTATTTAACCTAGAAAAGAGCACGGGGTAGCCCGAGGACTTTTGCAGAAACGCTCAGGTTTCAGCATCCCACAGCAATCTCAAGCTGCCAGCCCCCTCCCCCTCCAGGCCAATGGTAATTTGCTCTGATAATATTGATCGATTTATTAAAACATCTCCTTCTTCCTCCCCACGATGAAGGAGTTTCTCCGAAAACAAGTCAACACAAAGCTGCCTGAACCGCAAGTCATCCAGTTCAGTGTCGCCTTCTTCAAACGCTCCCGGCTCCTGCTCCCCAGACGGAGTTGACCAACAGTTCCTAGAAGACTACCACAGGATGATCAAAGGGGGCTCCGTCGAGGATGCCAGCCAGTACTACTGTGACAAGGTGAGGGGACGGTTCCGGGTGCTGCCACACTCGGACTGAGTGCCTCGGTGACCCCACCCTCGTGGGCAGGCAGATGAGTAGTTCCGATTGAGGGGATGTATCTTGCCACCAACCACTGCAGAGGGAAGGGATATAAGCGACACTGTCACATGTCTTCTAGAATGACGAAGGAGATGGCTACCTCGTCCTGATCCGTATCACCCCAGATGAAGATGGAAGATTTGGATTTAATCTTAAGGTACGCTTCGGCGAGTACGCGTAGCCCTTGGGTTGTATGCAGTGAGACAGTCTTCGGGTGGATTTTGAGTTTCAGCCGGGAATCTGCTACATACCTATACTGCGTCAACAAAACAAAGCAAGCAAAACCTCGCTTGGGGCTGTAGAGCTAGCTCAGTTTGGTAAGGTTCTTGCCATGCAAACATGAGGACCTGGTTTCGGTCCCCAGGAACTGCCTGACAGAGATGGGTGTGGTGATGCACTCCTGTAATCCCAGTACTGGGGAGGCAGAAGCAGGTGGGTCCCCTGGGCTTTACTGGCATAGTCTAGCATAGTCAGAGAGCTCTGGGCCAAGTAAAAGACACTGTCTCGAGAGACCAGTTAGATGGCACCAGAGGAGTGAGACCCCCCCAGGATGACCTCTGACCTCTTTCCATATACAACTTGTGTGTGCATGCGTCCTCAAATGCACACACACAGCCATTCAGGACTACTCAGGGCTAAGAGCTGGGCCTTTTTATGTGCTTGTACAACTACCCCATAGGCAAGCGTTTGCAGTGTGCCTGACATTGGCGGCGTTATACCAGACTCCTGTCGTCTTGCTGAGCTCTTAGAATAGGTGGCTGAAGCAGAACATGTGGGGGCTATCGCCCGCAACCCCAGCATACCAGGGGCTAACACAGGAAGACTGTGAGTTTGAAGCCCGCCTAGACTGCCTGTCAAGTCCATGGCCAGCCAGGGCTCTCAAGGCCTTACCTCCAAAGAAATGAAAAACTAAATAAGGCACAAGACAGTTGTTGAACAGATCTCACAAATGAAACCGAGGTTCAGAAAGTCATCGTGTGTGTGTGTGTGTGTGTGTGTGTGTGTGTGTGTGTGTGTGTGTGTGTGAGTGAATGTGATTGGTGATCAGCCCACACAGCCCACCCTGGAGGGCTTGTTTAGAGAACCCTACAGCCCTGCTGGACTGGTAACGGGAAAGCCAGCTCTTTAAGGCGCTGGGCTCCCTTGTCTAACGGGTCCCTCCCGGCAGTGTCCCCAAACCGCCACCGTGGGCCAGCGCCCACCTGTTTGCATACACATCGGTGTCGAAGCAGGTGCGGCTGGCACCCGTTCGATTATAGCTTCAAGGATTCGTTGGTGGGGTTAAGAGGCTGCCTCGGTGCCCTCTTTCCCACACAGCTTAAATAGCTCTCGGGAAAGCATCACCTAACTTCCATCACCTAACTCTCCCACCTCTCCCTTCCCTCACCCGCCCCTGTCCCTGTGCTGGAGTGAAGCGGGCCAGGCTGCCCCTGCTGGCTGCCAGCCTCTGGCTTGTCACACACACACACCCCATCCTTCCCAGCAGCTCCCTAGGGCTCTGCTCACAGGGGAGCACTCAGGCGCACATGGCCCTTCCCGAGGCCTCGCGCCTCCTCTATCAGGAAAGTTAACATAGTCCCCTTCCGGGAAATGTTGCTCGAGGGGCATTTCGTTTCTGGTGATGGGGATGTTTATGATCTGCTTCTGAGAGGGCCGGCGGAGAGCTGGCTACCTAGCTGGGTAAAGAGGAGTCAGCGGAAGCCAATCCCAGCACGCGGGAGGCAGAGACAGATGGATCTCTGTGAGTTCAAGGCCAACCTGGTCTACAGAGTGAGTTCTAGGACAGCCTCCAAAACAATACAGAGAAACCCTGTCTTGAAAAACCAAAAAAAAAAAAAAGAGGAGTCAGTGGTGTGTTCTGTAATTCTGCAAGGGCTCCCAGCCCTGTGATTGGTCCTCCTGTTAAAACCTTCCTGAACTACAAGGCTCACATTTACTGTATGGTATCTGCATGTCTTCGTTGGCCAAACTACTCAAGTGTTTTATTTCTGGCTTTGTTTGCTTTAAAACATTCGCAGGGAGGAGTGGATCAAAAGATGCCTCTTGTGGTCTCCAGGATAAACCCAGAGTCTCCTGTAAGTAAACGAGTTCCGTGTTACTTCCTGTGTTTGCCTTCCCCTAGGTCAAGCAAGTTTCTGCTCCTACGTCCCATTCCTGGGTCTTGTTGGGATTTCATTTTCGCTTGACTGGCGATCAGGTCCTTGCTCAGTCTGATCAATTAACGACGTGTATTTGGTAAGGCACACAGACTACAACTGTGCTGTGTCAATAGGGCCTCTGAAACTGCGGCGTTGCCGCCTGGGGCCTTGTTATATGCGCAAACCTCTGGCCTACGCACAGGTGCAGGCCCAGGCCTGGAGCCCTGCTTACCCTAGATGTGTCCCTAAGAAGACGCTTGGGTGATACGTATGCACACTGAGCTCTGGGAAGTGCAGCCCCAGCGAAGGAGACCGAGGGAGTTTGCCGTCTGCCTCCTGTAGAGACCCCTTTGCCTCTTGCTGTGTACACGTGTAAGCCGTAGCATGATGCGCTGCTGGCTAAGCCTATGTGGAGTGGACAGATGAGTTGGCGAACCCGCTGTCTTTCCCTGGTTCTTTTTGCATGTGATGGTTTGCTCTCGCTAAAACGTTGCCACGTGAGCAGGCGCCCTCTCCGAGGGGATCACTTGGGCAGAGGTTCCCTCTTCAGCCCTCATGCAGGTTACCGTCAGGGGCCGGGAAAGGGGGCTCAGTGGTTGATGCTCATGCCGCGAGTGCATGTGAGCGTGCGAGCGTGGGAACCAAGTTTGCACCCTAGTACCCACATAAAAGGCAGCAGGCGGCAGGTGCGATGTTGTGTGGGAGACAGACAGTAGGACTCCGTGAACTGATGGGTGAGAGGCCTTGCCTTGGTCATAGAGGGAAAAACAGTCAAGGAAAACACCCATTGTCCATGTCTGTGTGCACGTAAATACACACACACAGACACTTACACACATGTACACACAGACAGGTTTTTTGTTTTTTGTTTTTAATTGCTATTGAGCCATCCATTGCTTTTTTGTTTGTAGTTTGTAGGGAATAAAGGTTGCTTTCCCTCACCATTCTGGTCACCATCTTGCTATGGTTCCTGCCCCTGCTATGGGACTGACAACATTTGTATTTCTCCCTTGCAAGACAGATTAGGGCTCATGCATAGCTGGCTGGGCATTTTCAAGCAGTCTGTCCAACAAACAGACAGTTGGAGGCGTCGTTGGCGTCAGTCTGCTCAGCAAGGTGGGCCCCCGTGGAGAAACGCTTCCCGTAAACCTGGCTTCTCCGTTCCAAAGCGTCTCTCATAGCTTTTGCATTCTGACCCGCTTTAAAAAAAAAAATAATCTCACCACCAGCTACTGTGTCCACCTAGCAGCAGCAGCTATGCAAACAATGACAGTGATACCCAAGGGAGAGGAGGTGAACTTGATCGCAGTCTCAGGTGTCTGGGATCAGAGAGAGGCAGGCAGCCCTCTTCTTCCCCTTGAGGCCGGTGCTATGGTGACAGAGAAACTCGCTTCTCCCCCCCCCAACACCAGGCGGACACTTGCATGCCTAAGCTGAACGAAGGGGATCAGATCGTGTTGATCAATGGCCGGGACATCTCGGAGCACACTCACGACCAGGTGGTGATGTTCATCAAAGCGAGCCGGGAGTCCCACTCGAGGGAGCTGGCCCTGGTGATCAGGAGGAAAGGTAACACACGGGGGGGGCTTGGGGGGCGGAGCTGCAGGGACACCTCCATAGAGGAGCGGCCGTCTTTTCTACCCAGTTCCTTTGTTTACTTGGTGTTCTGGGACAGCTCCCACACTGTATATAGCCCAGGCTATACTCCAGTTTGCAGCAATTCTTCTGCTTTAGCTTCCTGCATGTTCCAAAATTGTAAGCCCGAGACTCCGTTCTAGGCGGTGCGCTGTGTTTTCCACAGTAGGTAGGCAGCATTCGGAAATTAATTTCTTAACAACTAGGGTAACCTGGCTTGTCACCACCACTAGCGGAAAAAGATGAAGGTCCATTTGCAGGGACTCTGACTGCTCCTGGCCAGGCCTCCGGGGAGAGAGAGGCAGCCCCGGTACCCTTTAGATAGATAGATAGACCTAGATCCCTATAATTCCAAGAGGCCAGGCCCAGCCGGCTCATGACCCACTCTTAGCTTGCCTGGGCTCCGAATGCGACTCACCGGTCCTGCCTTATTTCCGAGTGTTTGTCTTTGTCAGGGAGGCAGCAGGGTCAGAGGGCAGGGATCCGACCCTGCCTCCTGTATGTACTGAGGAAACCTCCAAGTTAATCAGTCTTCTCCACCGGTCCTCGGCTATTACATGCCTAATAGCCTGCACTCTTCCTCGGGGGCCTCTCCTGCAGGTGGAATGACACGCTCGGAGTACTAGGGAAACGGGGGTGAAGAAAGGCCTGTTACATAGTATTGCTGGAGAAAGGCCTGCTGAGTGGCGTTACTTGGCTGCCTTAATATACTGAGCCAAATACTCCCAGCTAGGGGCAGTGAGAGAAAAGATGGACCCACAGACACAGGAAAGCTGGGATCACAGGGCCTGTACGCTCTGGTACACGGCACCAACTACTTCAGCAGCCCAGAACCCCGGCGTGTTTGCTGTGGACGGCACAGGGGGAGGAGTTAGCTAGACACGGTAGGCGGCAGTCTCAGGCTGTAAACACCCTGGAGGAGGAAGCCGCAGCTGCTGGTTTCTGCACACACTGGCGAGTCACTCATAAACACGTGCGCTTGGACTTCAGGGCGGCTGTGCCATTCTGAGCCTGACCCGAGGAAGGCTTTTGCCAGTTTCCTGTGGGCCCAAGGCATTGGTCCTCGACATGGCTGTGCCTGCAACCTGTGACAACACACACATTCATTCAGGACTTCTTAAGCTCTTTATAAATTCACTCAAAGCTTCCTGGGCTCCACACTCTTCTTTAGTCTTTATCTATTTATTATGATGATGATGATGACGACAACATTTATTCACCCAGTTTACTTTTGTGTGTGTGTGTGTGTGTGTGTACGTGTACATGCACTTAGAGCTTAAGGGTCATGCAAGGAGTCAGTTCTCTCCTTCCACCGTGTGGGCTCTCTCGGAATCAAACTCAGGTAGTCAGTTTTGCTAGCAAGCACCCCTACCCACCGAGCCATCTTACTGAATGGAGGCTGGATCTATAGTCTGGCCTCGGTGTTGTTGCAACCCAGGGCCCCACTCCCTGCTCCCTCCGGAACCCCTACCCTGATCCGTGCTACTAGATCAGAGCCCACCCCACTTCTCCTGGGAGGCCAAGGGGCTGGTGGTAAGGAAAACCTAGCACTGCGGGAGAGAGACCACCTGTTTTCACGAAGCTACAATAATCTTACCGGTAGCATAAGTCGGTAATACGAATTGCTTTAAGGAAGTCAGCAGATCTAGCCCAGAGGGTGGCACATATGACAGAAACCACATTATCATAAGAAAATCCCGCTTTCCTGTGGCCAGTGCACGTGGCCTTTAAAGTCAGGTAACGATATGGACTGCTCTCCCGTGACCTGCCCGGAAAGGCTGGGTGGCTGTCTGGGATGGAAAGCTCAGCAGCTGACGCAGAATTCTGAAGGTTCGGGTCACCTCTGTGAGAAAATTCAAAGTTGCTTAGTTACTTTCTCTCTCCTTTTCCCCCTTGTCTTGAAAGTCGGGAGCCATTGGAAGCTCAGTGAGGGAAAACTCAGAAATGATCCCAAGGTTTCAAATTTGGGAAGAGGAAGTAAGGGTTGCCGGTGGCGTCTGAGGTGAATATTGCATAAGGCGGGGTGGGGAGGAGGTACGGCTTAGCAGACAGGGAGAGAGCTGGAATTCAGATCTCCAGCACCCGTATAAAAAATGAGGTGCATTATCCCAGCACATGGGAGGTAGAGACGGGACCTCCGAATATGCAGGTAGCTTGACTACCCAGTTCATTGAGTTCTAGTCTAAGTCTTAGGCCCTGTCTAAGGTGGAGAGTGATGGAGGAAGACACATAATATCAGCCTTGGCCTCTCCAAACACACAGATATACTGTGCGCGCCTGCACGCACGCCTGCACGCACGCACACACACACACACACACACACACACACACACACACACACGATGGGAGCTTGGGCCTGTGTTTTTCTCCATAGGATCTGGCGTGAAGGGAGGAGGTGGGGCTGACATGCAGAGATCTTGGCACTAGTTCTAATCACTTAGCAAAACTGATCTCCAGCTGAAACTAGGCTCTTAAGGGGAAGGAACAACACACTGGACAGCAAGATACAGCTCAGTGCGTAAAGGCACCCACCGCCAGGCTGCTGACCTCAGCTCGAGCCCTAGGACTCACATGCTGGGAGAGAACTGACTCAGAGTTATCCGTGATGTCCATCCGTGCACACATGCATCCACACACACATGTATCCCCACACACACATGCACTCACACACATGCATACATGCACTCACATGCATCCACACACATGTGCACTCACACGCATGCATCCCCACACACGTGCACTCACACACATGCATACATGCACTCACATGCATACACACACACATGTGCACTCACACGCATGCATCCCCACACACGTGCACTCACACACATGCATACATGCACTCACATGCATCCTACACACACATGTACTCACACATATACATACATGCACCCACGTGCATGCATCCCCACATGTATGCATCCCTACACACATATGCACTCACACGCATGCATCCCCACACACGTGCACTCATACACATGCATACATGCACTCACATGCATCCTACACACACATGTACTCACACATATACATACATGCACCCACGCGCATGCATCCCCACATATATGCATCCCTACACACATGTGCACTCACACGCATGCATCCCCACACACGTGCACTCATACACATGCATACATGCACTCACATGCATCCTACACACACATGTACTCACACATATACATACATGCACCCACGTGCATGCATCCCCACATACATGCATCCCCACACACATGGGTACTCACACACATGCATACATGCACCCACACGCATGCATCCCCACTTACATGCATCCCCACACACGTGTGCACTCATACACATGCATACATGCACTCACACGCATGCATACACACACACGTGCACTCACACACATACACAAAATGATAAACAGAAATGTAATTTAACATTTTTTGTAAAAAGAAACTATACTGTAGGAAATAGTGATGTCACAGGGAGAGCTTGGGGCCTCCCCATGTGTCTAGAAGCGTGCCTGTGTTAAGGATGCTGGGTGGGAACCAGAGAGTAGTTCCTTCCTTCCTCCCCTCCCCTCCCCTCCCCTCCCCTCCCCTCCCCTCCCCTGGGAACTGAACTTAGAACCTCTCGCAACCTCTCTACCCCTGAGCCGTGTTTCCCAGCCCATGACCTCTTTCTTCAACAGTGTTCATTCCCGCACCTCACCTACGGCCCACAGCCTGCCGGGGGCACTCACCGAGAAATGGCACTGGGTACAAATGATGCCCGTGAACTCAACCGTTTAATGAGGCCCGTGGACTACCACACACCTGGTGTTCCGGGCCGGCAGGCGGAGTGACCGACCCCTTGTCCTCTTTATTACGTCTGTTCCAGCTGTGCGCTCGCTGGCGGAGATCAGAGCGGAAGATGAGCTGAGTCAGCTTTTCCCAGAAGCCATGTTTCCCGTCTGTCCCGAGGGTGGGGACAGTCTGGAGGGATCCATGGAACTGCTGAAGAAAGGTCTAGAAAGTGGTACACTGCTGATCCAGTTTGAGGTAAGGGGATCCCAGGGCCTGAGTCTCCACCCCGTTACCGTCACTCACCGCGTGCCTCAGCCTCAGCTGAGCAGCAAGCCACACAACACGGCTGGGGCGTGGGCCCGCCTCCTTGGCCAAGGTGACTCTGGTTCCCAGGCCTCGGGCTACAGAGTCTCAGTGAGGACTGCGGTAGGGCTCATACCCCCCCAGGTCCGATGGCGGGGGGGGGGGGCCCCCTCGCAGACTCAGAGCAAGGAAGCATCAGGCGAAGGCCCCTCACCTCTTCCAGGTGTCCGGCCCTCCCACCGTCTTGTAGCAGCAATCTGTGGGCGGGGCTGGCCTGTCAGCAACTGAGGTTGAGGGGCTCTGAACCTATGGAGCTGCCAGCAGGAGCTCAGAACTCGGCAGGACAGAAAATGGTGCCGTCCACACGATGGGTGGCACGTTAGCACTCTAACTCCCAACTACGCCTGGGGTTTAGAGAGTCGGTATCACCCCACAGAGGGCACAGAGTCTGGCCTTCCAAGGCCACCAGACCGCAGAAACATAAAGTCTGTGCTGCCTTCTCGGGAAGCGATGGCTCTGCAGTACGCGGAGGGGGGGGGGGTCGCGCCTCTTCTGCAGCAGAGCCCACGGAAGCCTTTCTCACAACCCCAGAAGCACAACTGCTTTCCAGCTGGTTTTAATCCACTAGTAATCAAGTGAGACCAGGACGTGTTCATCTGCCGTACGTGCGTGCGTGCGTGCGTGCGTGCGTGCGTGCGTGTTTGGAGGTAGAAGACAGCAGTTGTTCACGAAACGCGTGGGTGCCTCTGTGTGCTGGAGGCTAAGGCAGGATCACGCCTAGCCTGGACCGCATAGTAAGACCCTGTCTCAGAAAGGGGGTTGGAGTAAGGAGAGGAAGGAATGCAAAAGAATCTGGCCAACGTTTTCACACAGTGAACAGTGCCACGGCATGGTCTCAGCTCACAAAGCAGGCATGAGGGGCGCCCGTGAGACTCAGAAACAGATCGACAACACATCGTCTACTAGGAAACCCTGGGAGGGAAAAAGAAGAGGAAAGACGGGCAGTTTGTCAGATGCACTGGCCGCAGAGTGACCCAGGAAGTGTAGCTCAGCTGGCAGACGAAAAGGAACGCCAAGCAGAAAGCCTTAAGCAAAAGGCTCACCCTACGGTAGCCCAGGGCCCAGAATGCTAATTATGCAAGAGTTGAACAGCGGTAGAAAGAACTCCACGGGAGAAAAAAGCAAAAGTAGTTGACTCCTATCGCGGCTATAAAGGGAAAACAATATATTTATTTATCAGAGAGAGAGAGAGACGCACTGACCGGGAGTCAGAAGCGTGGCTGGCTTCCAGGAGAAAAAGGGGGGTTCCTTCTTCTTTCACTTCCTTTTATATCTACCTGTGTCAGTTTACATGTCTCCGCCCTCATGGGTGGATAGCCTTCTGGGGTTCACTCCTACAGACTCCTCCCTTCCACCCCCCCACCAATAGAGGATTCTCAATTTTTTTTTTAAGTGAACCAGATTGTCTGGACAAGTAACATAAAAGTTTGCAGCTTGCGGTGGTGACACTTGGGTGAGAAATTGTGACATGAGCACTCCAGGGTAATTGAAGCAAGGATGCGAATCCAGGCTCAGACCCATTGAGTTTCCTCCTTTTGGTGCTGGGGATGCTGTGACCTGGGAGGGCACTGGTGGGCCATTTGCTGATTCAACTAGTTCGTCTGAGGTGCCGTGGGAGCGTGATGGGGGGGGAGGGTGGAGAAGGAGGCTTCTAGCCACCAGGAGCTTGCTGTCTGACTTTGGTATATCTCGGGGGGCCGTATCCTGAGAGCAGGCAAGGCAGGGTAAGAGTTTCTAATTGCGAGTGTGTGTTCCCTGGCAACTGGTAATCCCAGTTGATCAGAAAGTCCACAAGGAGGCACTGTGGGCTCTCCTTGGGAACTCGAAGTCATGCTCTTTGACTACAGCCTTCTCTGTGCTCCTGGCTCAACTTCGGTGTGCTTTTTGCATCTAGGAAGCCCCCCCCCCCCCCAATCAGGTTCTCCTTGCAATGATTTCATCAGCTTCTAAAAGGATTTTAAGAGTATTTATTTTCCATCACTAGAAGTCCAATGACCTACCCTTTGGGCCACAGAGCCACCTTTGGAATTATTTCTTAAAGGGCGAGCCTGTAGCCACTTGGATAGAAATCACGTGGGGAGCCGTGGACCTAGCCCGCAGCCACCAGACATTGGTGCGTTTTGCTTCATTTTTGTTTTTTTCGAGACAGGGTTTCTCTGTATTGTTTTGGAGGCTGCCCTGGAACTCGCTCTGTAGACCAGACTGGCCTTGAACTCACAGATATCCACCTGCCTCTGCCTCCCGAGTGCTGGGATTAAAGGCATGTGCCGCCACCACCCGGCCAGACATTCGTGTTTTAACAGAGTCACCCGAGAGTTTGTGTGTGTTTGGGGGCACTAATTCATTGTTATTAGCGCAAGATATGGAAGTGGGCTTGTAGAGGTCAGAGTTGTGAAGTCATTTGTTTTACTTTTCTGTTTTGTTTTGTTGTTTTTGAGACAGGGTTTCTCTCTGTGGCTCTGGCTGTCCTGGAACTCGCTGTGTAGACCAGGCTGGCCTCGAACTCACAGAGATCCGCCTGCCTCTGCCTCCACAATGCTGGGATTAAAGACGTGGGCCACCACTGCCTGGCTCGTTTATTTTCTTATATGTGGGTTTTGGAGATTTAACTCAGGTTGCCAGACTTCCGCATCAGGCACCTCTCCCGTGCTCTCTTGAGGTTTTGGTGCATCAATTGACCCCAGAGAAGAAGGTAGAAATGATATTAGGCCCATTGCCCACCACTGTCTCTCCCTGCCCTCCGGAGGAGGCCTTAAGAATACCCACAGATGGGCGTTGGTGGCGCACGCCTTTAATCCAGCCCTCAATCCTTTAATCCAGGCGGATCTCTGTGAGTTTGAGGCCAGCCTAGTCCACAAAGCAAGTTCCAGGGCAGCTAGAGCTGTTACACAGAGAAACCCTGTTCTGAAAAGCTAGGGAAGGACAGAAGGACGGACGGACATGCACATTTGGGGTTTGCACTTCAGTCTGGTACACTTGTCTCATGTTCTAGGATGCTCCTCTTTGAAATAACGTCTTATTGGAATCTAAGATACTGACTGGATGAGGCAGATCTACTCTGCAGTGGAGCTGCTGGGATCCCAGAGCTGGCTGGGTGCCCCCTCACTGCCCCTCAAGGAGCCCTAGGCTCCCGGGAGCATCATGTGACACCACCAGCTCGGGGTGGGAGGGTATGTGCCGACACTAAGCAGCAGGACCCAAGGGAAACCAGACCAAACAGGAAAACACCCAGGAAAGGCAGCTTTAGTGAGCCCTTGCTGTGTCCAGGGCGTCAGCTTCTGTAAGTCTCACATCACCCCTGATAGGGCGGTTTTATCTCATAGCACACAGGAGGGCGCAGAATCTCAGATTGAGCGAATGCTCAACGGGCTCATAGTAGAGTCTGACTGGAGCCCAGACAGGGTACCAGGACCTGGAGCTTGTTCTTTTAACCACCGTGTATACACAGCCTTAGGAAACCGAGATGCTCTTGGCCTGTGAAGTTGTTATTAGAGGCATACACGTCAATGCTATCTTGGAGGCTGTCTAGCCACTTGGAGCCAGACAGACTTTACATTCCGGCTCTACCCCTCACCCCACCCCTTAACCTCAATGGCCCTTATCTCCCCACGTGTAAATTGGGTGTCTCCTGAATTGATTGTAAGGAGTGGATGAGATAAACACTTGATGCACCATCTGGCCCGTGATAAGAACACAGTAAAAATTAATAGCTGTTATTATTTATAAAACGAGAGGCTACAAGAGCAGGCCCAGCCTGCGTAAGGTATCATCAACTTGGCACTGAGCTTGGAGCCCCGGGCTGTCAATTCCAGAGGCATGGCTGTCCGGGTCCTTCCATCCTCCAGGACCTTGACAAGTGACTGCTCTCAGCTTGTGGCAGCTGTGCTCTGTGGACAAGTGCAGGACAAAGGCCCTGGTCCCCAGCAGACATCCACTGTCTCCTCCCTGACACAGACTGCCTGCCCAAGGGTTGTGGCCCGCAGACAGATCTCCCCATCCTCACTCTTGTAAAGCCTATTTTAAACCTTTTTTTTTCCATTAAGGGGATTCCTTCATCCTTGTCTGTGTCCTCCAGTAAACAGAAGGCATTTGGCCACCCGAAGTACCAAAACAACAAAAGTAATCAGCATTCCTAAAGTGCTCTGCAGTTTACTGAGTGTGTCTCACATGTCAGCGACATTAACTCCCCCGTCATCTGTGAAGGGAATGGGACAGGAATTACTCGCATCAGTCGTTACATGCTTCAGCTGCTGCTGAAGACCGAGCCCAGGACCTCTGCCCCCCTAAGCATGCACTCTTGCACGGAGCCGCAGCCAAAGCCCCCAGATGGCTCTTTAGAAATGGAGCAAAGGAGGTTTGGAGACGTTCAGGAACTCATCCAGTGCATACGCCTCGCCAGGGATAGACCTAGCACTAGATCCATGCTGAAAATGAGAATCTGGGATTAGAGGTATGGCTCAGCTGTTAAGAGTATAGATACTAGGCCTGGAGAGATGGCTCAGCGGTTAAGAGCAAGAGGTCCTGAGTTCAATTCCTGGCAACCGCATGGTGGTTCACAGCCACCTTGAATGAGATCTGGTGTTCTCCGCTGGCATGCAGGCAGAAGACTGTATACATAATGAGTAAATTAAACTAAATTAAGTTAAATTAAATTAAAAAGAGTATAGATACTGTTCTTCCAGAGGACCCATGTTGAGTGACTCAAAATTTCCTGTAACTCTCCGAGGGATCTGATTCTTTGTCTTGTATAACTCTAGCTCCAAGGGATCTGATTCTTTGTCTTGTATAACTCTAGCTCCAAGGGATCTGATTCTTTGTCTATAGCCCCCTCATACATCTGCACTCACGTGTGCAAATCATCACAGGGACACACATACAACCATAACTAAAAGTAAAGTAAATCTAAAGACAAAACCCTAAAAACTAAAATATACCTGGGTGGGTATTGGACACCTGTAGTCTGAGGCAAGAGGACCACTTAAACCCAGGAGTTTCGAAGACCACCCTGGGCAGCATAGCAAGACCTTGACTCAAATGCACAAATAAAAAATTCAATCACTAATCTGCCAGTGGTGACACACACCTTTAATACGAGCACTCAGGAGGCAGAGGCAGCGGATCTCTGTGAGTTCGAGGCCAGCCTGGTCTACAGAGTGAGTTCCAGGGCAGCCAGGACTACACAGAGAAACCCTGTCTCCAAAAGCCATGTAAAAAAAAAAAAACAAAAACAAAAACCTCCAGTCATTGTCAGCAGCTCACATTCACTGGGTGTGACTCAACTCCTTCCCATCCTGCTTCTTAACTGACCTCCTTGTGGGGTTCAGTTGATACACAATAAGCATTGCAAGGGAATCACCTCTTCCCTGGATGGGCAGGTGGATGAGGGCGTGGTTTGCTTGATGGACAGATGGACTGGCCAATGGATGCATGAGGAGGATGGATGAATGGGTGGGTGGACAGATGGATGAATGGATGATGAGTTGGTAGACAGAGAATGGTATCTACAAGAGACCACTGAGGATCTTCTTCACCCAACCTGGCTTTGCCCATTAGCTCCCATCATCCATCTTTACCAAAATAACAACAAAAAATCATCTGGTCTGACCCCTGTTTCTTGGTTGACGCTTGTATTACCTTCAAGGAACTACCCATTAGGGTTGAAACAAGTGACTGGCTGGTTCCTATGATAATTACAGAATTCTTATCTGGGAGGCTGGTGGTAATTCAGCAGTACTGCATCAGAGACTGAGATCAGTGCACACTGCAATTAGCAGACTGAGATCAGTACACGCTGCAATTAGCAAGGACAATGGTACCTGTGAGAGAAGCCCTGATCCCTGGGAAGAGCACCTTTAAAAGAACTCATTTCTGTCAGGTATGGTAACACACAACCTGTCATCGGGAGGCTGAAGCAGGAGGATGGAGAATTCTAGGCCAACCTAAGGTTGCATGCCTCGTGCCTACAATCTCAGGTCTCAGGAAGCTGAAGCCGGAGGGTGGCCATGAGTTCAAAGCCAACCTTAAGCTACAGAGTGGGACCCTACCTCAAAAAAGAAAACAAAAAAATTACTATTTTTTTCTTTTAAAATAATGTATTATTGTTGTGTGTTTGAGTGCAAACACACATATATAGCATAGTCCACATAGGGCCGACAGAGGACGATTTTGTAGAATAGCCCTCCACTTCGGTCTTTGTATGTATTTGTGGGAATTGAACTCAAGCACCTTTAGTCACTGAGCCATCTCACTGCCCCAGGAAAAAAGTGAGCCAGATTGTAGCGGCTCACACCTTTTCTCCCAGCGCTCGGGAGGCAAAAGCAGGCGGATCTCTGAGTTCCAGGCCAGCCTGGTCTACAATAATGAGTGCCAAGACAGGCTCTGAAGCTACACAGAGAAACCCTGTCTTAAAAAAAAACAGAGAGAGACAGAGAGACAGACAGGAGGAGGGAGGGAGGGAGGAAAGTGAAGGATTAAATGATGACACCCGTGGAATTCCAGCACTCAGGAGGTAGAGGCAGGCGGATTTACATGAGTTCCGGCCGGCCAGGGCTATGTGGTGAGACCCTGTCTCAAAAAGGAGAAATAGCAACAACAAAAGGAGAGTTCCAACAGTTCACACAGAGCACCCTGGGGCCCTTGAATGGCCCTACATGCAATGGTCTAGACATTTCAAGGACCAGACACCATCTCCAGAGGACAGTGCTGTTCCATCTTGTGTATCCATCTGTGGAATACACAAGAGTACTTGTTAGGGTCCCAGCCACTTGCACCTGGGACCATGCTTCCATAGACCGTTAAGGGTCCCAGAATCACGGGCGCCCGCTCGTCGCAGCCCGCCTCTGTGGGGAGATGAGCAGAAGCTCCGGGTGCCCTCTAGACAGTGTCTTTGACCCCCTGGCTGTGCCAGGTACAGAGGAAAAGGGATGTCCCCAGTGTCTCCCAGGAAAGGTGAGCTACTAATGCCCTCTCCCAGATAGTACCAGGAGAACCCCATCGTGGCGCATTCTGAGAATAGGTTCTCCTTGACTTAATTCACACGGCGCCGTGTCTAAGAAAGCCGGACTTGCCATGCTTTCGCCGTGTGGCTCACACCTTTGGTTTTTAACTTTTGTTTCTTGTGCAGGGCTCAGGATTGAACCTGAGGCTTTGTTTGTGAAGTGTTCTGCCATTCAGCTACATCTCCAACCCGTTTTCATTCGTGCGTCCGTGCATTCGTGCATTCTTTCTTTTAGATTTATTCTGATTTTGAGTGTTTTGTCTGCATGTGTGTCTGCACCGCATATGTGCTGGCTCATATTCATTTAATTGGATTTCTGCCTCCACATAGTTAATGGGTTAGAAGAAAAATGCCATCTAGATCAATGTGACTGGCTTGTGTGATGTCTGTCCTTCTGCCAGCATCAGGGCCAGAACCTCCAGTAAGTAACGGGTTCACTTCTGGAATGCGTTCATAGTCTGTAAAAGCTCACAGGTGCCAGGCGATGGTGGCGCACGCCTTTAATCCCAGCACTCGGGAGGCAGAGGCAGGCGGATCTCTGTGAGTTCGAGGCCGGGCTGGACCGACAGCCTCCAAAACAATACAGAGAAACCCTGTCTCGTAAAACAAAAAAATAAAATAAAATAAAGCTCACAGGTATCTAGCGTTGGTTCAGCCAGCTTCCTTTAGATTGTTAAGTGCTGAAACTGTCCAGGTCATAGTTCAGTAGTTGAGTTCATGAAGCAAATTCTAAACATTCAGCAGATGTGTAAGATACAGACACAGTACCATTCTTGTGACCCCCGAATCTCCGTGTTAACTATTCTGCTAAGTTCTGTGTAGTTTGCCTAACGAGAGAAACAGGCCTAACAGCTGCCAGTTTGTAAAAACAATACAGCACACAGAAATACAGCTGGGGGGGTGTTCAGCCTCCCCATCCAAAACACAAAGCAACCTTAACTGAGGGTGTTGGCTGAAGCTTGGTGAACAGACCAATCTCCATTCCTGCAGGGCAGTACGTATCAGAGTCCTTGAAAATATGCTCGGAAGCTGTGATTCTGTTCTCAGATACTTGTCAGAGTAAAAACAATGTAGAACAGGCTAACAACAAAGCAGGCTAAAAATTAAGATAAATTATAATAATTAGATTATTGAGCCATTAAAAAGAAATCACTGGAGTAGAGAATATCTTGCAGCATGGGAAACAGATACCGTGTAATCACGAGGGTGAAACAGGCTTCAAAATTGCAGCAGTGTCTCCCAGAGCGCTCGCTGGCTGAGAGATGCTGAGATCTTTCTGTGTAAATTAGCTTGAGAAATGTCTGCCTGGTCAGAATTAAAGAGGGCTCTTGTAAGACCTGTTCTTTTAGAGGTTTGTTAAAACACAGGGTTAAAGAGAAATCAATATTGAAATTTTTCCACCGGGGACTATTGTGTTAGCTTTTTGTTGCTGTGTCAAGTGCCCAAGAGACACGGTTGAAAGGGTGGAAGGGTTTGTTCCAGGCTTGAGGTTTCGGAAGTCACGGCCCGTGGTTGCCGGGCTCCATGGTGTCTGGACCTGTGTTGAAGCAGAGCATCACTGTGCAGGGCGTGTGAGGCAGAGCTGCTCGCCTGCAGCTCAGCATCCAGGAAGCAGAAGAGGGTTTCTTGCTGAGGTTTTCTTTTACTGTGTGGCGTAGGATCACTTTGAAATGTTAAGATTGGGAGGTCTTGTCAGGCAGTGGTGGCACACCCCTTTAATGCCAGCCCATGGGAGGCAGAGGCAGGCAGATCTCTGAGTTCCAGGCCAGCCTGGTCTACAGAGCCAAGTTCCAGGACAGTCAGGGTTGCACAGAGAAACCCTGTCTCAAAAAAACAAAACAAAACAAAAAAGATTGGGGAATTTCGAATGAAAACCTTTGCCATTAGGATATGCTTTCTGTTTTTTGTTTGTTTGTTTTTCATGGCAATGTGGTTGTGTGGGACTTAGCGTTGTTGTTTCTCAATTTTTCTATTTGTCTGATAGCAACTCTACAGAAAGAAGCCGGGCTTAGCTGTCACGTTTGCAAAACTGCCTCAGAATTTGGATAAAAACCGATACAAGGACGTGTTGCCTTGTGAGTACCCAGCCCAACGCCTCCTCCTCCCCCTGCACGAGACAACGCTTCGCTGTTCAAGCAGATTGTCTGGGATTCTGGACTGGTTTTCAGCGTGTCTGTAAACACTGCTGCCTTTATTGCAGCCATCTCAGGCTGAGAACAGTTGGGGAATCGTGGTGTTTATGCTAATGAGTCGAGAGCTGCCGATGGGGCTGGGAACTGAACCCCTGTTTACTTGGGATGATAAAAATAACAGTCAGAATAATGGGTGAATTTTTCTTTCTCCGGCAGATGACACCACCCGGGTATTACTGCAGGGAAACGAAGATTATATTAACGCGAGTTATGTGGACGTAAGCTGGGAACCTGGGGGGGGGGGGGGGTTAAAAAGAACACATTGATCCTCGTCACGAGAGTGGGGGACTTAGCCCATGACAAAGCATGCCCCCGTTCACCCTGTCACTCTAGTACAGTGTGGCTTTGTGAGAAAAATGAGTGGTCTCACTTTACAGGGGAGCAAAGTCAGGTTCGCTGAATGACTCGAAAAGCCACAAAACTTTGAGCGGTGGTTCCAAGCACGGTCTAATTCCATCATCCACCCGCCGATGTACTTAGCCATTGCCATGTCTGTGTTTATCTCTGCTGGTGGTATGTTTAACTTTCTGTGCTGGCCTGGGTGTTACTAGTCTCACCTTGTCTACAAGTAAAAGAAAAAGTCTTCATATATATAATCCAAAAGAGAAAAAAGGAAAAGGCTTTCCTGTCATGGGATGACACACACATCACAGGCAACACACCTGGATGTAGATTTCCCCCTTTAAAGGCAGATTCAGCAAACTTTTCTGTACCTTGAAAACCACTTTTTAAGTAATATTAACCTCCCGGGGCCATCATCAGCTCAAAAAAAAAAAAAAAAAAAAAAAAAAAGAAAGAAAGAAAGAAAGAAAGAAAAGAAAAGTGACCTTGCAGAACTGTCCCTGTAAGAACTTGTTTGGTCAGCAGTCCCAGTATTCCAATCACATTGTTGTCAAATCTGGAGATGGCTTTGTGCTGCAAATTTTTCTTTTTTTTCTGGTTGTGAGCGGGTAAGATCTTTTTCTGCTGTGGTCCAGCTAGCGGTTGGGAAAGGGCAAAACGGAGGGTCCTGCCTACTTTGTGTAGGCTGACGCTCTGTAACGCCTTACCGATCTCACCATAGATGGAGATTCCGGCAGCCAACCTTGTGAACAAGTACATTGCCGCTCAGGGACCCCTGCCACACACCTGTGCACAGTTTTGGCAAGTCGTCTGGGATCAGAAGTTGTCTCTTGTTGTCATGCTGACAACTCTCACAGAGCGAGGGCGGGTAAGTGACTTGATTTCCAGTTGGAACGTGCGTGGGTGGTGCTGGGGGGGACATGAGTCTCACTCGGGGCAGGAAAGGGTCTCCTAGTGACCTGCAAATCTCTAGGTGGACACCCGCAGGGATGAGAAACTCAGCCTCCCTTGCCCCCACCTCCTCATGTGGATCTGTTAAAACAAGCTTACCGGAGGGATGGCTCAGTGGTTAAGAACACTGACTGTTCTTCAAGAGGACCCAAGTTCAATTCCCAGCACCCACATGGCAGCTCACAACTGTCTGTAACTACAGTTCCAGGGGACCGAACACCCTTACACAGGAAAAACACCAATGCACATAAAAGAGTGCTGGCTACTCTTCCTGTGGACCTGGGTTCAATTCCCAGCACTCACAGGACAGCTCATCAACATATGTAACTCCATTTCCAGGGGATCCAACACCCTCTTCTGATCTCCACGGACATGGTGCACAGACATATATGCAGGCCAAACCCTCATACACGTAAGATAGTAAACCTAAAAAGTAAATTTTAAAAAGACAAGCTAGAAAGCAGTACTTCCTTGTAATGTGTATTCTTCCCAACTGCCTGGGTCCCGCCGCTGTCTCAGCCCCCAAGTAACACCTGAGACGCTATATTAATTATGGAGCAGTTGGCCGTTTGCTATGGTTTCTTAATGGCTAGCTCTGACTTAATTATTAACCCATAATTACCAATACATATTTTTATAAGGACTTATCTTACCCGGGACACCAGCCTCATGTGTCCTCTCCTCCCAGGATCGCATGTCGACTCCCTACTCTTGACTACATTTCCCAGAATCCTCCTCGTCCCACCTGTCTTGCTTCCCTATTGGCCAAGAGTGCTTTATTTATTAACCAATCAGACAAACATATGCACAGAAGGACTTCCCCCCACTACCCCTGCTCCTGTGTCTCTGCTCACACAGTAAGATTGTAGTGTGCAAAGGCAACGTCTCTATTCCCTCTGATTTGCACGCCCTTGACTCTTGGCCTTCCTCGGTATGCAGTGGAGACAGTGATAGTGCCCACCACCCTGGGAGACTGGGCTGGGCAGTGTACATAAAGAGATCAGAGGACTGTATGCTTCCAGTGTCCAGCAGACGTGGGTTTGGTTAGAGTCTCATCCCATCAACCAGAATGAAAAAGTGTGACCCCCGCCCCCAGGGGTGGTGGGAACTTCATCCTGAAATTTTGCTCCTCAGAGGCACTAGGAACACACTTTTGAGAGTGGTTGCTACTCCTGGCAACTCCTCCTACCTCCCGTTCTTTCCCCGTCTCGCCTGCCCTGTTACTGTGAGAAACCGGGGAATCACCTCACCGTGCTGTCCGGCTCATCTCATTGCTGTCTGAGACCCTCATTCTAGTCTGTTTTTGTTTTAATAAGAGATGGAGTTAACTTAGCCATTTTTTAAACTTAATTCCCAGCTCCTTGAGCTAGCTCACAGGGCTGGAGCCCCTCGGTCCTCCTAAAGGGCCTGCATCTGTCTGGTCATGTGGCACCGTGGCATCGGTCTGGCCATGTGGCACCATGGCATCTGTCTGGTTATGGGGCACAGTGGGATCTATCTGGTTATGGGCACAGTGGTATGTATCTATCTGGTTATGTGACACCTTGGGTTAGAAAGCAGACCCCCAAGCCAGACAGGGTTAATTCCTATTATTACATCCCACCTGTGTGATTAAGGAATCATGCAAACTATCACCCATTTTTGTGGAGCTCTGCGGGAACTGAGCTCATTGCTATAGGAAACCTCTCCTAAGAGTGCTTGGTGCATGGTCATTTTTGTTGTTGTTGTTATTTTTGTGGTTTTTTGTTTTGTTTGGGGGGAATAGGTTTGCTCTATGTAGCAAGCTGGTGGTGTTCCTCCTGCCTCAGCCCTCCCATGTGCTAGGAGGGAACACATGTGCCGTCATACCAAGTGATCACAGCCAATGCCGTCTGTCACACGTTAGCCAGCAGTAGCAATAACATTCATTTGTATTTACATGAACGGCTACTAACAGAATCGCACTGAATGTGTCTTTCAGTTTTACTTCATCTAAGCAAACTTCTTGTTTTTGCTTTAATAACCTTTCAGATACGTGTCTTAAATATAAATCAAGTATCATTTGCCAAAAGTAAAAGTGTGTGTGAAATTTTCAAAAAGTGTGAAACAAAGCCAAGCATTGTGGCAGACACCTGTAATCCAGCACTCAAGAGGTGGAGGTACAAGGATCGGGGGTTCAAGGCCCACCACCCCCACCCCACTACGTGAGTTCAAAGCCAACCTTGGCTGCATTGAGACCTCATCTTAAAACAAACAAACAAGCTGGGTGGTGGTGGCGCACGCCTTTAATCCCAGCACTCAGGAAGCAGAGGCAGGTGGATCTCTGTGAGTTTGAGGCTGGGCTGGACCGACAGCCTCGAAAACAATACAGAGAAACCCTGTCTCATAAAAACCAAAAAACAAACAAACAAGGCAAATATAAAACACTGATATTAAAATCCAAGTGTTCTTCTCTCACAAGCCCTACAGCTGAGGCCAGCAATACTCATCTGGTTTTCTGTTATGTGTTGTGAAAAAGTGAGGAAGTGTTAGGGATAGAATGCCCCAGTGGTCAGTCCTAGACCCAGGGGCAGGCTTTCTTGGTGGCACAGTGAGTCGCTTGACTCCCAGGATCAAGAATCTGCCCCCCATACCTGGCAGCCTCCAATTGTTCTGTGTTACTGATGGGAGACAGTCTGTGTTCTGCCTGCCTTTACCTGGCCTTATACTCCGGTACTTGGTGTGCCCAGACTCCACGTCTCCTCAGGAGCAAACAGTTTGCGGAGCTGATGCTCCTCTGTCCCCTGAGGAATCTTTGTGTTCGTGATGGTCGTTCCTGGGAGCTAACACCCGAATCCACCCGGTGACTCAGCACCTACGCCGGCTCTCTGGTGTCGGGCTTCTTGCTGTCGGAAAGTTCACTCTCGCCTTTGCAGGTAGACAGCCATTCTTCTCCTCAGAACAGGGAGCCCCTGAAGGAATGAGAGGTGACAGATGATCAGCTCTGTGGTGGCTGTGCCTCCTTCACTCCGTCTGCTTGTTCCAGCTCAGAAAAAATAAATAGATCTTTTCTGTGATCCGAGAAACCTGACCGCCATCCATCCGCTCTTCCAGGACCCGCCCCCTCCAGCTCGCTCTTTCCTGTTGTCTGAGGTCTCCTTGTGACCCAATGCGGTTTCCTTTGTGTCCCAACCTTTTCTTTTCCTGGTGTAAGTCACTACCCTGCTTCCTTGTGTTAGAGAGTCCCCAGAGGCCAGCACACTCACCCATCCCTTCGGCGTCTCTGGCCCTGGCTACTTACTCTGCCGGTTCATTGGGTCTCCCTGTTCTCCCATGGTGCCAAGCGCCTGCTTCCCTCTCCCGCTACAGATTCTCGGGTGGCCTGCACCCTCTCTGTCCTCCGGATGGCCACTTCTCTCTAACCAGGCGTCCCAGGCCAATGCCTTTGCCCCTCTTCTGCGATAAAGGCGAACTTCCCAGGGCATCCTGTCTGCTCTCCCTACGTCCTTCCGGGCCTGTAGGAAAGCGGGTCTCCCAGCGGGCACGCCCGAGAGTCCCATGCCCTACCTGCCCTGCACTGAATCTAAGCAGTCTCTGAGTTCAGGGAGCCACCCGCAGTGCTCAGAAAGCTTGCAGCCCACAGGCTCTTGGCCTCCGTCCTTGTTCACTTCTACCGAGGGTGCTCTGGGGTGTGTTCTCCGTTGAGAACTGGGAGAACCAATATCCCTTGCCTTCCATCAGGTGGTTTTTTTCTTCCTTGGGGGGAGGGGGTGCTATATTTTATATATCTACGTATCCTGTCCCCCCAGCCACTTAAAGCACAGACTTGGAATAGGACCCTAAGGTTCCTACTTCCACGTCGTCACGAAGGCCCTACCTCCTGAGTGGTTGTGAGAGTTCAGAAGGGCTAAGCCCTGGTGTCCCCCGTTGTCTCCCTGGACCAGAGGCAGTGGGTTTGCTCTGAGGAACAGTGAAGCCCATGACTGTCAGGAGGGCTGACAAGAAGGGGTCTGGGGTGACACAGACCTCCCTCTTACAACTCCCTGTTCTCTGTACGTGCTTGGTACCCAGGCACTCAGTGGCGAGATGGCTCCCCTCCACACCTGGTAGCACTGATTTCTGAGTGTGGCTAGTCCCCTGATGGATGCCCTCAGGGTAGCCTCACAAACCTTCTTGTGAACCCCCCTGGGGCTAACCGCTTTACTTTCTGGTGGGACACATCTACCTACTGCCATTATGTAAGATTCCCAAAGCCACCGACTAGCCCCTCATGTGTACATACATGGAGCCCATCCCCACCCTGAGCCTGCCATCTGAGCTGGAGGATCAATGTATGTAGCGTAGCTGCCAGCACCGGCTGCCTGAAGCAGGTCTCAGCTCTCCATCTCTTCACTTCACCCACTCACCGCTGGGCATTGCCGTCGGTAGCCGTACTAGTCCCGAGTTGTCCCTCCCGACCGTCTCTGACTCTGTTCTCAGAACCTTCCCGTGTCTCTCCCACAGCAGAAGCAACAGCTCGGGGGCCCGGGATTTTCATAGTCTCGTTCCATCCGCATCCGCCTTACCTTCCAGCTGGGCCTTGCCAAGAGGGTCTGAGGCCGCCTTCCCTGCCTACCCCCTGGAGTGGCCCTAAATGCGCAGAGCAGAATGCTGCCTGTCTGCGGACCAACTCGCACCCTTTGTGCAGCTCTCCTGAGTGGTCGGTTGTCCCCTGGGTGCCCGCCCAGGTGACCCTGTGCATTCTGCCTCCTCTCCCTCCGGCCTGAATGATCTGCCCTTGCAGGCCGTTAGTCCTGAGCCCTCTGCCCACTCTGACATCTGTCGCTCCTGCCTGATCTGCCCCAACCTGTGCCTGTCCTTCCTACCCGAGTTCCTTTGGCTGGATTGGAGAGCGTCCCCCCCCCGGGATACATGCCAGAGCATCTCTGATTCATCAGACCTCTCTCCCCGGGGATGCTTGTTGACCAACTAAGTTAGCAAAAAATGAAGAGCTGAGGATGCAGCCTTCGTAATTGGGCCCACGGCTCTCCCACAAACCCCATCTGGCCATCCTTCCTCCACCAGGAGCCCAGCCTTCTGCGCGTTCCTCTGGAACCCTAGGGCCCTTCCTGTCCAAAGCGGTTTCAGCGTCTCTTTCCCTTCCCGGATCCTCTTGTCAGGGTCACTGCATGGCTAGGACCAGAAGACGAGAGCAGTTTCAGCAGCCCACGGCGCCTCGTGGAGACAGTATTCCAAGTCCTGGCAGCGTTTGCCAGCGACTAAGGCCTACCAACCAGCTGCGGGGCCCTGTCCGTCCGTCACCTGCTTCTCAGGGGTGGCAGGCCCCTTGGTTTCCCTCTTGTCCTCACAGCCTTGTCCCCTTCAGAGGGCACCGGCCTGGGATGGAACCCCGGGCTCTATCCCCGTGGTTCTTGTGACCCGACGTGGGGTCAGGTCTTCTGAGCCTCAGTCTATCCAGTCATAGTCCAACATCCCTACCTCAACCTCAGAGAGTGGTCTTGAGGCCACTGTAAGCAACAGCGCATCCATGAAAGCACCGCCTGGCCCCACACCCCTCACCGAGCAGGCGTGAGAGACCCGCTCCTCGCTGCAGGGCACACCCTGGGGTCTAGTGGGCATCGACAGGGTGGGGAGGGAGCCCCTCCGTAGACCTCCGATTCTAATGCTGCCCCCCTAGAGCGCCCAGATCCAGATGTACCTAAAGTGAGTCCAGTTCCCCGCAGGTTCCTGTGGATAAAGACGCTGGGGAGTGCATTCCCCTCTGGAGAGGGTCGTCCCCCGGCTACCCTAGGGCAGGAGCCCATGGGGCGGTTTTCTTCTGTGTAGACGAGATAGACACAGGTTCAGATGGACAGACAGACAGGCGTACTGTCTTCGTCTGGCAGCCCCGCCCCTGGTCCTGCTGACAGCGAACGCTCTTCACCAGGACCGATTTCCCATCCAAACGGTTTGAATACACCTTAATCTCAGATATTTGCTGTGACATTTGAGAAGAAGGCGAGGAGAGCTGTTTCCCGACAAATTCCGTGTGTCTGTTAGTTATAACACCTTTCTGCTATAAACAAATATCATTTTTACTTACACGGGGTGCCAGTCTAGATTTGAGGAAGAATTTTTTTTTCTTTCTCTTTAAGCTGTGCATGATGGTACATGCCTTCAGCGTGAGCTCTCAGGAGGCCGAGGCAAGAAGGTGACTTGAGCTAGCTGGGCCAACACAGAAATCAATAATAATAATAATAATATAATTAAATGAGCCAATGTTGACAGAGTAACTGGGCAGCTCAGATTTTCACTTGGGGCAAAATCTATAATAATAATGATAACTTGTTATTATTATTATTTATTATTATTATTAAATGAGCCAATGTTTGGCAGAGTAACTGGGCAGCTTAGATTTGCACTTGGTGCAGACACCAGAGGGGGGAAGCTACAGTAGTTTATGGAAGGGGCTGCAGGGTTTGGAAGGGAAAACAGGCCGTGGGAAGGCGGTTCACATTAGCAAGCCACAGCTGTCGTATTGGGAGACACTGTAACAAACCACAGAATGAATGCTAGACTCTGTCGCAGCAACTTTGTGGCCCTGGCCAGTCACTTAGTGTCCTGTACTCTGGATTTCTCCTTTGCTGTATGGGAAGTCTTGGCTCCATCGGGAATTTTATTTTTTATTTATTTTTAATTGTTTTAACTTTATTTTGTGTGACTGTTTTTGCCTGTATGTGTATGTCTGTGCACCAGTGTGTGCCTGGTGACCGTAGAGGCCAGAAGAAGGGATCAGATCTCCTGGGGCTGGAGTTACCCATATGAGCTGTCATATGGGTAGTGGGAACTGAACCCTGGTCCTCTGGAGAAACAGTCGGTTCTCTTAACCGCTGGCCCAACTCTTGTTTTATTTGCTATCAGCGTGCGTGCGTGCGTGCGTGTGTGTGTGTGTGTGTGTGTGTGTGTGTGTGTGCTCAACATGCTTAGAGCACACATGTAGAGATAAGCGTTTATGGAGTCAGCTCTCTCCTTCAGTGGATTCGGGGGATTGAACTCATTGCCAGGCTTACACAGCAAGCGTGTTTACCTACTGAGCCATTCACCACCCCTCAGAGGGGCAAGTGCAAAGTCTGTACCCTCTGTGGTCCCAGACCCCGTTTCCTGTGAAGGCATTTGAGGTTGTAGGAAGCACTAGTTGTCTCTGCTTGGAGGCTTTTTTTAAAGGAGGACGTTTGATGGACCTGACCGACCTCACTCGGTTACTGTAGCTTGCGTAACAATGGTATTGCTGACCGCCTTTGACCTCACCCACAAGGGACTCCACACTGCAGCCTCTCCGGCCTCTGTCAGTGTGTGAAAACCTGAGATCCTAGGAGGTCTCGACTGCCAGAACTCAAATGGCAACAAGAAGAGAGGAAATTCTTTCCCTTAGCGCCCTGTCTAACGCCAATGAGCTCCTAACCGCTGTGTCCCACGGCTCCTGTGAGGTAGGGAAGGGCGCTGAGGTGGGCCAGGCTTCTGAGAGCAGAAAAGAGGCCCAAGGAACCCAGGTCAGCCTGGGCAGAGTATAGGTAGCCCCAGGCACCCAGGCCCTGTTCAGTCTCCCAGTGAACAAACCCTGGAGGGAAAAACTGACTGCCTTCCTCGGGCTCATGGGCACAAGCTGGTCTCATCTGAGTTTCACTCCCTCCCCGCCATTTCTCCTCGGATGGAGGTGGCCAGATGCCGCTGCAGTTAACCACCCTGGCTATGCCCTACGGAAAAGCCCGACTTGTGTTCTCTGGTTCGTCACAGACCAAATGTCACCAGTACTGGCCGGATCCCCCTGACGTCATGGACCACGGCATCTTCCATGTCCAGTGTCAGGCAGAGGACTGTACCATTGCTTACGTGTCCCGAGAAATCCTGGTTACAAACACTGAGGTGAGCGTGGTAGAGGGGGCAGGCGCAGTCAGAGTAGCCCCTGCTGCAGCAGCAGTCACCTGGTAGGCAGAGAGCCGGTGCCCCGTGCACGCGCCAAGAGGGAGAGGCGGCCCTGGGGTCTGCCCATCAGGGGATGCATGGATAAACAAACCAGGCCTAGCCTTGTAGCAGTAATTCCAACCTCAAAAGGGGGGGGGCATTTTGGGCAAATGTCCGCATGGGATGAGTCTGAAAGGTGTGCCTCATGAAGGAGGCCGGTCAAGCGGGTAAGCACTAAGATTTCATTCGTCCCGATACCTAAAATAACTAAACTCATAGGCACAGAGATGAGAATGGTGTTTGCCCCCCAGTGAGAAGAAGGGTAAGAAAATGGAGAGTTAGGTTGTAATGGCTACCGAGGTCGTATTCAGGTGACAACGAAAGTTCTGGAAGGAGATGGTAGTGGTGGTCGCCCCGGCATTGTAGCCAGGCTTAATGCCGGTAGAGCTGACCTCTAAAATGAGTTAAGCCTCGATGTGTAGTAGGTGTGTTGGGGGTGGAGGTCAGCGGTGCAAAGGTGCATTTAGCCACATGATAGTATGGGGCCCCTGGTTGCCCTGAGCAAGAAGGCCTCCGCACCAGACAAGAGTACGCACACGTACACACCCAGGCGGTGTGGGTGGCCCTGGCTGCAGGGTGGCGTAGGTGCCGGGGGTACAAGAGGTCGAGAAAGCAGTGTCTTGGGGCTCAAGAACGTTGTCGTCCTGGGAAAGTGGGAGCTTGACGGGAACCCACCGAGACCACAGCAGGGCCGGGCAGGAGAGGACCCCGAGGCTAAGACTCACCAAGGCCACGTCTTCCGCAGACCGGGGAAGAGCACACGGTGACCCACCTCCAGTACGTTGCGTGGCCTGACCACGGCGTGCCCGACGACTCCTCGGACTTCCTGGAGTTTGTGAAGTACGTGAGGTCCCTGAGAGTAGACGGCGAGCCTGCCCTGGTCCACTGCAGGTACTGAGCCTTTTACACTGCACCCCATCTTAAATGCTTCTGCCCTCCTCCCCTCTCAGGAAAGGCCCAGGAGGAGTAGGCAGGCGCCAAACCCACCCTTAGGCCTGCGAGGCACACACATGGTCGTTCCCTAACAACTTACAGACACTTGAAACGTAGCATTATTTGCTGCAAGGGAAAACCCCATCACGCCTCCCTGCCCTGAAGTTCCTGACCTGGACAGCAGGCGTCACTCAGAGAAGAACTAGATGGGTTTCTTGCTAAGTCCCAGCCTCAGCCCCGGGGGGATGGGCTCTCTCTTTTGACACGCTTGAGATCACACCTGAATGTGTGTGTGATCTCTGTTCTTAGAATCAGCATCAGGGCACGGTGAGGTGGGTTCAGCTCTGCCTTGCAGAAATGATGCCCAAGCCGATCCTCAGCCTCTCTCTCTCCCCTCCCTAGTGCTGGAATAGGACGGACAGGTGTGTTGGTCACTATGGAAACTGCCATGTGCTTAATTGAGAGGAACCTGCCTGTTTACCCACTGGACATTGTCCGGAAAATGAGAGATCAGCGCGCCATGATGGTGCAAACGTCAGTAAGTAGAAAACTCGGTAACAGAGAGAAAAAAAGTGGTAATAAGAAACGCGATAGAGGTTGGCTAGGGGGTAATAAGAAAAGTGATAGAGTTGGCTAGGTGCTGGCACACGCCTTTACTCCCAGCACAGAAGGCGGCCGTGGCAGGTGGATCTCTGAATCTGAGGCCGGCTTGGCCCTATGTGAAGCATTCCAGGCCAGTCGGGGCTACGCTACGCGCGCTGAGACCCTGTCAAAACAACAACAGCGACGAAAAGGCAGAGATGCACATTTCCTGAGCCCACGCGCTCGCGGGAGCGTCCGTCTGTAGCCAGGAGGGGCACTGTGAATAAAATGAGGTCTGAGGGAACCGGGTGGGTACCTAGAGCCACACAGCGCCTGTCAGAGATACAGCGACTACTACAAAGCATGGGCCATCTGCACGCACTCTGCTCACCTCTGGCCCGTTACAAGTCACTTGCCCCGAGAACAGCCCCGTGTGCACCCCTCCCTCGCCATGGGCTACCTCCTGCTGAGCCACGCCAGCATCCTTGGGAGGGAATTACCTGCTTGTCATTTTGAGCTGCAGGGAGAAGAGGTTGGGTTAATGTAGAAAGAGCGTGGTTCAGGCCTCCTCCTCACACACTGACAACCCTTGGGGGAACCCCCGAGCCCCTCTTGTAGGCCTCAGCTTCCCCGTCCTGCGGACGGAAGCTATCCCGCCTTCGATCGTTCATGCGCTACAACAGAGTTGTCCAAATAGAAGACACCCCACCCAAGCTTGGGTTGAGTAGAACCGGCTTAGCTTTCTAATCTCAGCCATGATGGGCAAGGCCCCAGGAGTATCCAAGAATGTCCTAGGAGCATCCTGAGAATGAGTTGTCAGAGACGGGGGAGCAGCCTCCTGGCAGAGCTTCCAGAGCGGTGGAGAGGGGCTGGTTGGCGAAGCAAGGAGCAGGAACTCTGTGTTCTGACCAGCCACGGGCTGCCGGACAGACGTTGCAAGATTTCCCTAACAGACTGTGAGTCCTTGGTTTCTACCTGGGGAATACAGTTGAGGAAAAGCCGGCTCAGCCATAGAGATAACTTAGTAGGTAAGGATGCTTGTTACCACAGCCTGAGCGGGATTTCCTGCAAGGCCAGCTGTCCTCCCGACGCCACCCAAATAACCAAGGAAAAGAAAATAGAGTCATCTACTGAAGGTCATTGTCTGCCCTGCTTTGAAGTTTAGAAGACTAAATAAATGATGGTTTAAAATCACAGAATACCCCACCCCCACCCCAACCAGGCCTGGTGATGCAGGACTCTAACCACAGCTAGTCTAGAGGTGGAAGCCTGAGGGTACAATATTTTTTTAAAAGATTTATTTATTACATATGCAGTGTTCTGCCTACATGCAAGAAGAGGGCACCAGATTTAATTGTAGATGGTTGTGAGCCACCATGGGGTTGCTGGGAATTGAACTCAGGTCCTCTGGAAGAGCAGCCAGTGCTCTTAACCTCTGAGCCATCTCTCCAGCCCCGAGGGTTACAGTCTTAAGACCCAACCTGAACAACTTAGCAAGACCTTGTCAGCCTTCTCTATCTGTGGCCCCAATACGAGGCTTCAGTTTGAGCGGTCACAAATCAAAAGACATCGAGGAAAATGCTTCCGCACAAACACACAAAGACTCTTTTCTGTTTTATTCCCCGCGAAATACAGCATAAGTGTTCACAGTGTATTAGGTGTTAGAGATAGCAAGAGGTAATTTTGGCTTTGCTTTTGGGTTTTGGTAGTATTTGAGGTGCTTTTGGGTTTTGGTGGCATTTGAGGTGTGGGGTTGTTTCAGACTCACTGTGTAGACCATTGTCCTGGAACTCAAGAGATCCGCCTGCCTCTCCCGCCCAATGGGTGTACCGCTGTGTCCTGCCAAAAAGGATGGTGTGTGTGGAGAGTTCTCACAGGCTGTAAGCAAATACTGTACCATGCTATATAAAAGACTGGAGTTTGGGTGTCCACGGGGAGTCCTAAAGTCAGTCCCCCGTGGATACTGCAGGTCTATCTAAAACAACAAGCATCTTTCCCTGACTCTCTTAAGGAAAAAGGAACCTAGATTCCACGCCAGAGTCGTCCTTACTATATTAGTTACTTTTTCTTGTCACCGTGGCCAGGCGCCTGGAAAAGCGTGAGAGGAAGGGTTTATTTGCCCTGGTCATTTGAAGGGCAAGTCTATCACGCCAAGGCAGGCGTGGCGACAGGAGCTGCGGAAGCTGTCTTTAGTGACCAGAGAGAGAGATGAATGCGGTACCTAACTCCCATACTGCACTGCCTCCCCCCTAACTGCACTTCTCTGAGGACAGCCCCCCCCCGCCCCGTCTGTGAAGACTTGAGTTCACCTCGCTCTTGCCCCCAAGCACGAGGCCCAGAGTTGAGCACACACGGGGAGAGACTATAATAGAAACGTCCCAGAGACACCCTCAAGCACGGCGTGAGGCAAAAAAAAAAAACCAAACAAACAAACAAAAAAAAACCCGCTCTCGGCGCTGTGGACTTGACAGCTGCTTCTCTTTTCTCCTCCAGAGCCAATACAAGTTTGTGTGTGAAGCGATTCTTCGGGTGTATGAAGAGGGCTTAATCCAGAGGCTGGATCCCAGTTAGGACAACTGTGAAGCGTTCGTTCGTTCCTCGTTCCCCCGTGAGGCCCCGCCCCCACCCCACCCCAGGGATGCTGGCCGCTGTGGGAAGGGATGAGCTTATCCGAACCTAGGCACTTTAAATTTCTGTGGAAAAGGGTATCCTGTACATAGGAACTGCTGATGTAGATAATGCATGCCGCTATGACGCCTTTGGACCCACAGAGATAAGCAACGGGGGATCTCCGACCAGGAACCGCCACCGCTGCGTTTCTCCCTCCATGTCGTCGACGCCCTGCCACCGGCCGTCCTCGGGCAACGAGAGGGGACGCGCATCAGCAGGACTGTGGACTCTCCTCTCCCACCAGAAGCCAGACAAGAGTGGCTACTTTGTGGTTGCTCGGGTGTGTCTGTGTGTTGATCTGTGTGGGACTGACTCCAAGGGCTGAACCTCCTCGGCAACTGGTATCCATTACCCCTGACCCCAAGGGAAACTCAGATGAATGTACCGCAGGCAGGGCACAAGGGACTTTCAGACTGGAGGACGAGCAGGGTCTCTTCTGCCCTCCCTCCCTCCCTCCCTATGCCTCGTCTCCACCCCTTCTGTTCCAAAGCGCCCAATTCCCCTACCCCCCCCCCCCCCGTTCCTCTCTTCAGGGTCACAGCCAGTGCCTGAACCTGTTTCATATCGTATGTTCGGGTGACTTCTCGGCCGAGGCCGGGAACCAGACTCCGTGCTGCGAGTCCTAGCTTTAGAAGCAGCCAAACCTCTGCTCAGCCCTAACTGTACACTCAGCCGCCGCCGCCGCCATGACTGGAATCGCCGACTACTGAATCTCTGTGAGGATTGCTGCTACTTCAAGTTCTCACACTTGAAAACAAGACGATTTTCCTGGGAGAGGGGGGCGGGGTAGCATCCAGATATTCAGAATTTTGAACCCTTCTGAGAAAAGGCCTTCTAGTAAGTGACCATAAGAAACACCGCTTCTCGAGGGTGGCGCGCGTGTGCGTGTGTGTGTGTGTGTGTGTGTGTGTGTGTGTGTGTGTGTGTGAGAGAGAGAGAGAGAGAGAGAGAGAGAGAGAGAGAGAGAGAGAGAGAGAGAGAGAGAGAGAGAGATGGGTAACCCTCTCAGGATTCCTAGCTTGATTCGAATTCCTGTCGCGTTTATGTCGAGAATGAGCCTCTGTACAGAAGGACAGATGTGTGCACTCACCCTTGGTTACAGCAGTCTCCGTTTCATTTCAGAGGAGAGAATTAGACGATCTGAATATAAACACAATTTGATGTTAATTTATTCTAAGTACTCTGGGATTTTTGATTGTCCTCGAGAATTCTGCTCTGTGAATAGCGTGGTTAAAAAATTTTTTTTTAATTTGTGGCAGGATTGTAGCGGATTATTATTTAAGGAAAAATAAATTACATGAATGCTTTAAGGTGGTGTTTTTAAATAGCGGTTTTTGCGTACCCAGGAAGGCGTCAGCAGGTTTCTTAGCGGTGCTTACGAGAGAAGGGCACTTGGTGTTGTCTGTCATGGGAGTAGATGAAGCCATATACGTAAGCGGACACTGGAGCAGACAAACATTTCCTGGTTACAAGATGAGCCCAGGTTTCCGAACGTTCCTCATCGGTAGGCTCGCTATATCCATCTATTTTCCTCCTGCCTATCTTTTACCCACGCACGTCTTGCTGCTCAGTGTTACGAGTGCAATGCCCGGTGCCCTGTGTAATGAGGAACCAGAATGGTTCTCTCTAGACCACTCAACAGTACCACGTAGCCCTCGGCCTAGGAACCTGGGATCTGTAACTGCGTTTTCTTCTGTGTAAAATAAAGAGAAACAACGCTTGGAACTTGAAGGCAGAATGAGGTCAAACTGTGGAAATGAATTTCCGGCCACTATAATATGTAAACCAGAGCTACTGAAGACCTAGAAAGGTTGACTTCTCTGTGGTTGGCCCCAAAATGCACCAAAAAATGTGGAGCCCACTGGGTTTTCCTAGAGCAGTGTTCCAGAAGGCAAAAGCCCAGAAGACAGAGAACCGGTACCTTTATTCAACCTGGATTCTGACAACGCCCTCCGCAAAGCACCAAAAAGAGGAGCAGAGAATGCTGCGTACATTTTCAGGGGTATCAGGCTGCTTAGCAAATTATGGTTTTATAGAAATGTTTGTGCGAAGCACTTGCAAAGTCTCAATGTCCTTGGAGACTGTTTTGTTATTCTCTGGAAACAAGCTGTTGAATGTGGTCATGAAAACGCCGCTGTTACACTTACATAACATTCTGTGAAGCTTGAAAAGGCTGCAGCTGGCCTCCCTGCCATTGTGTGGGGCCAGTAGTTCAGACACAGCAGACGTTGCCAGCAGCAGAGTCCATGGAATCCTGGGAAGGAGGACAAGAAGATGATCTCAAGGAGCAGAACACCCAAGTGAACAGGGTCAGCATCACCAATGAGAAACCAAAGCTCTGGGCTCCTGTTTCCCTGCAGCCCGCAGTTCCACAGTTACTCCTAGGAAACCGTGTTTCATCCTAAAGAACTGCATCAGAATCAAGCTAAATATTTTGCCTGGGAAATTTGTCTTGATGTGAATGGAGAAGATATTTATAACCTATATTCTAGCACCTTCCAGAAGATCAGAGTAGACACCCCAATGTGCTGGCTTCATCCAGATGGGTCCCCTGATGACATCACTCTAGAAGCCACACGTGGTGAGAAACATTTGAGATTGTTTAGTGGTAGGGAGACAGGGTGGATGAATCTCAAAACTTGTAGCAGTATTTTTAGTTCCTCCCACGATCGTTGTTATCTAAATATGCTTTGAGACTAGTGTTAGAGTCTCCCACAGGCTGTGCTCCTGGAGGATCCATCCCCGCCGCCATCCTTAAACTCTTTCATGCGGGGGCAGTGAGTAGCCTCATCATCCTCCCAAGGCAACCAAGACAGTATCCACAGGGAAAAAAACTGTAAGAGCCCTGACCTAGCCTTACGGAGATGCTTACCCTCAGCTCTCCCTGAGTTGTGTGTTTGTGTTTGTTCTTGCTGAAAGGGACTGATGGTCACGTGGACTAGATGAGCTCACAGTTACATTTCAGGGAAACAATTTAACCTTAACCAAATCTGAAGAGCTGACCTAGAGAAGCACGCCCCGTTGGTTGCTGTGACTTGTCCCCAAGAGGTGGTCTCAGCCCTTGTCACTGTGGAACTAAGAAGACAAAGACTGCCAACCCTCCTGGTTCTTGGCCGTCATCCTAGAGCAGATCTTGTAAAGATGGGAACAGCCTGGGGACATCAAACCTCGGAGACTGATAACTCTGGCTCTGTCACTATCTTGATCACTCTCCTGCCACTGGAGCAACCAAAGGGATTGGTTGCGCTAAGCCAAGTCTCTCTGTAAAGTACCTTAGTCAATCAGCAATATGGTTTTTTTTCTGTAAATTTGGAATGGTTTTCATTCTGACTTGTTGTCAGGGACTCTACCGAAAAAACAGTTTGATCAATATAAAAGCAGTCAAGCTATGCAACACCATTGCCGCCTGTCAACGTCGTTATTTGTGTGTCTGATTTCTGCCTCTGCCCCTGTCGACTCAAATGCTGTTTATCCATCTCACCCTCTCTCTGGTTATGATTTCTCATGCAGTATTTGGCCTTAGCGTTCACGTTGGGTGGCCAGTTTTAGTCCATAATTGCGTCCTGCTATTGTGAGAGCAGTAGCTTGCAGCAGGCACCACCCTTCTTCCTGCGGGGTCGCTGAGTGACTCTGTGAGCAAACACATCCCGGGCCCCCCCGGCTTGCTCCCCCAGCCTCGGAAAGCAGCTTCTACCTTGATGGCCAGACTCATTCAGGTGCCAGACAGCATAACAGGAAGGGGAAGAGAAAAGCAAGTCCTATGTCCTTAATTCCAGGGCCGCAGCTCCTTCAAGGGGGTAGTCTTAATGCAGGGAAAACCATATGCTGGGGCTAGGGATGTAGTTCAGCTGGTAGAGTACTTGCATAGCATGCACAGCCCTGGGTTCAGTTCAGGAAACAGAAGCAGGAGGATCAGGAGTTCAAAGCCCCTTCGTTACATAGCAAGTTCAAGGCCGCCTCCTCGAGACCCCAGTGAGATAGCTCAACGAGTAAAGGCACTTCCCGTCAGGCCTGATGACCTGAGTTCCATCCCTAGATCCTGGGTGTGTAGTGGAAGAAGAGAACCCTGCATGTTTCCCCAACTCCCTCCGCACCCTGTATACTCACGCACATAGTAAATAAATGTTAGAAAAAATGTTTTAAAAAGGCTGGGTGGGTGTGGTGGTGCAAGCCTTTAATCCCAGCACTCGGGAGGCAGAGGTAAGCAGATCTCCATGAATCCAATACCAACCTGGTCTACGTAAAGAGTTCCAGGCCAGCCAGAGACGGTTGAGACCCTGTCCAAAAGAAAACAGTAAGCCTAACTAAAACCCAGGTGGTCTATTTCTAAGAAATAATTTGAGAGTGAGCTCCTTTGGCCTCATGTGGCCGCTCCTCTCCCCATGGGAACAACACAAACCAAATGTCACCACATCATATGACTAAAAGAAAGTTACTTAGGGGTGATTCTCGGGCTTCTCTATCTACCCGGGGTGTGTGTGGATTTTTGTTTGTTTTGAATGCCCTGATGACTTGCGTACTAACAATAAGTTCTTCTCACATAGCTTGTACAGAGCAGTGAAGTAGACGCGGAAGTAGCCAGTGAAAACATGGGCGAGCAGACAGCCCGGAGTCACTGTCCCAAGTTGTCAAGCCCCATCACCACACAGGAAGAGCAGGGCTCTCTCTGGCAGTGGCCGGCCCCTTGAACGGCACCTACCTGACAGTCCAGTCCTGCCCTCAGGAAAGATTCCTGTCCCTCCCACAGTCACATTCATAATGAGACTCCCAAATGGTGGCCTTGGTTTCCAGCACAGATTTTTCTGGCTTGCCCACTTTTGGGGACGACTGGGAGGTCCGTCCAACTGCTTTCAGGGTCCTGGAGGACAAGGCTTTCAGATTTTTCACAGCCACAGATCTGGTCTGGGGTTCGTCCTGGGGCCCCTAGCTGCGCCTCTTCAGTTTGAAGCCTTCTGAGAGCTTAGGTGGACAGGCTGCCCCCAGACTAGCCTTGGCGCTGCAAGGCTCACACATTTCTGACTGGAAACCCCTGCTTGCTGCCCTCATCTGGTGTTTTCACACTTCCAGGCTGTTGCTATTAACAACTGCAATTTGGGGGCACAAAAGAGCTGGCACTTTTCAATGCCCGAAGAAATGAATGACTCCAAGTGCAGGCTACCAACCGCCAACTGGAGAGCAAAGTGAAATCCCTTCCTGCCTCTGGCTGGGCTTAGTTCCTCTCGCTTCCATGGGACCTTGTGAAAAAGCAAAAGGGACCGGCACACTTCTGCATCCCGCCATGGTTTACCCAGCTGCCGGGGTCTCGATATGAAGCCTACCTTGAGGGTAACACAGGGACCACTTTTATCATATGTATTGTGGCCATCGTTGACCAACCAAACCCATTAAGCCCCTGGCATGTTGTAGGTGTGATTTGTAATAGAGTTTTGTTCTTTTGTTTTTTCACATATCCAAAAACCAAAACAAAGATGGCTGGAGCAAAGTAGTTTACTTCCTGGAATTAAAAGGGGTTGTGAGCCACCTAATATGGTGTCGGGAACCAAACTTGGGTCCCCCGAAAGATCAGCAAGTGCTCTCGACTCCTGAGCCATCTAAATGGCTGAGCCAGCCCTAAAATTCAATCCTGTTGAGCAGGGGGATGACTATGTAGGCGCAACTCGCAGCCTCCAGTAGAAACCCTGGTCTCTCTCCATCCCCCACACGAACTTACAAGAATCGGTCTCCGTCTCTGGCTGCCCCAGGTCTTCCAAACCAAAGACAAGCATCGACAAGCCTGTTAGAAGGTGGCAGCCCAGGCCCCAGAGAGACACAGTGGCAGAGCGGGGTGGAGATAAGGCGTTATCCCTGTTCCTCAGGAAGGACTGATGGCCAGTCTGCCCCACAGCTGGCAGGTGCTCAGAGGCAGAGGCTAACAACAGGGCTGTCCCTGGATGGCAACTGGGTGGATAACAATGCCACAGACAAGAACGGGACACTGGGAAGGGATGCGTTGCCTTTGGAACCGAAGTCTAAACTGAGGACGTGTGTAGCTCTTCTCTGGAGCCCTGGCCAACTATCTCTACATGGCGCTCTCACTATAGACGCTTCTGGGTTTTGTGTTCACCCCAGGTGATTTTTTTGTTTTTGTTTTGTGCCATTCTCATTTACATGTAAATCTATCCATGCAAAATGGTGTTGGTGGCCAAAACTCGCTGTTAAAATGCCCCTCTCATAGGGGTGGAGAGATGGCTTGGTGGCTAAGACCTCTTGCTGCCCTTCCAGAGGACCCAGTTCAGATCCCGCCACACACACCACGTGACTCACAACCTCCTCTATCTCCAGAGGTTCTGACACCCCCTTCTCACACACTGGCTGCTCTTGCAGCAGCCCAAGTTCTATCCCCAGCACCCATATCGAATGGCTTGCAACCTGTAACCCCAGATCCGAAGGCCCTGACAGCTCTGGCCTCCTGTGGGCACTTAGATACACATGCACAAGAATAAAAACATATTTTAAAACCTAAAGCAGCCTCCTTAACGGATGTATAGTTGTCTTGACTTAAGCAGGCTGCAGTAACAAAAATACCAAGACTGGTGGCTTGAACAGTAGACGCTGATCTCTCAACCTTCTGGAGGCCAGGAAGTCCAAACTGAAGGTGCTGGGTGATTGTTCCCCGGGCTGGCAGAGTGCAGCCTAAACATAGCATCCTTAAATGTCAGAGAGAGCCCATCCTGGTCTCCCCCTTTTCTTTTAAGGCCCCTCAGACTATCCTGAGGGCCCCACCCTACAACCCCATCTGGCCGGCTCCATCTCCAGAGTCCGTCTGTCTTAGTCACGTGCCTGTTGCTGTGATGAAAACAGCTTGACAAAAGCAGCATGGGAGACAAAGTTCACTCGGTTTCACCGCTTTGGGTTATAGACCATTGCTGCTGGGAAGTCAGGGCAACAGGCACAGATCATATTGCATCTGCAGTCAGGAAAAAAGAAGAAGAGCAATATGTAAAGGGAAGCCTTCCTGCCAGCCTGGTTCCAGAGCAGTATCAGTCCCAAATGAACACACAGGAGGCTATATTAATTATGAAGCTATTGGCCTTGCATGTTTCTTACTGGCTAGCTCTGACTTAAGTATTTACCCCATAATTGTTAATCTAAGTATTTCTCTTACCGGAGAAATTTCCGGGCTTCCTACCCCATTACATCTTGACTTTCTGTGTTTCTCCTACCCAGAGTCCTCCTGGATTCCTAGTCCCACCTATCTTGGTTCCCTATTGGCCAACAGTGCTTTATTGACATATACACAGGACTTCCCCCATCAGCAATAAATGAGTATTATGCTACACTCAGCACTCTCTCCTTTTCATTCAACACAGGACCCTCCACCTAGTGAAGAAGCCCGCCCCCCACATACACCCGCAGGTCAAACTAGGCAATTCCTCACACCGAGACTCCTCAGCTGATTCCACATTGACCACAGTCAAAACCGTCTAACACCATCCAGCTGGGGAGGTGGTCTCAATACCAACTGATCCGTCTTCTAGCTTTTCTGATTTATCCCTCGGAGTCCCAGGTTCTCTCTGGCCTTCCTCTCCCCACCTCACCTCTGGGTACTGGAACTTTTTAGAGGCTTCACAAGCGCTTGGGAGAGAGAGCTTACACATAGACAGCAGGTTGGGTTCTTGGCCTGGGTCCTGGTGGCCTCTGTTGGCTGACAGTCTTGGCACGAGTTCTCTGTGTGATTTTCTCTGGTGACATTCAGTTTCCATTCTTCCTCCCTCCCTGCAAGTGTAGATGCATGCTCTCACACCGCACCCCTGCCTGGTCTATGCTACAGGCTCTGTCCCAGACAAGCGGCCCCACGGCCAGCCTCACCGTCTGGCCATCTCTGTGCCTCATAGACAACACCGTGAATGCTGCCCCCCCCCCAGAGCTTTGCAAAGTGGCAGCTTCCTCCTGTAGACGAAGGAGGCGGTACTATGTCCTAATCCAGGCTGTCCTGGAACCCACAGATGACTCAACAGTGCTGGAGGGCTCTGTGGCCTAGAGAAATTAGACCTTTTGCCCCAGCTGGAATGCCATGCATTTTTATTAATGAAAGGCTACTCCCCCATCCCCTGCACACATGAGGTTTGTTTTGCTTGCTTGCTTGTTATGTGTATTTGTGTGATATGCATGCATAGATACATGTGCCCACGTACGTGGGCACACCCGTGTGAGCAGATACACATGTGTATGTGTACATGTTTGTGTACGTCCACGTGGAGGAGGCCCGAGTTTGAAATTGGCTGCAGGAGTCTTTCTCGGTCACTCCCCACCCTATCCACTGAGACAGAATCCCTCAGTTGAACCCAGAGCTCACGGACAGCCAGTGTGGCAAGCCAGCTTGCTCTGCGGATCCCTTGTCTCTTGCCTTCCCAGCACCGGAACTATAGGCAGCCCATCAAGTCAACCAGACATCGTGTTGTTTCTGAAGAGCCATACTCCAATCGTTTGCATGGCCGATGCTCTCGCCACTGAGAGCCTCTCAATTGCTTGTCTGTTTGTTTCAGAGATTTATTATTTTTTTTATTATGTGTTGGATGTTTGCCTGTATGTGTGTTTGTGTACCACACGAATGCCTGGTGCCCAAGGAGGCTAGAAGAGGGAATTAGATCTCTTGAATCTGGAGTTAGATAGATGGCTGTGAGTAGCCATGTAGGGGCTAGGAATCAAACCCCGGTCCTTTGCAGGAGCAGCCTGTGCTCCTAACAGCCTAGCCATCTCTCCAGCCCTGCCTTCACTGTTTTTCAGTGTAGTTTGAATGAGTTGCCATTCTCCTGCTTCAGCTTCCCGAGTGCCGTGGTGCCACCATGCCCAGCCTTGATGGAAGGAGCTTTGGAGGGCTTGATCTGCCAGTTGGCCACAGCACGTCCACAGTCCCAGCAGTGTCCGCAGGGACCAGATCATTCCTGGCAACTTTAGTGCCCGCCCCCTCATTCTGTGCCAGTCAGACAATTGCCAATAACACGGGGAACTTGCCTCCCCTCCACCTAGACAAGCTAAATGGGCATGCCCCTGAAGGGGCTTCTAGAGTGGTGTAGCCAGGAACAATGCCAGACCCATTCCTGAGCCAGGAGCCCATGTCCCTGCTCCTAGGCACAGTATACGGTGTGGACCACAGATACCTCCAGGCTGACCGTACTGCAGACGTGGCAAACTGTCCCAAATCTGCCCTCTCACTGTAAACACCTGCCACAGCTCCTGCTTCTTCTTGTCACCTCTGAGTTCTGGTCAGAATTTAGGGACCGGCATTTGTCATCAGCACTTGAGAACCTGTCATGGAGGCTGAAAATGCAGTCGCTGACATTCTGTGAGGTATGGGAGGTGATCTCCATCGCAGGGAGGAAGTGTCTCCAGATGCAGAAGCTGGGCCACCAAGACCCAGTGTCCCAAGAGTCCCCCTTTCACTTTTACACAATAGGCTATTGGTTCTGAAGTGTACGAATGATTCCAACGTAGAACCTTATGTGACTGGAAACCCATTTCCCCCAAAGACCCAATGAAACCTAATCGATTATACTGTGTGTCCACCCCAGATCTCTGTTCTCCTAGTTTCCCACAATACCGTCTCATTTTCTCCTACTTCTCTAACCACATTGCACAGCGGATAAAACAGTGAAAAGGAGAGGGAACATGAGATAAAAACACTCCCGGGAGAAAACAAAACAAAACAAAAAAACCAGACCAGCCTAGTGGGACAGATACTGCCCAGAGCAGGGCAGCTGCTGGGCTGTGTCCCCAGGATGACATCGCTCTGGCCTAGAACCCTGGCACTGTGGGGAGGAACTCTTGGTCTTGGGTTTCATGGGGACTGTAGAGAGAGGCCTGCCTGGCAAGCTGTGGAGGCGCAGACAAGAGAAGGGGCATGCTCGAGATCTAGGAAGCCAGAAGTCAGGTTTCTAAGCAAAACGTGCACCGCTTATGAGCCAACGCAAAAACCCTCCGTAGCATGCACGGGAAGCCTAGAGAAAACACACTGTAAGCCCCTAGCCCTTCCCCAGTCTGTCGCTTGCACACACACACACACACACACACACACACACACACACACACACACACACACCCTCTCCCCCCAGCCCCCACCCCTGTCTGTGTTGTGCTTCATTATGACTAAGCTTGTAGGAGCTCAGCTCTGCTTTGGACTTGACTCAGATCGTCTGGGAGCTCTGAGGCCTGAGCGCTGGCCCCTCCTTCCTGAGAACCACTCCCAACACCGACCTCCTGTATTTCTCCTAACTTACTTAAGCGCTTCATCTTCAGGCTAAGTCCGTGCGTGCGTGCGTGCGTGCGTGCGTGTGTGTGTGTGTGTGTGTGTGTGTGTGTGTGTGTATGTGTGTGTGCACGCGTGCGCCTGCCCAACTGTGCGTGTACTTGTAAGCCTTTCTCATCCAGGAGAAAGTTCTCCCCTCTACTTCCTTTACACTGTCAAGAGCAAAGAAAGACGTTCGTAGCAAGATGCTTTGCAGTGAACCCAGCCTGCCCATCCTCCAGTTGGTGAGTGAGTAAGATGCAGGGAGTCTGCTCAGCCCGGTGCCATTTACCTGGCCATGAAGAGCAATGGAATGCTGACGCACGTCACACGGGCTAACCACATCATATGGGCTGACCACGTCACACGGACTGACCCCGTCACATGGACTGACCTTAAAAATGTTACCAAGGGCTGGGAAGATGGCCTAGTGGGTGAGGGTGCCTGCTACCCAAACATGTAGATCTGAGTTCCTAGCTCCCAGCACCAGTGTAAAACGCAAGGTGTGGTAACATGTACCTGTAACCCCAGCTCTGTGTGGGTACAGAGACAGGATTACGGGACCTAATGGTTTCCAGCCTAGCTCCAGGCTCAGTAAAAGACCTTGTCGCAAGGGACTATGGCAGAGACTGCACACTTGACACCCTCCTCCTGGCCTCCATTCATGCAGACACATGCATGTACAGCACACACACAACTCAAAATTAATTAGTTGTTAAGAAAAAACATACTAAGTGGAAGAATCCAGTCACAAAAGGTCGCATGGTTTCATTTATATGAGTTGTCCAGAATAAGCCAATTCAAGAGTCGAAGAGATACCTCAGTGGTTAAGAGCATTTGCTGTCCTTCCAGAAGACCTGAGTTTGGGTTCCAACATCCATGACCAGTGGTTCACAACCACCTATAAATCTCTAGGGGGTCTAATGTCCTCTTCTGGCCTCTGAGGGCATATACACAGACACACACACACACACACACACACACACAGAGTATACACAGACACACATAACTAAAATTTTGTAATATTAAAAATATAAAATCATTTAAAGAATATTAAGAAAAATCAGTCCAGGTGTTCATGGCACACGCCTTTAATCCCACTGGGGAGGCAGAGGCAAGAAGATCTCTGTGAGTTCAAGGCTAGCCTGGTCTACAGAGCGAGTGCCAAGATGGGTGCCAAAGCTACACAGAGAAACCCTGTTTTGAAAAAAAAAAAGAAAGAAAGAAAGAAAGAAAAAGAAAAATCAAATCCATTGGGACAGAGAGTGGCCCAGTGGTTGCATAGAGGACCAAAGTGCAAATCCATAGCCAATAATCCCTCATTTGAGGATCTGACCCAAGAGAGCAATTATAGGGTTTGATGTATGACACTAGGACAGTCTTTGCTTGTTTATAACTGTGTGTCTGTGTGTATACGTGTGTGTGTGTGTGTGTGTGTGTGTGTGTGTGTGTGTGTGTGTGTGTTCCTCGGGGGCCAGAAGGAAGCATCAGCTCCCTGGCTCTCGTGATGGCAGAGCCATCTCTGAACACGGACGCAGAGAATCCAGTGCTCAGAGGTGGGAGGGTTCTTCTAGATGGACTAAGTTCTAAGGGCCCTGACATTTTGCTCTGCCCTCCTGTGAGCCCAGCACTGGCCAAAATACCCTGGCACCCTGTCCTCATTGCATAAGACCCTGGAGAGTGCCCAGAAAGTCTGTCCTCCAGCTGCAGGAGCCACCCTGGTCCTGGCCTGTACTATTGGAATGCAAAGTCCATGACCCCAAGGACAAGCCTTCAAAAGGGACAGATGTCTTCACTCTGTGTCCCCCTTTGACTTATACTCCTATCCCAAATGTGACTGTGAATTAAACAGTTTGGAGACTGAAGGTCAGACCTTCACGTGGCCTCTTTTAACTCAGCCCTCTTCGCAAGGTGGAGAAAGCTTATATTTGCCAGTATTCTAAGGATAAGCGTTCTGGCCGACGCCCCAGAGTGTGTCTCCTTTCCCCTGTCCTGCAGAGAATGTGACAGAGGAGATCTTCAGGATGGCCTCTGCTGTGTCCTCTTTCCTCATATTCAGGTGCCCCAGGCCAGCCTGGCCACCCAGGTCCAGCTCAGATGCCACCTCCTCCGGGAAGCCTTCCCTGCCTACACCTTCCTCAGCTGAAGACCTCTGGGTATCCACACCAGCTCACGTTTAACTTCTCTTCCTCCTAGTGAGAGAATCATTTGTGCTCCTCCCACCCACCCACCCACTCACACACACACCCTAAGGTCTACCAGATGCGTGTAGGTTACTATGTAGCAGATGATGGCCTTGAACTTCTGACACCGCTGGCCCGACTAACGGCTTGCTCCACCACGTCTCTGGTGTGTGCAATGCTGGGGCTTGAAGCCAAGGTTTCCCAGCATCAACTCTGTCAGCTGAGGCCAGCTCCAGCGCCCCCCCCAGTCTTCACTGTTGATGTTATTTAAACACCCCTGCCCCACTGGAAGACATTGCTGTTGTTGTTGTTTTGGTTTCTCCAGACAGGGTTTCTCTGTGTGGCTTTGGAGCCCATCCTGGCACTCACTCTGTAGACCGGGCTGGCCTTGAACTCACAGAGATCCGCCGAGTGCTGGGATTAAAGGCCGTGTGTCCACT